TGAGGCGGGGGGGAGCGAGGTGGGGCGAGATGGGGTGAGGTGGCATGGTAGATTTGAGGGGGTGGAGGGGGGTATGGGGAGCTGGTGCGTGCGGGGAGATGGTGTTTGTCGTGGAGGGGTGTGGTGGAGTGAGGATGGGCGAGGAGATGTAGGGGGGAATGGGGAGTGCTTGTGCTGCATGGGGGGGGGGTGGGCGCAGGGGGAAGTGGAGAGGGCTGGATTGGGAGGGGAGATGGGTAGGGTTGGGCTGGTGTAGGGAATAGTGAGAGAATGTGAGCGGGGGAGGTACATAGTATTGCGACTCTTTCGTAGAGAAGAGGTCGAAGACGACGTCGGGGAAGCCGGTCAGATCCTTCAGTTTTGTCATGAGCTCGTCCGCGATTTGGCCGCCGCGCACCACAGAGCCGTGCTTGATCTGGATCACGAGATGGTCCTGAGGGTTCAAGTAATGTGATGGGGAGGTAGGGAGAAGGTTCGGTTGTTTGGGGGGGGAGGGCGCGACCTGCGCGGTCGTCCCGTCTGAAGGGGGCTCGGCTGCCGCTCCGCTCGGCGGCGTCGTTGGCGCGGCGGAGCCACCCCCGGGGGGGGGCTGGGGGGGGGGTACAACGAGCTCTTCCATTTCCATGGCCTCGGGGCCAGGCGACGGGGTGGGCGGGTCGGGGTTGCCAATGGCGGCGTCGGCGGAGGCGTCGGCGTCGAAGGTGTCGGCGTCGATGGCGGCCATCCGCCTCGAGAGCGAATCCACCTCTTCCTCGGCAGCCGCTTGGTTCTGCGGCTGCACCTGTGGGGGTGATGGTGCAGGGGAAGGATTTGGTTTGGAGGTTGGCCCGAAGGGCAGTTCGTGTGCCCGAAGGGCGTCTCCCTGCCCGTCCACTCGCGGCGTTTGGCCGGCGAGCTCGCGGGACAAGGGGGGTGAGAGATGTGTGTGTGTCCCATCTCCTGCCATGGGCAATGGGTTGTGCACTGCCAGCTGTTGTGTCCTAGTTGAGCCCTCGACTCTGCCTCTCTGCTGCGCTGTGGCTGCGTCGCGACCGCGCGCTGCCTCGTGCGTCGTGTGTCTGTGCTCTCGCGCGGCTGGCGCCGTCTCATCTCCACTGCTGACCAGTGTGCGCGCTCTGCCGCCATTGTGCAAAGCAGCGAGCAGTGTGTGCTGCTGGACTGGCTTGATGCGCGCGGTCTCCCGCGCTGCGTCGGCGGCTTGCGCCGCCGGCTTGGCGACTGCGTCGGCGTGTTTGGCGGCTGCGCCGCCGTCGCGCCCTGAGCTGACCGCGCAGGCTGCTGCCCAGAGCAGGGCGTGCAGGCGCACGGCGGCCGCTATCTTGGCGATACTACGAACTTTCACCTTCTTCGGTGGCGGAGAGTGGACGTTCCCGTCGTTCGGCTGGTCGTTGCCGCGCGACTCTGTGCCCTTGGTCCGGATGGGCGGCCCGCGCTTGGGCGCCATGAGCTGTGTCGTTCCTCCGCTGCTGCGGAAAAAAAAAGCAAGACTAGTTGCAAAAAGTCTGTGGTGCAAAACCCGCCCAAAACTACCAAAATCGCTGTCACGGCCAGCTCGGCACTATCTACTCAAAAAAAGTGACGTAGAGCACCCACTTTTTAAGCGTTCGCCGCATACACAAGGTCCGCCTGCGTGCGGCGCCAGCTTCTCAGGGCCGTAGCGCGAAAAACGACCGAGGAGATGCATCCTAGCTGTCGCCGCCGAAGGCGACTCGACGCCGCTGAGATCGGAGATCAAGCTCTGACAGGTCACACGTCGCTCCTTTGACGCCGACGTGACTCACCCGTGCAGAGCGCATCAGGACACGGTCTCGACGCGCTCGGTACGACGCCTGCGACCCGTCTCGGGTCAGGTGGCACGACGCTCATCGCGCCTACCAGCGCTGCCGTACAGGTTGCCACGACGAGGTCGAGCACGCTTCTATACGCTCGCCGAGCCTTCCTTTCCATCCCATTAGACAGCCCGGGAACGGTGGCGGTCAGAGGCAAAGCCTGCGAGGGGTGGTGGAACCACATGTCGCGGCCACCGCCGGCTCGACGCGACGATAGCCTCCGAAGGCTGACTTTGAGGCACCATCATCGGACGATGTCGACGAGTTGGGTCGCTCTCGCGGTATCCAGGTAGCCCCCCATACTAGTAGCACCAGCCATGGCCTCAGGGAGCGCGGGCGAGGGCGCTGGGAGCAACACGGACAAAAAAACATCAAAAGTGGTCATTATGACACCACCCGTATTTGCAACTAGTCGTGTGTGTGTGTGTGTGTGTGTGTGTGTGTGTGTGTGTGTGTGTGTGTGTGTGTGTGTGTGTGTGTGTGTGTGTGTGTGTGTGTGTGTGTGTGTGTGTGTGTGTGTGTGTGTGTGTGTGTGTGTGTGTGTGTGTGTGTGTGTGTGTGTGTGTGTGTCACGTCACTGCATCCTCTGCCGGTTCCTCCCGTCGCCTCTTCTTTGTTCGAATGTTTTTCATTCCATCCTTCACCGTTCACGAAGCCCTCCCATGTAGCTAGCGTTCTTTGCGAAGGTCTCGAGATGGCCAGCAGGCGCTGTCTGCTCGCGGCCTGTGCGGGCCGCTCGTCCTCCTCGCCCTTCTTTCGTCCTCCCGTCCCTCCCCTCCACCATGGCCTCCTCGTGGAGAACGGCCCGACAAAAAGAAACCCGAGAGCCACAAGGTCAAGCAACCCACACCCAGCCACCAGCACCACGGACTGTCAACCTCACAAGCTCAACGTGTCGGCGCCCTGCCCTATGGCTCTACTGCGCACTCCACCGAGCCCACGCAGCGCTACATGTACAAATGCGTCTCGGCAGGAGTGGCCAGCGCAGGGATCGCCGCTGCTCGGGCTGCTCGCGACTCGGGCTGCCAGGCACCCAAGGCGCAAGGGCAGTGGAGCAGCCGTGCCATGTCGAGTCTCGAGCTCCGGCTACTCCTCGTCGCGCTTGCGCTTGCGGCCCGGCTCGACGCCCGCGCAATGCATGTGGAACTTGACGAGGGCCTCGGGCGCGAGGGCCGCAAAGTCGGCGCGCTTGACAACTGCGCGAGAAGGGCGGGGGAGGTGTGATGCAACTCATGTGTGCGGGCGGGCTGTGATCCATCCTGCGCTGGCCCTCTCCCTCACCTTGCGCCATGTTTGCCTTCATGAAGGCGAGGCAGTTGCGCTCGAGCTCGGTGGCGCCGTAGACGTGCGCGAGGCTGAGGAGCGAGCACGCCATCTCGCAGGACAGCTTGTCGCACAGCTGCCCCTCCGCCCAGCGCAGCAGCCGCAGCACGCCGTACTTGTGCGCCGCGGCGAGCACCGCCTGCAGCTGCGCGATGCTCTGCTCCGCCGCGCCAGAGGCGCCGCTTGAGGAGGCGCCGCCCGAAGAGGAGGAACCCTCCGACGAGCCCTCCTCGCGCAGCACCTTTTGCACCTCGTCAAAGTCGTCCGTGTACAGAAAGTGCAGCAGCGCCTTGAGCGCGGGCGGCGGCACGTCCGTCACCTGCGCAAAGCTGGGGGGCGTAAAGATAGGACACCGCCGACACTCGGCCGCGAGTCCCCGGCTCTGTGGCACCGTGAGTGTGCGCGTGGTGCTCTCGCGCATCTCGTGCGCAAAGGCGGCCGCGAAGACGTCGCTGCGCTGGCTGAGGATGTTTGTGTGCGCGCTGAAGGTGACCGGCGCTGCCTCGCCGTAGGCGGCCTCGATGGTGACGTCGGAGTGGCGCCCCTCGGTGAGGAGAGAGAGGAGTTCGGCCTTGAGCGTGGGGGGCGGCACCTCGACCGACGGCGGCTTGCGCTCGTAGACGACGTCCATTTTCCCCACGAAGACCTGCCCCTGGCTGGGGTGATCCTTCATGGCAGCCTCCTCGATGCAAACCTTGAAGCAGATCGAGTCGTCCTTGACCCACTCGCTGCCGAGAAGCTCGTCGAAGGACAGGCCAAAGAGCCCCTTCGACTCCGTCTCCAGATCGGGACCGCCAACGAAGCAGGACGCCTCGTCGCGGGCGGGAACGGCCACTCGCGTCGCCTCTCCCAGCGGATGGAACTCTCCACTCGCATCCCGCACGAAGAAGCGGTAGCAGATTTTGGTGCCGTAGTTGTCAGCGGTGCGAATGAGCGCAAGGGTGCCGCAGAGATCGTCGTCGAACATTTCGAACCGATCATCCGTCTTGTGTTTCAGGCTGCCGCCGCGCGGGCTGAAGGCGAGCAAGTATGTCGAGCAGTCGTCCGAGGGGTCGACCTCAAAGATGTCGCTGCTGGTGCACTCGCGCCCCTCCTGCGTGAGCTGCTGCTCGAGCCAGGACAGGCCCTGCACCTCCCAGACATACTCGCGCTTCACCACGGCGCTCGCATACGACACGGTGGTCTTGGCCAGGGTGCAGGAGGTCCGCGTCGGCTTCTTCTCGGTTTGTGCGCCATCCACGTCCCCCGCTTCGTCGTTATCGATGCGAGTGCGGATATCCCGCTTGGCGCCATTGCCAGAGCGAACCCAAATGTTGATCTGGCTCTCTCGCTCCAGCTCACGCCGCAGCTGCTGACGCTCCTTCGCCTCTTCGATTTCGCGAGTAAGGGCGGACCGCTCTTCCTTTAGGGTAACCCGCAGGGCGCGCTGCTCCTCGATGCGCGCGCGTAGCTCCGCCGCGGTGAGGTGTTCGCCGGCCATCGTCAGCGTGGAGTGAGAACCGCCAAGCGAAGGGGAGCGGGAGGGGGAGCCCGTGCCCCCGAGTTCATTTCATATAAGGGGGAGCCAAAAAGCGCGTTTCGCGTTTTCTTTTTGAGAGCGCCTTCGTTGTACAAACCGTGGGGGCAGCGTTTTCTTTTTTAGCCAGAGGGAAGGAACTACAGTAGTACCAGCCGTGCCCGCCACAAGCGTGTCAGCCGCGAGCGGCTTCTTGCTTGCCACTGTCGGATCATCCGGCGGAGTGTGCGGTTTGGGAAGAGCGAGCGAACTCGAGCGCTTCGCCCCAAGAAGGCTCCGCATCGGAATTCTTTTTCCACGAGACGGCCGCCTTCTTCGCGGCAAGGCCGCCAATGGCGGCAGCGCTGCCTTCTGAGGCCACCACGGCGGCCGCCATGGTCGAGCGCGCCCGCGCGGAGCGGCGTTGGAGCGACGCCTCCGAGGAGCTGTCGCGCTGGCTGAGCCTCTGCCGCGCCGAGCGCGACGCCGCGGGATTTCGCAGCAGAGCATCCGGGCCGGCGTCGGCGCACGGCGTGCGGCTGTCGCCGCGGACCTCCTTCGACCTCGAGGCGGCCGCGCCGCGCGTGATGGAGCGACTCGCGCGGGAGCGGCTCGCCCGCGGCAAGGGAGGCAAGGCCGGCTCCGCCGAGCGGCTGCTGCACCTCTGCCCCGTCGCCAAGAAGAATGGGCGCGGCAAGGTGCAGCAGCGGCTGCTCGCCCTCACGACGGGCGCGCTCTACAACCTCTCTGCCGACGGGTCCAAGGTCAAGAGGCGGATCGACCTCTCCGCGCTCGGCTCCGTCTCCCTGCACGAGTCGTCGGGCGAGTTCGTTCTTCACGTCCCGAGTGAGCGGCGCTTTGAGAGGAGAGAGAGAGGATTGAGGCCGTCTCCGCCGCTCCACTCCCCATCCCTGCACGCCGACCGCCCCTCGCCGCCCTTCGCACCCCCACCAGGCGAGTACGACTACCACCTCGCCGCCACACGGCAAGGGGCCCACACCGCACCGACCGCAGCCGGCCAGCCGCTTCCTCCGCCGAGCGGCGCGGCCTCCGCCGGCCTCCCTCACCACGCCGGCCTGCAGGCAAGGCGACAGAGAGGGCCACTCCACCACTCGCGAGAGATTCCCTCGCTAGAGACCTCTCCCTCCCCTCTGCCGGTACTAGCACCACTTCACCACACTCTTGCAATGCTCCTAGACCACACCCTCCCAGGACATACCCTCTGGACACCACACGCCCTCACCCGCCCCCCACGGATTCTAGGCCGCCGGCGCCCCCCCTCCTCTGCACGGGGCGGCGGGCTGGGCGGCAGAGGCCGTCGGGCGGCTGGTCGAGGCGGTCGCCGCTGCCGCCGGAGGCGCGCCCTCACACTGGTCTTTCATGCATGTCTCGGGCACAATCTCGGGTCCTCTCCGGCTCTGCCCGCTCGCTCGTTCTTCGGCCGCCCCTCGCCGCCTCGCCTCTCTGCCGCCTCTTCTCCGCGTTGCCCCCCCCCCTCTCCTGTAGCCCTCTCTGACTGACTCTCTCGCTCTCCCTCCCCCACTCTGCTGTGCCACTCCGGTGAGCCACTCTGCCTCCACTGCACCCGCGCTCCAGGCCGCAGCCTGCCCGTGCGGACCGTGCGGGGAGGGGCCGACTTGGGCGGGGTGGTGCAGCGCAAGGAGCGCGGCGCGGGCGCGCGCAGGCTCGGCGACGGCGACGGCGGAGGCGAGGAGGACGACGACGACGACGAGGGCGGAGGCGAGGAGGGAGAGGAGGAGGAGCTGGGCTTGACGCGGTCGATTCACTTCTGAAAACTGTTTTACATGTACACTCGGACCGCGTCCGAAATTCCCTTTCCTTTTAGTCCCCAGTGCCCAGACCCCAGTGTCGTGCGACGTGTTTGTAAAATTCTCTTTCCTTCGTCCAGCACACGCCCCCTTCCCCGCGATGGCTGGCGAGTAGAGGCACGCGCACACACACTCTCGAGGTCTCTTGGAGCAGAGCCCCGGCGAGCCCTCGAGAGAGCCCAATGGGGTCCCTCGAGAGGGGTACCCTGGGTGGGCGGGGCTTGACTCTCGACCGGTGGCTGGCCGCCAAAGTGGCTGGACGGCGCCGCGGCGCACACTTGGCCGCGGAGCACACTGAGGGAGCTGTCCTCGGCGCAGCCGATCGGCTCCCGCGGCCTGGGTGGTGGCAGTGGCACTCTCCGACTGGCGAGGCACTCCCACGCCTCACGGGGTCCCCCCTTGCCCGGGGGGGCGAGGGCTGGGGCGAGCCCCGGCGAGACTGCGTCAGCTGTTTTCACAGCAGGCTGGAAGTACCTCGCCAGCTCTCCCAGCGCATTTTTTCTACACGATCGATTTGCAACCGCCGATGGCCTCCCACCGCATCGGCGCCCGCCTCTCGGGCCTCAAACCGGAGCAGCTGCTCCTAATCATCAAGGAGCAGGGTCCCTCACGCTCGCAGCTGTGCGCCATCATCGAGGCGCAGGCGGGCGCGAGCGCCGCCGCGCTGCGTGTGGCGGAGGAGCACGCCGCTCGGCTCGTGGAGCAGCCCGAGTGGGTCCTCTCCGAGGTCCTCCTATCGCCGGACCTCGCCCCGCACATCCTCGCCCAGCTGCCGACCAAGGCGCACGCCGTCAAGGGGGCGTGCCGCGCGTGGCGCCGCGGCTGGAAGGAGACGCTGAAGAAGCGCGAGAGGCTGCGCCTGGTCGTGATCGGCGGCGAAGACGGCGAGGGTGGGACTGTCAACTCGTTGGAGCGGTACGACCCGTCCACAGACGAGTGGGCGGAGGAGGCTGTGGCGCCTTTGCCGACGGCACGCACGAGAGCAGGCATGGCGGTGCTCGATGGCAAGCCCTACGCGGCGGGCGGCAGGGAGGCCGCCGCAACTTCCAACCTGGTGGAGCGGTACGACCTTGCGACGAACGCGTGGGAGGCAGTGGCGCCGATGGTGACACCACGCGAGACCCACGCCGTGGCGGTGCTCGACGGCAAGCTTTACGCTGTGGGCGGGTACGGCCTCAGCTCGGTGGAGCGGTACGACCCGGCGGCGAACGCGTGGGAGGAGGTGGCGCCGATGGCGGAGGAGCGGTATGATCACGCTGTGGCGGTGCTCGACGGCAAGCTGTACGCTGTGGGCGGCTACAACGACGGCGGCACCCTCAGCTCGGTGGAGCGGTACGACCCGGCGCATGCGTGGGAGGCGGTGGCGCCGATGGCGACGGCGCGGAGCCGTCTCGCCGTGGCCGTGCTCGACGGCAAGCTGTACGTTATGGGCGGCAACGGCGAGAACGAGGCCCTCTGCTCGCTTGAGCGATACGATCCCGTGACGAACGCGTGGGAGGCGGCTGCGCCGTTGACGAGCGCACGGTGTTTTCATGCCATCACCGTGGCGTAGGGTTTTGGAGGGTGGGGGGGGAGAGGCAATTAAGGCTGTGTCGCGCTGCAGCTCGCGGCGGTGGATGAGATCAAGACATGAGATCGCGACCGAGTCCGGCTCGCCACGGCGCTGGGGAGGACGCCGCCGTCGCCTAGACTCCCTTGCGTTACTACGTGTTTGTAAAGCCGTAGCCTGGCGTTTGTGCCCCGTCGTGCCCCCCGTCCTGTGCCCCCAGAAGTTCATTTTTACGGCAACGACGCCAACGTCCTCTGTACCTGAAGGCTGAACTTTGAAGCTGTGCCGGTGCGCCCAATCCCAAAACGCACAAAAGCGTGCGCGGCTGCATTTCCTTTTGGGACGCCGAAACCAATTTCATATGAATTTACGGCGCATCAGGGGGAGGGCTTGTCCCACTGCCGCTCCTGCTGCCCGCGCCGCCCCGACCGCCCCGCACCCGCCTCGCCCTCAGTAGCCCAGCTCCTTGACCAGCGCCGCATACGAGTCCTCCTCCTCGGGCTCCGGCGCCGCCCGCGCCGCCCTCTCCCCCGGCTGCCGCTCGCCGGCCCGTGGCGGGTCGAGGCCGAAGAGCAGCAGAAGCCGCGCCTGCGCCGGCCTCACCGCCGCCTCGAGGTCGGCGAGCCACGCCGTCTCCGTCAGCAGACGCTCAACCTCGACCAGCCTCGCCTCGCCCCCGCCGTTCCCGGCGCCGTCGCCCCCGACCCCACCGCCCCCGCCCCCGCCGCCGCCGCCGCCGCCGCCGACGCCGCCGCCCTCGCCGCCCCGTCCCTCGGCAGCCTCGCCGCCCTCGAGCGGGTCGCCGTAGGTCAGGAAGTGCACGTAGAGCGCGTCCGCCGCCGCCTTGCGAACCTTTGGGTAGCGGTGGCCGAGCAGCAGCAAGACCGCACGCAGCAGCGCTCGGAGGAAGGGCCCGGCGGCGCTTGGCAGCAGCAGCACCTGCCCGCCGAGCGAGGTCACGGGGAGATGTGGGGAGATGTGGGGAGATGTGGGGAGATGTGGGGAGACATGCGGCACCTGCCGGCCGAGCGAGACGCGCCGGCGGGTGGAGGGGGAAGGGGTAGATGCGGCGGAAGCGAGGGAGGGGGTGGTGGCGGAGGCGCGGAGGGGGGGGGGGCAGCCACGGGCCTGAATGCCGAGCAAAGCGCGCAGCGCCGCCATCTCGCGTGCACACGCCCTGGCGGCGTCGCTCACTGCGCGGTGCAGCGCCTCCGCAAAAGCGCCCCCGCCCTCGCCCCCGCCCCCGCCCTCGCCCTCGCCCCCGCCCTCGCCCTCGGCCTCGCCCTCGGCCGGGAGGGGCTCGCCGAGGAGCGCCTCGAAGACGCGCGCCTCGAGCAAGTGCTCCGTCTGTTCACAGCGAGCCGGCGCGTGAAGAGACGCCGTCCACACACCGCCCTCGCCTCCTTCGACCGGGCCGCTGGCGCCGTGCGGAGGAGCGGCAGCGCCAGCCTCGCCTCCCTCCGGTGCTGCCGCAGCAGCAGCAGCAGGTCGGAGGCGACACACTGGAGGTGGCGGCGAGGCGCCTGCAGGAGAGGGGCGGTCTAGGACAAGTCTAAGGAACGGACCGGGACGGCTCCAGGAACGGTCCAGGAAGGGTCTAGGAACGGACCGGGACGGGTCCAGGAACGGTCCAGGAAGGGTCTAGGAACGGACCACGCTCGAAGCACCACCGCCAGGTGCTTGTCGAGCTCGGCTAGATCTCGCTCGTTCTCGGCTAGATCTCGCACGATCTCGGCTAGATCTCGCACGATCTCGGCTAGATCGCGCCCCCGTCAGGTGTTTGTCGAGCGCCGCACGGGCGCCGCGCAGAGTCGACTCGGTCAGGCCTGCAGCCGAGAGAGGCAGCCGATCTGCACCCAAGCAACCCGCATCTCGCATCTCGAGGCTGCATCTTTGGGGTTCTTGAGGGTGTGTCGAGGCTATCTCGAGGCTGCAGCTCGGCTGCATCTCGAGGCTATCTCGAGACTGCAGCTCGAAAGTGCAGCTCGAAAGTGCATCTCGAAAGTGCATCTCGGCTGCATCTCGAGTGGCCTCCGGCGGAGACGCTGAGCCCCCGCAGCGCGGGGAGGCGGTACTCGCTCAGCGCGAGGAGCGGCGCCTGATCAGAGCGTGGCTGATGGCACAGCGGGGTGTGAGCAGGAGGGGCTGGCTCAGCGCGAGCAGCGGCGCCGTCACGCCGAAGCAGACGGCGGGCACCAGGAAGTCCGCGGACCTGTTCACAGCAGTAGGTGTGAAGAGACGCTGTTCACACCCAGCAGACAGCGGGCACGAGGAAGTCCGCGGACGTGGCTGGCGCGGTGCAGGTGGAGTCGGACGGGTCGTGCACCTGTGTCATGATTAACGTGCACCGGTCACAGTACTGTTGGGTTCGTCGTGTGGCGCGGGTGTCGTCGGGGGCGGCACCCAGAGTGTGCATCACCGCATGGAGATGGAGATGGACATCGGGGCTGAGGCGTGAGTGCCGTCTCGGGGCGTGCACTCGGAGCACCGCGCGGCCACACGTGCGACACATGCCGTGCGCATAGCTGACACCGGCAGGAGAATGCGAGGGCTGTGGAGTGCGCGCGCCGGCGCTCGGAGCGGGGTGTGCGTGTCTACTGGCTTGCACAAACAGGGCGGAGAGGGGCGCATCTACAGCAGGAGCACGAAGATTCGGCGCAGCTCGGGGGCGCGCGCGACCGCGGGAAGCCGCTTCTCGCTCAGCAGCGCGGAGAGCGACACGGCGGCTAGCTCGCGCACGCGGTCGATCTTCTCGACGGCCTGTTTACAGCGTGAAGCGTGAAGAGACGCCGTTCACAGCTCGCGCACCCGGTCGATCTCCTCGACGGCCTGCTGGGAGAGGGCCGCGGCGAGCCGCTGGCAGAGCGAGGGCAGCGCGGCCTGCAGCGCCTCGGCCTCGGCCTCCGCCTCCCCCTGAGAAAGAGGGGCGTGCCGCCGTCAAAAGCAAAAGCGGGTGCCGCGCGGCAGCCCCACTCGGCTGCAGCCTCCGCCTCCGGGGGTGGCGAGAGTTGCGCCGCGTGCGAGTCGCCGGTGCTGCCCGGCGCGCCGTGCTCGGGAGGGGTGGCGAGGCGGAGGAGGGGGAGCGCGGCATGCATCGCCGCCTCGCGCACCCAACTGCCGACGTCCCCTCGGTTGTCCGTCTGGTAGTCCCCAAAGGCGTCCAGACAAGCCTACTCACACCCGGGAGTGTGAAGAGACGCCCCCTTTCACAAGTGGCAGTCGTCCGTCCATCCAGCCAAGCCTCGAAGATCTCGAGGAAGAGCGGCGTGGTCAGCCCGCCTACGATCTCTCTCGTACCGCGCCAGTCCACAGCGCGCGCATGTGCAGGCGAGGAGACGTCGGCGTGGCCAAGCCGCCCTCGGAGCCGGTCGCGACGAGCCCCGCCGTCTGAGAGAGCTCGACCTGTTCACAGCGGGAGGCGTGAAGAGACGCTGTTCACACGAGCTACGCCGCCGGGGAGAGATCCCCCCACCAGAGCAGAGATCGCGTTGCGGCGCGTCTCGGGGTCGCGCAGCTCCGCCACCGCCTCCGGGCGCGACGCCTGCATCGGCGAATCACGAGTGGTGCTCGGTGGATAGTGAAAAGTGAGTTGCATGACCGCCTCCGGCCGAGAGGGCCTGGACGAGCGCCGCGACGGCGGCAGGGAGGGAGGCGCGCAGCTGGGGGGAGGGCAAGGCGCCAAGGGCAAGCGCATGCCCGCGCCGCAGCCCCGCGTTCGGGTCCTAAGAGGACACTCGTGGCCGCGTCACCACGCATGCCGACCAACTCCCCGCGCCGCAACCCCGCGCTCGGGTCCTTGCCCAGAGGGATGGCGTACCGCGCCACCAAGTCCAACGGCGCCTGCCCCGCCTCCCCGCCGCCAGCAGCGCCTCCGCCGCCGGCGTCCTCCCCGCCGCCGCCAGCGCCCTGCCCGCTGCCAGCCGCCCTGCTGCCGCCGCCCGTGCTGCCGCCCGCGCTGCCGCCGCCCGTGCTGCCGCCGCTCTCCGAGAAGTAGGCGCGGGAGAGCTGCCGCAGCGCCGCCACCGCGGCGAGCGAGATCTGCTCCGTCGGGTGCCTACGGCGAGGCGCCGGGAGATCTGGGGAGATCTGGGGAGATCTGGGGAGCTCTGGCGAGATCTGCTCGGTCGGGTGCTTGATGCTGTCGTCGAGGGAGGCGAGGCTGCGGAGCGCCGCCTTCGGACCGCACGGCATCCGCACCGCCGCGCACACCTCGAGCATGCGACAGACGCCGATTGCTGATTCGATTGGCCTGGCTAGTGCCATTCACGATGGGCCACGCACCTCGAGCATGCGGCACACAGCACCGCGCATCGCCTCGCCGCCCCGGCCGCGGTACAAACGCGCCTTCTCGACGGCGGGCACCACGCCCGAGATCGCCTTGCGCAGCTCGGGCGGCAGCGCGGCGCCGCTGCCCGCGTGGCGAGCGCGGCAGAGGGCGAGAAGCACCTGCCAGTGTACGTGTACGTGCGATGAGCGTGCGATGAGCGTGCGATGAGCGTGCGATGGGCGTGTGATGGGCGTGTGATGGGCGTGCGATGGGCGTGTGATGGGCGTGTGATGGGCGTGTGATGGGCGTGTGATGGGGGGCGTGTCGCGGAGGTTGTGTGCCGGCGTGATGATGACTATTGACGACGGACTATTCGCTTCTGGTGGGCGCCTCCGCCGCCATGTGGACAGCGCCGGTCCTCTCCTTGAGGTCGAGCGAGAGGGCGCGCTTGCACAGCGCCGGCAGCATCACCTGCACGAGTATGACTGCCACTCCTCCCATTGATCGCACCGGCCCTCCTGCACAGCGCCGGCGGCAGCACCTCCACAGTCCACTCGGGCGCTAGCGGCGCCGCCCTCGCCGCCGCCTGCACCGCGAGCAGCCGGACGACCTCATATCTCCCCACATCTCCCCACATCTCCCCACATCTCCCCATATCTCCCCATATCTCCCGCGAGCAGCCGGACAACCTCATCTCCCCAGATCTCCCCAGATCTCCCTGTATCTCCCCATCTCTCGAGCAGCCGGACGCCCTCATCGACAATGCACATCCCACACGGACCAGAGCTTGACCGAAACACTACTCGCCGCCTGCGCAGCCAGCAGCCGGACGGACTCGTCCCAGTGCCGGCTCTTGACCTAAGGCAGACAAGGAGCGCGTCACGTGTGGACACGAGCTCATTGGCAGCCGCAAGTGACGGCGCTGCTGCCTCGAGCAGGTGGCGGAGCAGCATGGGGCGGTACTCCTCGAGCGAGGCGAGGAAGGGGGCGACGCGCAGGTACGCCTACAAAAAGAAAATACCCGTCGAACAGGACGCCGTATTCCTTTGTTTAGGCGACGCGCAGGTAGCGCAAGTATGCGTTCGGACGCGAGCCGAGCGCGAAGTAGTCAGCCCTGGTCACGATCTCGATGCCGTGGGGGAACGAGCCCTGCCGCCCCACATTCTCCTAGTCATCGGCGAGCGAATCCACTCAGCAATGGCTAGTGCAGGAACGAGCCCTGCCGCCCCACAGTCTCCTGGAAAGCGGCCGAAGCGGCGCGCCGCACGTTCACCTCGCGGTCGAACGTGACGACGACGAGAAGCGACTGCGCCTAAACAAGAAATACGGGCTTCTGGCCCCACTGTATTTCTTTTTTAGAACGTGACGACGACGGGCAGCGACTGCGCCAGCTGAGCGACGTGCGGCGCCATCACGGCGGCGTCGAAGGCGCGCGCGAAGGCCCAGCAGACGTAGCAGGCCGCGTCGCGCACGTGCGTCCCGACCGACGTTGTGCCGCGAGGGACGTCGTAGTGCAGCGCCGACACGACGCGAGGCAGCACCTGGGGGTGCGGTCCTCGGGCGGGGCCTTCATCTACCGAGACTCACCCACCGCGCCGACACGACGCGAAAGCGGCGTGTTCGGGTGAGGGTGTTCGGGTTAGGGTGTTCGGGTGAGGGTGTTAGGCTTAGGGTGTTAGGTCAGGGTGTTCGGGTGAGCGGCACCTCCGGCAGCCGCGCAGGCAGCAGCAGCCCGCGCCGCGCCAGCTCCGCCAGAGCAAGGCAGCCGCCGTGCCACGCGCTCGCCTGCTCGTCCGGCGCGAGCAGGTCGACGGCGCCTCGAAGAAGAAACACAACGCCGTGAGAGAGACATGTACGCCGCCTCGCTCCTCCGGCGCGAGCAGGTCGACGGCGCCTAAAAAAAGAAACACAACTGGGCAAGAAAACGCCGCCTCGCTCCTCCGGCGCGAGCAGGTCGACGGCGCCTCCGACGACGTCGTCCGCGAGCTCGAGCGGCAAGCGGTTTGTGATGCGGCCGATGCCTTTGGCGGAGGACCTGAAGAGGGAGGACAACGGCCGGGACCTTCCTCAGCGATGGACTCGCGGCCGACGCTTTGGCGGAGGAGCTGCGCACGACGGTCTAGGAAGAGTCAGGGAAGAGTCTAGGAAGAGTCTAGGAAGAGTCTAGGAGGAGTCTGAAAGAGTCTAGGAAGAGTCTAGGAAGAGTCTGGGAAGAGTCTAGGAGGAGTCTAGGAAAGGACCAGCGCACGACGGTGTCGGAGTCGCGAAGCCCCGACAGGAGCTGCTCGAGGATCGACTCGACCGCCTCGGGTACCAGGCCCTCCTCCTCCTCCTCCCCCCCCTCCGCACCAGCCGCTGCCTCGCCCGCCGCCGCCGCCGCCGCACCCTTCCCTCCCGGCGGAGCAGCGCCGGCGTCTGCTCCCGCGAGCGCGCCGAGCTCGCCGCCGAGGTTGAGGAGGAGGGAGCGGGCGCCTGCTTGTCACTCATCCAGGCCCGTCGAGACTGCATTCACGACACGCGCGCAAGACGGGGGAGGGGAAGGGGGGGGGGGGGAGGGGAGGGGGCGGGTGGTGCGGGCGCCGCGGGTGTAGCGCCACGCGGCGACGCGTGGAGGGAGGAAGACGAGGGCGACGCGCTGCAGCAGCTTGATGCCTGATTGGCGAGTGGTCCGACGGGTAGTGAGTGAACTAACAGACGAGAGGGCGGCGCGCTGCAGCGGCTCGCTGCCCAGCTTGCGCCGCACGACGGACGAGTCGCCAAGCAGCGCCGCGGGCGCGGCGATCAGCGGCCCGAGGTGCACCTGCAGCTCCTCGGGAGGAAGTGTCTAGGAGGTGCCTAGGAGGTGTCTAGGAGGTGTCTAGGCAGTGTCTGGCCCGAGGTGCACCAGCTGCGGGAGGAGCTCCTCGCGGTGGCCGAGCTTGAAGATAGCGGCCAGAGTCGTGTAGATCCCGACCGTTAGGAAAGAGGCGGTGCCTAAAAAAGAAACACACGGGCTTGCGGCCAGAGTCGTGTAGATCCCGACCGTTAGGAAAGAGGCGGTGCCGACGGCGGCGGCGCCGTCGCCGCGGCTGCCCTGCGGCGAGGCGGCGGCCGGGCGAGCGCAGGGTAAGGGTTAGGGTAAGGGTCGGGGCTAGGGCTCAGGGTAGGGCTAGGGTGAGGGTGAGGGTCAGGGTTAGGGTTAGGGTCAGGGTTAGGGTGAGGTCCAGGGTGAGGGTGAGGGTGAGGGTTCCTGCAGCGATGCGGCGCCCCAGACGATGAACTCGCGGAGGGCCGGCTGCAGCCCTGGCCGCGTGAGCAGCCGCGCGCAGAGCGCCGCTGCGGCGTCTCTCTCCGGGCCGGGCGAGGAGAGGTGCGAGCGTGCGAGCAGCTCGATCCTACGTGTGAATGGACGAGGGGTGGGGCCGTCTAGTCAGGAGAGGCGCGAGGGAGCGAGAAGCTCGATCCGACGCACGAGCGGCACGGGGGCGTCGGCGTCGGCGTCGGCGTCGGCGTCGGCGGAGGAGGAGGAGGAGGCGGAGGCGGCGGAGGCGGCGGACGAGTCGATGATTGAGAGGTCAAACGGCAGCATCACAACCATTGACAGCCAGACCATGAGGGAGTAGGAGATCTGCCAGGTGTCTCCGTCCTCCGGCGCCAGCGTGCCGAGCAGCCCGACCAGCGGCTCGAGGTCGCGCGCCTCGTGCGGCACGAACTTGACCACCGTCTTGTAGCCGCGAACCTTGCAAAGCGTGTACATGACGCGGCACGGCGGCCGCAGCGAGGCGGAGACGGCGGCGCCGCCGGCATGAGCGAGCGTGCGCACCACCGAGAGCAGCGGCACCACCAGCAGCTCCAGTGCCGGGTCGAGCACGCCCGGCTGCTCCTGGTAGCGGTCGAGGATCGTGCAAACACGCTCCGCGGCAGCGGCCGCCTCGTCGCCGCCGCCGCCGAGGGAGCCGATGAGCTGGGCCGCCTCCTCCGCCTCGGTGAAGAGCAGGCGCGCCTCGACCACCTCGTCGACTGCGTCGGGCTCGGGCGGAGCGTTGAGGCTCTCGTTGTTCGCGGGAGAGACCATTCTTGGGCCTTGTGTGAAACAAACGGCCATGCGCGTACCTTACTGTACCTCTACCTAAGTGTGCCGGCCAGCGCCCACACCGGCACCGGGGGTAGGGTCAGAGGGACTGCACCCAAGGTGTTGAGGTGAGCACCTAATGTAGTGTGGATACTGCGCTCCTGGATCCTTGGAAATCGCCCAGTCAGCAGTCGCGAAGGCAGAGCCACATCCTCTCACCATATCTCCCCATATCTCCCCATGTGACATGGAACTCTGCCGCTCGCGGGGCGAGAGACATGTTACCACATCTCCCCATGTATCCCCATCTCTATAATGCAGCTCGGCTGCTCGAGGCGCGACCTACATCTCCCCATATCTCACGACATCTCCCGATATCTTGCGAGCGATGGCGACCCGAGAGCTCGTGGATCTTGCCGGCGATGGCGACCCGCGACTGATCACCCCAGAACGCGGCGGCCGCCTCAAGCACGGGGCGGCGGGCTGCCGCCAGCTCCTCCGCCCAGTCGGACATCGAGAAACCGATACGAGACGATACGAGACGAGACGCGACCCTATACGAGACGAGACGATTTTTTTGCGCTCGATTTTTCTGAAGGTGCCGCAACCGGCTATATGCTTGGCGACGAAACCGAAGCCCAAAAACCTGGGGCCAGTTTTGCTGCGGTAGACAGCACAGACAGTCACCGAGTCACTCTCACTGCCGAGCGGAGACTGCCCCGACTCTGCAGTCTCATCTCTCAAGAGCGGCTACACGGAGGCGGACTCGCGTCAAGCGTATCGCCCTGGGGCCAGTGTCTCATCAGTCAGCGCGGCGGTCTTCTCAGAGCCCAAGGCCGTGCTCCTTCATGGCCTTGAGGAGGGCCTTCCGGTAGCCCTGCAGCCCCACTTCCGGATCAATCCTGCGGCTAATGCCCAACTGCGCGTGCGCGACCGCGTACTCCTGCAGCGTAAGCGCGCCCCCCTTGATTTTGAACGTGCCATTTGGGCCTCTGATGCGCGCCGCACCGGGATTCTCGGCGCGAAGACGGTCATGGGCGGCGATGTCGGCGGCAAGGTCGGCCTGAGTCACGTCGTTGTTGCCCCGCACGGCGTCGCGGCACGCCTGACGAGTGTGCAGTGATGTTGGGAGATCATCAGGGGGGAGATGCAATCTGTGCGTGTAGTAGAGTACGATTCGAAAGTGTCCGGAAATCATGATGCACTACCCTGGAAGCTCTGCCTGGCCGTGCTCGCGCTGAATTGCAGCGCTGTCGCTCTTTGGGGGTGCGGCGAGCTTTGCGACGCCGCTCTGCTCGCCTGCGCACATGTACGCAATCTGTAGGGGGGAGATGCTTCGCGACGCCGGGGCGGGGCTGAGGGATGAGCTTTCAAGGGCGCGCATGTGCTTGTGCGCACGCGCGTGCAGCGCGCGCCGTCGCGTCTCGGCGCGGCGCGCATCGGCGGGCAGGTGGGGTTGGGGCGAGCGCCGGGGCGCGCGGGCGGCGTGACGAGGGGCGGGGGCGGTCTTGGTGGGGCTTGGGGCTGGCGGGAGGGGGCGGGGGGTGGCGCCTTTCGAGCTTTGCGCCAGCCGGAAGCTTTGGTAGGGTGATCTCGGGGGGGGGGGGGGGCGGGGAGGGTCTTGGGGGGTTGGGAGCACGCACCGGCGCGGGCCTTGCGCTTGCTCGACTTCTCGATCTCCTTCTCCGGCACTCCCTTGGCGCGGCGAGCGTCGTCCGCCGAGGCGGCTCCTGAGAGGAGAGGGCCCACGTTAGGCGGAGGCGGTGAGGGCGGCGGCGGGAAGGGTGGCGGGCGGAGGAGGGAAGGGGTGGGAGAGGGAGGGGGCGGGGAGGGCGCGCCGCCCCGCACGTCGCCGCGCTCGCAGTGCCGCAGGAGCGCGAAAGACGCCGCGACGAATGCGTCGGCCGCTGCCGCCAGCTGCGGCGAGCAGCCCTCGAGTCGCTGGCGCAGCGGGGCGCGGTCGAGCTCGAAGACGGCATCGAGTTGCTCAGCCCGCCCGTCCACCAGCACCGCGAGCTGGCGCACCGCCTCCTGCGCGTCCTCGCCGGTCTCCTCCGCGAGCTTCTCGAGCGAATCGAGCGTCGTGTCGCGGTGCTGGCGGAAAATCTTGAGCTCGATCGGCGGCTTCGCCGCCGGCACGGCCGCCAACCCGCCGGCGGCGTCGCGCGCCACGCCGTCGGCGACCGGCGAGAGAGCGAACGGCACGCCAATGGCTGCAGCCATCGACGCGCTCCACGCCTCGAGCGCGATCCACGCCTCGCCGTCGCCGCCGCGGCAAATCTTGTATGACCGGACCCCCGGCAGGAACAAGCACTCGGGCTGCTTGTCGCTCGCCTGCGCCAGCCAGCGGTTCGCGCGCTGCGCCGACACCTCGAGCGATTCGGTCAGCAAGTGCCGCGCCGGTGAGATGGCTTCGCCGGGCGAGACGTCGGCCTCGCTGCCGCGGATCACCTCCAGAACGACGGCGACCGCCTCCGCCCGCGAGGCAAAGGGGCGCCTAGATAAAGTTCGCCTGCCGTGAGAGTCGTCAAGCGCGGGGGAGAAGCGCTGCCGTGCAACCGGCGTACATGACCCACTCGCCCCGGTAGTCGAGGACGCAGAACTTGGCAGCGGCGCCTACGAACTTGAAGTGCACCTCTGCGCCGCGCGCGTGTGTCTCTCGCGCCGAGAAAAGCGGTGTGTGTGTGTGTGTGTGTGTGTGTGTGTGTGTGTGTGTGTGTGTGTGTGTGTGTGTGTGTGTGTGTGTGTGTGTGTGTGTGTGTGTGTGTGTGTGGACTGTGCGGTGCGGTGTGGTGTGGTGTGTGCGCGCGCGTGAGTGCGCGTGCTGGGGCTGCCTCCGAACCACTCGTTGAGCGAGCCATCCTCAACGAACAGCTTGCTCATGCGCTCGCTGCGCAGCAGGTGGCCCTGCGCAACGAAGTGCGCGTAGGAGCCCCGCTGCTCCGTGGTCGGGGCGTCGGGCGCCACCGCGCGAGCGAGCGCGAGCTCGGCCCCATAGTAGCACGGGATCAAGCGCACAATCAGCTCCATAAGCTCGTCCGACCACGCGGTCACGCGACGCCGCACGCCGCTCCAGATCAGCGCGCGAAGGAAGTTGGCCTGAGCGGGATGCGAGTGGAGTAAGAGAGCAGAGCGACATGTGCCTGTGCGTGGCGCTGTGTGTGCACTGTGTGTGATGAGTCGGCGCGTGCATGTGGCGGTGCGCGCCTCGGTGCACGCGGAGAATCGCGGGTCCTCCTTGACGTGCTCCAGCAGCTTGAAGAAGCCCGCCTCGGTGAGCTCGGCGCGCACGGTGGTGAAGGAGAGAATGACGGCGAGGGCCGCGCAGCCGAGGGCGGCCTCGCGGTGCGAGCAGGAGAGGACGCCCTTCAGCCAGCCGAGCCCCTCGACGTCGTCGACGAAGAGCTTCTCGAGCAGCCTGCCGATGCTCTCGTACACGGCGCGGAGCGACGCGCCGCCGCCCTTGTCGAGCGCGGCCGCGTACATTGTTGCGATCTCATCCGCGTCGGTGGTCACCTTGGCCGAAGCTCCATGCTTTTGGCGGCGCAGCTCGGCCCGGACTTGCCGGATCAATGCTGCGATCATGGCGCTCTCGGAGTCGCCCGCTTGCACGTCGTCGGCCTCAGGAATCTCGCGCCTCGCGGCCTCGATGCCGGCGGCGGGCAGCGCCGCGTCGCCGGCGAGCCCCGCATCCGAGCTGGCCTCGTCCTCGTCCTCGTCCTTGCTGTCGTCCTCATCGCCGCCGCCGCTGCTGCCGCCACCGCCGCCGCCGCTGCTGCTGCCGCGCCGGGTCTCACCTGCTACATGGGTCGAGGAGACGCATTTTGCGCTCCGATCGAGAGGCTGCGAGTGAAGTGTCCAGGGCCGCAGATTGCGGCCCGACCGCGCATGCTACTCTAGGGGGCGCGCGACCGCGCCCTCCCAAGCCCGCTTCTTCGCGCCGCGCCCGCCGCCGCCCCCGCCGCTGCTGCCGCCACCGCCGCCGCCCCTGCTGCTGCCGCGCCGGGTCTCACCTGCTACATGGGTCGAGGAGACGCATTTTGCGCTCCGATCGAGAGGCTGCGAGTGGAGTGTCCAGGGCACCGCAGATTGCGGCCCGACCGCGCATGCTACTCTAGGGGGCGCGCGACCGCGCCCGCTGCGACGGCCCGCTGCGGCGCCTCAACCGAGCGCTTGGGCGGCGCAGGCCTCTTGGCTCCGCCGCGCTTCTTCTTCGGCGGTTCCTCGCTCTCCGAGCCGGACCACTCTGAGCCCGAGTCGTCTCTGCCGCCGTCGCTGTCCGAGGCAGACCACTCGCTGTCCGAGCTCATTGCCTTCCGAGGCGGCAGAGCGAGGGCTTTTTGTTTATTTATAGGCACGGGACTGGCGCGCACTGGCACTAACACAGGTACACCACGGGAGCCGAGTGTCGTGCGAGAAAAAGAATTTCTCCTCAAGCCAAAGAAACCCGGCGCCCTGTTCGCGCCTCGGCGCATGTCCGGCGCCCCCACATCCGCTTACGGCTTACACCCCTTCGGCTGCAGGAACGCCCCTGGTGTGCAGGATGGTTGTCATAGAGGACCCGCTCTTCCGGTCTCCCTGCGCGCGTCGGGCGGGTCGTGTCACGCTCGCCACCATCGCATGGAGCAATGGTCCATGCACGTTCGCGACATCGACCTCTTTCTGCTTTATGCGCGAATGACTTTCTCGCACCCACTAGTGCTACTGACTCTACCTCTAGCGGCGCGCTAGCGGCGCGCGGGATGACAACCGCCCAGCGCCTCTCTCTCACTCCCCGCTGGGACGCGTCCCAGTAGACGAGCCTCCCGCCGACGATTCGCGCGGGATGACCCACTTTCTACGGTCTGAATCGAGGCGATCGATCCCTGGTACAAACTCGCCGTCAGGCCCCGGGCCGCCAAAACTAAATGCCGGCAGGTCGCGCACCGCCGTCCTGCTAAATCGGCTCGGTACCGGCACGCTCACATCCGTGACAAAGGAGCGGAAGATGTCGTGCTCGCTCAGCTTGTCGCGGAACCGCGCGTGCGCAATCACCGCCCTCTCGAGCGCCTCGGTGATCCGTGCGTTCGACGTGTGCGAGCACCTACACGCGTCGCAGCAGCGCGCGCTCAAGGTGGCGGAAAGGGAGGCTAAAGAGTAAAAAGCGAGGCGCCAGTGCGCGTGGAAGCGCTCGTGCAGGAAGAGGAGCTCCCACTCGGGCACGCGCACGTCCTGATCCTCCGTCTCGGCCAGGATGGGCCGCATGCAGAGCACCTTGTAGTCGGCTCCCGGCGGCCCCTCCCGCTCCACCCGCTCAATCGCGTGCGGCATCGCGCCGAGCCGGTCGACAAAGAAGACCATGCCCGCCTTGGTGTTGACCTTCCGCCGCTTCGTGGGGTCGCCACGCTTGCAGACAAACGGCCCGCCCCCCCGGGGCGCGCGCACGACGTCGGACGGGCGGGGCCGCTTGCGGCGCTGCTCGCGCGGCAGCTGCTCGTCCGAGTGGTGCCGGCCCTCGCGCAGGGCCTCGTCTATGCGGCGCTGCGCGGCGTCGGCAGGCATGTCAGGCGGGACGAACGGGCGGAGAAGATGGACCGGCAGCCATCGGCCCGTTCCGTCCTCCTCTCGAAGCACCCTCACCTGGCGCATCGCCGCGAGCGGTGAGACGGCCCGAGTGCCCTGGCCGCGCCGCGCCGTGCCCAGCTCTTCCTCTGGCAACTCGCCGACCACGTACACGTGGGCCCAGGATGAGCCGTGCTCCGGCTGGCCAAACACGGGGAGCGCTCGCGCAAGCAGCGCGCCAAGGGCGGATCCCAAGTTGGGAAAGTACATGCGCCGGGCCTCCGCAAACTGCTCCTGCGCGTCGACGACTTCCGTGACGCCGAGCTGAAAGAAGTCGATCTCGCGCACGTGCATGGTGGCGAGCGTGACACCGCCGACGCGCAGGGAGACGAAGAGCGGGTCCTCTATGACAACCATCCTGTGTGTGGGATTCTCAGAAGTCGTCTGAGCAAGCAGGAGGCTAATTGAAGAAAAAGCAGCATGGTCTCCAAGTCGAAGGAGGCGGCACGTTGGCGAGCGAAATAAAAGCCAGACCTCGGTATGCCATGCGCGCGGAAAACACTTGCGTGGATACGTGGCTGGCAGGCTGACCCGTGTGCGGGGTAACCCGCGCACGGGGAAGCTTCACGGGTTCGAGTCGCCAAACATTAAGCAGCGGAGGTGTGCCGAGGGGGACCGGGAGGCGGTAAGCCGTCGTCGCCCGGCGCTGCTTGCAGCACCGTGGCGATGGCGCTAAGAGGTTCCTCTTTTCCGCGCCCCCCCCCCGCAAGGCGCGCGACACACAGGCGCCTCCGTTTCGTTCACGTGTGTCCGAGCGCCTCTTGTTTGCCTCGCTCTGCAGGCACCAATATGGTCCCCCAGGGGTGTGTGAGTGAGTATTCTTGATACGAAACCACGACGACACACACCAGTCGACTCGCATCGGTTGCCTCCATTAACGGCGGAGCTATTCTCGCGCCCACACCACACCTGGCTCCAACGTGGACACGCCCATAGCTGGGGACACTACTAGGTCACGCATGGCATCAGAAGTTTTATCTCTGGGCCCCAAAAGGCATCTCTAGCAGTGTCGTTACGCATGCGCCCAGATCTGCTCGTCTCAGAGGGTACCCTCTGTGCCAAGAGAGGCCATCCACGAGCGGCTCAGAGGGTGCCTGAGTCTGTCGTGATCCCCCAGCACCAAGCAGAGAAATAAATAAATAAACGCGGTCAAACTCTCTGAGACGAGACGGGATTTCTTGCATTTTTGCTCCCTGGCTAAGGGAGCAAGCAAGCCCACTCAACCCCAAGTACTCACCGTTTTACAGTGGTGTTTTTGTCGCATCGGCTGCAGCCTCTGCTGGGGCGGAACGCGCGGGGTTTTCGGCGCGATGCCCTCGGCGAGTACACGCTACAGCACCGCCGCAAACTCTCCTGCGCGCGCGTGACGTGTGGGACGCGTGCGCTGCGCTCAAACGTCGCGATTTGGCGATAGGCGCTCGAGCCGGCGCACAGCGGATAGGTGCGCCGCGCAGGGGGGGTCGGAGGGGTGCGAGAGGGGGCGTGGGTCGGGAGCGCACCGGCTGGCTCCGGGAGCGGCCGTCACGTCGAGGAGTGGGGCTGTCGGCGGCTCGAGCGCCGAGGCAAGCCGCTCTGCTGCGCCGCCGACAGCCCCTCTTCCGAGCCGGCGCGTGGAGGCGAGCCGCGGCCGGTGTCGCTGGTGCGGGGGCGGCGCAGCGTTTATCCCCCCCCGCCCCCCCGCCCGCCCGCCCGCCCGCCCGCCCGCCCTCAGGCCTTGGCGCACCCCGCGCAGACGGCGCTCCGGGACAGACGGAGCAGCGACCGCGCTCAGCGGTCGCTGCTCCGCCCCTCCGTCGCGCGCGCCGCGCGCGCGCTGCGCCGCTGCCGCCGCGCCCCCCTCGCCGTCTGTTTCCCGCCGTATGGTGTGCGGTGCGCGCACCGGGCACGCGCAGCGCACACGGCAGCTCGTGCTCTCGAGCACGGCAGCCTCCCCACCCCCCTACCAACCCCGTCGCGCCGCCGCCGCCGCCGCCGCCCCCGCCGCCGCCCCCGTTGTACCGTCGCGTACTTATTTTAAGACCAAGTAAACAGCAATAGATCCGGGTGTAGTGCCGGATCAGTTCCTGGAGCCAGGGGGACCGATATCCGATTTGCACCAAGGGGACCAATTGCTAAACACCCGGGCGGGGGGGGGAGGGGGTACAGGGGGCCGCCCCACAGACCCGTTGCCACGCGCACCAGGTGAGAGGTCCCGCATGCCAAACGCGCACGTTCGGCACAGCAGATACAGCTCACACTGGCGGGAGCATGCAAGGGTATATACACTTAACACCTACCCGACAGTACATTCCATGCCAGAACATTCATGGAGGACCGATTCTCGGCAAGTTTGGCAGGGCGGGCAGCTGTGAAGGATCGATTGCTGTACAACGAGGGACCGATTCCGTGAGGGCTGGGTACCGATTAGGCCCCGGTTGAGGGCCGGATCTATTGCTGTTTACTTGGTCTTAAAATAAGTACCCGACGGTAGCGTTTGGGAGTGCGACTGGCGACGGCAAAAATGCAAGCCCCGCCCCTGGCCACTGTTAGGGACATGTGTCCCCGCCCTACACGATCTTGGCGTGAGGGATCTTCAATCCGTCCCCTCACCCCTGGTCACTACCCGACACTAGAAGAGCAGCAAGAGTTGAACGGCTTCGCGACGGCCAAGGAGCGGCAAACCTACCTGGAGAGGGCGGTTGCCCCGCTGTTGGGGTAGTGCTGTGCACACTGACTGTTATCATTGTCGCTTGGGCGGCTCCCGTGGTTTACCTGTGTTTAGTCGGCCAGTGCGCGCCAGTCCCGTGCCCGTCGTTCCTGTGCGTTAAAGGCCTACTTTGGCTCTTGGGCGGCCGCCCTCAAACCCTATAGGGTTTGCCATCGTCCGCGCGCGGCCCCAATTCCGGGCTCTGCGCCGGGTATTTCGGGCGCCGAGAGTGGCCTGGCCCCGGGCCCACCCCCGGAGGCCGATGGCGACATGCACCGCGACCCATTCCGCCTCCTGGAGGCTGCTCTCGGACGCTCAAGCGGCGCCAGCCAGCGGCTCGGCCGCGCATCCTTCACACACGCCGCCACGACCAAGATGAGCGGGCCCGGTGTCGAGTCATGGTGCGAGCTGCATGTCAGGGGCGGCTGTGGACACAGCAGGCCCACCAGACGGGCGTCAAAGCTTGCCGTCGGGGTGCTGTCGTGGGGAGAGCCCGAGACAGCTGCAGAGGAGCCGAGTGCAGTGGCGAGCCAGAGGCTACCTGGGTCACCAAGTGGTAGCCCTTGCCCATTCTGAGCAGGGCTGTGCTTTGGTGGGGTTGTGCTTGAGCATGTGTGAAGTGGGAGTGCGTGCCGGCGGTGTCTGTGGGTGAAACGGGCGTGTATGAGGCCGTAAGAGCCGTGGTATGAGCCAGAGTGGGCTTCATCACCCAAAATAAGGACGGTTTGGGAGAGCTCAGACTTGATACCGATGGGCCTGGGCCAGGAGAGCGACAGAGAAGGCGAGGTGGTGAGCTGGGAAGCCGCTTCGTCGGCACCTGGACGTGTCGCGATGAACTGCCGCGGTGAAAAGCACCTTTTGCGGCTATTGCTCAAGACTTCGGGAGACACGGCCTACATATTATGACTGCATCCATGCGCCTGGTGCATGAAGGCTGCGGGTCGGGACATTTCACGGTCGGTGGCGCCGGTGATGGCCTCCGGAAAGCCCTCGCAATCGCCTCGGATGGGGTCCGCCGAAGACAATCTCGAGCCCTCTCCGAGGCATCACGAGCCGGTGTGAGCTTGCAGACCCAAGGTAAGTGCGGTCTGGGACGGCTCAGACGTGCTACTGATGGGCCTGGGCCAGCATGGCGACAGAGAAGGCGAGGTGGTGAGCTGGGAGCAGGAAATTGCGCTTTTTGGCACTTGCATCTACGTAAAAAGCAAAAACGGCGAACACAAAAACGGTAAAGGATAATTGAAATTCACCCTTTCGCCAAAAGCAAAATGGGCGGGCCTCTCAGGGCGCAGCCCGAGCGCTCTCGCGTCTCGGGCCCCTCGGTGCAGCGGTACAGCCCCGGTCCCCAACGCCAAGAAGCAGCGCGCTGCCTCCGCCAAGGCAGCCCCGAGCGGTGAGCCCGCCATTGCTCGCGTCGGATCCCCAGCCCCCGTGCCCCGAGTGCTGCGGGACTCCCAATGCACTGCCCGCGCCACACTCTGGCGCCACTCTCGTCCACCCCAGCACACACTGCCCCGTGCAGCGCCGGCGCCCGATTGCCCCAAACACGCCATCGCGCACGGTTCGCATGCTTCCTCCCTCCCCCTTCACTCACCCGTACACCCTCCCTCCCATGGCAGGTTCGGGGCCACGCCCTATTCGGACTCGCCTGCACACCTCCCGCAACGCTTGCTCTGCGCCTTCAGCGTCGTAGTCGAGGAGCTTGCCCACCGTTCGAGCGTACTCAATCATGGGCCGCACCTGCTCCGCGCTCCATCTCCTCCACAAGTCGAGGTTCGAGCCCAAGCTCGATACGCCGCTCCACAGGGCGACCCGCCTGTAGTCGATAACGCTGCCAAACGCGAGGCTGCGCGGCGACACACCGATGAAGACCGGCACGCAGCCGCCGCGCGACGCAAAGATGATCGCCTCGATGTACTTGCCCGTGTTAGGGTAGTCGCCGGCGGCCACGATGCAGAACTTGTGATCCAAGCCTACGAGGAGGAGTGCCTCATGACAGAGGCTCCAACGTGGCGGCGTGATCGTGTGTGCCTAGGAGAGACGTATCGCTCGCGCACCCGCGCGGAGGTACGCGTCCCGGCCAAGCTTCGACGGGACGACGGCCCCTCCGGCGGCCACAAAGTCGCGCAGGAAGCCCGGCTCTCTCAACACTGCCCGGCATCTGGTGGCGGACCGGGGCTTCAAGTCGCAACTCATGTTCACGGGGCCGTGGAGCCCCGTGCAGTGCTCTTGCCACGTCCCGTTGCGCGCGCACTCGAGCCCGATGCCGAGCGTCCAGACGTCGGGCGAGGCGACCGTCGCATCGGAGCGGTTGTAGAGCTGTCTCCAGATGCGCCAGCGCGTGGTTGATATCCATAGCTGGGGGACGTGGCCGACGAAGAGGGCGGTGCGCCTGTTTTCCCAGGCGGTGGGGGGCGCGAGGCCATCCAGCTTGCTCCCGACTGTGAGCGCAAACGGCACCAAAATCTGCTCACTCCGCGTCTCCATTTCGGAGAAGATGTACACCGAGCGGCGGCGGAGATGCGGCACTCGAGTGTGTATGAAGAAGGAGGAGGCGACAATCGGCACGGTGGAATTTGCCGCAAGCTCGATCAGCTCTCGTATGGCTGGGTGCCGATGAGCGTCTCGAAAGGTGAGATCCGATCCGAAGAGGATCCAGTCGGCGCTGGATCGCGGCGTCGAGTTGACGCGCGGAGCAATTCTGCTGAACACGTCGTACTGTGACTCGGTCGACCCTCCCTGCCGAGACTTGGTTGACGTCTTGTGGACGGGTTCAAAGACGTGCACGTTGCAGCGGGGAAGCACGCGACTTGATGGGCCAATGTGCTCCGTGGTATTCGCGTCAAGCGCGGTGTCGCTGCCCGATCCGGCGAGCAGCAACAGCAGAGACGTGTACATACAGCGCTTACAGGTCGCCGGCGGCCGGGCAGCGGCCACTAGACGCCGCTACGGAGTCGGCGGCGGAGGCGGCGGTGGGCCCGGCGGCCGGCGGTGTATATTCACATGTATCTCTTCGAGACGCCGCCGCTCCTTGGTTCGGTAAGGGCGTACTAGAGAAAAGCGTCCGCATGCGCCTGGGCCAACGCGGATAGGCTGAACGATGCCTGCTCGAAGCTGCGCACCTGCCCTGCTAGGCACACGGCGGCAGTCGCGGACGAGCAGTTGGCCTTGTAGGTGCCGCGGCCTGCCGTGGCGGCCTCCGCGATGGGATCGAGCGCTGCCATGATGCGATGAAGAATGCCATGATGCAACCGCATTGGTGTGAAGACGCCGTGTTGTCGCCCTGGACTGCGTGCTCCAGCAGTAAACAACGATGCTCGCGGCCCTGGCAATAATCCTTCTGCCACTCGCACGGTCGCCCTTCAAGAGGGCCGGTCACCAGCGTCTCAAGCGTCTTGGTCAGCAACGCGACGGGGCGACAAACATGAGTCGGCTGCCGGGCAGCGGCTGCGCGGTGACGCTCGTGCAGCAGGTCAGCAGGGCCGCCTGTGTCGAGGGACGGACGTACGGCTGCACGGCCTCTCCCGGACAGCCACCGATGGTCTGGGTGAGCAACTCGTGCCGCGGAACGTTCCAGTGCACCGGTCGTTGGTATGGGCCCAGCTACAACCGATCCGTGGACTGCTTCTCGCCGCCAGGCCACACTGCCTACGCGTGCGCGTGCCTCGGAGGAGGGCTCTGGCTCCCCGAGGAGCGTGCCGCGGCGTCCGCAGCCGCCGCCTCGTTGCAGCCGCCCACCCGCCAGGCGGTGACGTCCGGAACGAACAAACAGCCAAGAACGCGACCCCGGCCACCGCCCTCAATCGTGCCCTCGTGCCTCAACACCACGAACGCGTCTGTGCAGCAGCCGGGGGAGGCCGGCGGCGTGAGCAGCTCCGAGGACGACGGGCTGATCCACGTGGCCTTTTACGACACGCGCGCGCCGCAAAGGCGGAACTGGATGGGCGTGCTGCGGGCAGCCGCGATGCTCGACGGCCCGGGCGTGCGACTGCATGCGCTGCTCGCCTCGCCGCTGCCGCCGTCCGTCCCGGCCCACATTCGTGTGGCGGCGCTCGAGCTGCGCAGTCCCGGCGCGCGCTGTCTGCACGCCAACCTCGTGCGGCTCTCGCATGGGCCCGGCCGCACCTACCTCCTCAAACCGCTGCTGCATTTCGTCCTGCCGCCGAGCGTGCGGCGCGTGCTCGTCCTCGACACGGACGTGGTCATGATCCGTCCGCTGGCGGAGCTGTGGGGGCAGTTTGCCCGCTTCGGGCCGGAGGCAGTGCTCGGCCTGGTCGCCGAGCAGTCCAGCCTCTACTCGGGCAACGCCATCGGCAAGAATGGTGGGGTGCAGCTGCTGCACCTCGAGCGGATGCGCCGATCGCCCGCCTACGCCGCCGCCCTCGACCACTACGCCACTGGCCGCGGCGGCGCCTGGCTGGGCTACCTCGGCGACCAGACGCTCTACTCCTTCATGGCGTACTCGCACGGGGCGCTCTTCCACAGCCTTGGTTGCGAGTGGAACCGTCAGCTCTCAGTGCATTTCGGGCTCGAGGCGCAGCGGCAGCATGCGTGTGCCGCCCCGTGCGGGCTTCTGCACGCAAACTCGCCGGACCTAAAGTGCATCGGGACCGCCATGCAGCTCGCCAACGGCTCGTGCGTCGAGTGGCGGCGCCTGCAACGCAACTCCAGCTGCGTGCGCAACCGCGGCGTCGGCGCAAAGTTCCGCACCGCCGCGGCGACGTATTTCGCGAGCTGCTGCCTCTGAAACCCCCGCTGAAGTATAGGGCGGCGGCCCGCGGTGGGCCGCCGGCCGTGCCGTGTGACTCGCCTGAGGGCATGCGCGCCGGCTGTGTGAGAGTGGTACGTAACCGCCACATATCACCTTGCTGTTATTTCTAAGTTTCATTTTTGGGGTCAGGGCGTGTGCGCCGGGCCCGGGGCTCTCGAGAGCAGGCGCACACCCCTTGCAGGGAGGGGGGGGGGGGGGGGGGACTTATAGCATGGCGCGACATAAACAAAGTGAAAGTCAAAGTGAAATAGAGCCTCTCTCTTGAGTCTTGTGGGTTGTCCTGCCGCAAAGTCCAGAAGGATCGGCTTCTCTCCAACGAACCGCCAACACGCCACCCGAGTCAGCACGCCCCCCCCCCCCCCCGAAGCGATGTGCGCCTGCTCTGCCCGCAACGAGATTTGTTTGCATCGTTAGCAGGAAAATCGAATCAGATGCCATTCCCTGCCGATTGAGATTGCCCTTATCCGAGCACTGCAGTGCCGACTTGCGTTTCGCGGTTCGAAGTTTGCCGCTCCTTTGGCGCGTGATCCCCAGGGCCCGGCTGCAACACGCGCGTCGGTTAGTCGAACGATCTGATGAGCGATGTGATCGAACGAGGGCCAGGGGGGCGCTTATTAGTCACCTGCGTGCCCAAGGTCGACGTGGCCATCACTGTCTGCTCAGAGCACGTCCCGTGTATCGAGGACAGGTCGGCGGCAACAGCCCTTCGGCCCCGGAACATGCCAATTGTCCCTGTTGGCGACACGTTGGAGTTCCGCGTGTGCTTGGAGAATCAGTCGAGCCAGGGCGAGCATACTATTGACGTCGGCCTGGGAGATATCGGCTACACAATCAAGAGATTTGTGCCGGTGACGCTGATGGAGTTCAACCGGGCTTCAAGGCTCAGCGGCCAGCTCCCCTCCGCCGTGTATGTGAAGCTGGCGTGCGTCGGCGAGGACGCTGCCACAAGATGCACCACTCAGGGGGACATCTTCGACGAGTCCACGATCGAGTTTTTTCCGGAAGAGGGCTTCAGTATGGAGCTCGCGGACGAGCAGTGCCTAATCAACGCCGCTGCTGGCAGCCGGCTCGGCCTGTCTCGAGACGCCGACGGCCAGCGAGCGGACGACTTCACCGAGATCGCATTCCCCTGCGTTGCCATCACGAACATTGGCGGCCCGGTCAAGATCATCCCGGACGAGCGTGTTATCTTTGATGTTGACCAGCAGCCCCACTCGATCACGCTCAGCGGCGGATCAGTATGCTTTGGCAGCTTCACGATCAAAAGCAAGACCGATCCGTCAAGAAACGAGCCTGGAGTGCAAGGCCTCAATCAGCAAGGATTAGAATGGACGAGCAGCATGATCATGAGCACCACCGCCATCACCAACGGAGAGATCCTAAGCGTCGCCGGTCGACTAACCGAGGGGTCCGCATGCCCCGGCGAGGATATGTACTCCGAAGCAACCGGCACAGCGATTTACCGAATCGGAAGCGTCCCGCCGTACGCGCCGCCGCCGCTAGCGCCGCCTGCGCCGCCCGCGCCGCCTGCTCGAACGCCACTACCGCCACTCGCGTTGCCTCCGACGTCATCGCCGCCACCGCCGTCGTTGGACAACAGATTTCAATTCTTGCCGCTGCCGCCGCCGTCGCCGCCGCAGCGGCCGCCCTTGGACATCACTATTGACTTCTTGTCGCCGCCGCCGCCGCCGCCGCCGCCGCCGCCGCCCTTGGAGATCAGTATTGAATTCTTGTCGCCGCCACCGCCGCCGCCGCCGCCCTTGGAGATCAGTGTTGTTGACTTCTCGATGCCGCCGCCTCCACCCGCTACTGTGAGGACCGAAGTGGTCAAGGACCCTCATCTGTCATTTGCGCACGGTGGCCGGGCCGATTTCCGAGGCAAACACAGCCAGCTCTACACCTTCTTCTCGGCCCCAAACGTCGCTGTGAACCTCAAGTGCGAGAACAGCACCTTCACCATGCTCCGCCGCCGCAACGGGCGCGTCGTTGCCACTCTCGAAGTGGACGGATCCTTCATTACCGAGGCGCACCTGACGGCGCGCGTCGGCGCCTGCCCCGATCTGGCGCAGCGGGGGTCGAGCAGATGCGTCGGGGCGGGCAAGAAGAAGTGGGCGAACCTCTCGTTCTGGGCGGCCGAACTCCGGGAGAACAACTGGGGGTGGCGTGTGATCAACGGCACATGCGGCGGCAGCGCCTTTGCGATCGGCAAGGGTGGCGAGAAGAGGTGCGAGGAGCTGCGCGTACGAATGGCGATGTCGCAGGCCACCTTTGAGACTGCGGACTGGTCTGTTTCCGTGCGGGGCATGCCAACGATGGCCACCAAGGGGCCAGAGCACCGTCTCGATGTCAGCTTCAGTGCGCGAAGAGATTTCGCTGCGCGCGCGCTACCGCACGGCATCTTTGGCCAGTCCTTCTCGTCGCCACTACCTCGCTTCGGGAAGGCGCGCTGGCACTTCTATCCCGCTGCTTCTTTCTTGCACTCGTGTGCCTCTCCTCTCTAGTACTCTAGGACTCATGCGCCGTTGCATGATGTTGGGACAGGTGGACGTTTATCCTTGGTCGGGCTCCTTTCAGACGAGCGCTATGGCCGAGGGCGCGCTCGACGGCGATGCGGCGATGTACGAGGTGGGCTCTCGCTTCGAAACCCGCTTCCCCTTCTCTCGCTTCGACGCGGCACCCCTCGCCGTGCCGGCCGCGGCCTTGCTCGGGACAGGCGATCTGGCGGCCAGTGCCATTGGAATGGGTCCCTAGCCCGATCGCCGATGCGCATCCTCTCCATGCACAAACGACGTACCGTATAATACTGCAAGAGAGGTGAACGTGAAGCAGAGCCAGACACCACGATCCACGAGACTGACTGCCCTCACCAACCCCCCCAATATTTAATTCAATATATATTTTGCATAACACAATCGCGCTAATAAACACAATCACAAAAACGGGGACCACACATAATACCTCGTAGATGGCGCGGAAGACCCGACCCCGGACTCCCCGGGTCCCTCACGCCCACCCTGCTCCCCATGCGTCGAGCTCACGCGCCGCTAAGCAGCGAAGCCGACGGGGTGGCGCAGGCCCACACACAGCATGACTCACGTCGAACCGCCGCCCGTTCAGACGGCCAGCTCCGCGTCTGGGTCCATCTCTAGCCACGCCGCCTCGTCCCACGCCCTGGCGCGCTGCTTGTCGCCGCTCGCCGTCAGCGGCGAGGGCGCTTGCGGCGGAGACGGGGGCGGAGCACGGATCGCTCGCCACGACGCGGAGGCGATCACTCCCTTCCTCTCGGCCGCCAGCCGCCAGCGTGCGCGCGCCCTCAGTCGGACACCCGGGGAGTGCGCCTTCGGGAAGGGCAGGGCAGGGAAGTCTCCACTCGCACTCTGTGTGTGCGTGTGCGTGTGCGTGTGCGTGTGCGCGCGTGTGTGTGCGTGTGCGTGTGCGCGTGTGTGTGCGTGTGCGTGTGTGAGTGCGAGAGCGTGTGGGCGCGCGCCTCGAGTGCGCGGGCGAGCTCGAGCCGAAGCCTCTCCAGCTCCGCCGACAGCACCTATGAGCCCACTCCTTCCAGCGCGTGCCTCACCGATCTCGTGAGCCTCTGTCGGCTCTCCCGACAGCGCACCGCCGCCGCCTTCTCCAGCTTGGCCGCCATCTCCGCCGCCGCCGCCGCCGCCTCGCCACTCGCGGCCGCTTGATCCGCCGCCACGCGACGCGCCGCCGCGACGAGCTCGGCCGCCGCCGCCGTCGCCGCCCGTCCCTCCCCCTCCCCCTCCTCCCTCCCCTCTGCCGCATCGGCTCCTCGAGTTGCCGACTGCTGCGCAGGGGAGGGAGGAGAGATGGAGAGGGAGAGAGGCTCCTGATCCTGCCGGCCCTATTACTTGAAGAACGAGTCACTTAACGAGTTGACGCAGCGAGGGGCTCCTCCTGCGTTTTGCGCCTCCTCGTCCGCCGGTTCTCCCCGCCCCGCCTCTCCTCCTCGCCGCCCCTGCCCGACCGGCGGCGCTGACACAAGCTCGCAGCGGAGGTCTCCACGACCGTCCTCCGCGCCGCCTCCGCCCGACGCGCCGCCTCCAACCTCCGCCACATCGCCTCCGCCCCCCGCCACCCCTCCGCCCTCCACGCCAATCACCCGCAGGGCGCAAGACGAGGGCAGGCCGCGCTGGAGGAGTAGCCAGGCAGCGGCTGCAGCGGCAACGAGCGCGAGGGCGGGGAGAAGGAGCGGCGTGGGCGGCGGCGCGGCGCGGTAGACCGAGGCGCCGCCGCTGCACGAGCTCTGCGGAGAGAGCCCCGGCACGCACGCGTCGAAGGCAAACGGCTCCCCGCCCTCCGCTGTGCTCCTCTGTGCGGCGGCGCCTGCGGCGGCGGCGGCGGCGAGGAGGACGACGAGGGAGGCGACGTTGGTGGGCAGTGGCGCCATGCCGAGCCGGAGCGCCGATTTGGCCAGCCGGATCACACGCGGTGCAACCGCAATCGCGCCGCCTGCAGAGCCAGAGGAGGCTGCAGCTAGTCCCGCAGCACCGCCAGCCGCCGCACCAAGAGCCTTGCTCGACATTCTGGCGGCTCGCCGAAGCGGACTGCCGCCGAGCGCGAGTTTGACAGCCCTTGCGGCCGGGGCACGAAGCTTGGCGATCAGGATCGGAGGCAGAGCACGCGCCACCAACAGGCCGATTGCGAGGTGGGGAGGTGCCGCAAAATGCGAGTATGAAGCAGCGGATGAAGCTGCGGATGAAGCGGCGAGAGGAGGCGCAGATTTGCCGACAGCCGCCGCGCGCGTTAGGAAGGTTTGCCAAGCCAAAGACTCCCACGACTGTAAGCCAGCCAGCATGTGAGCAAGCGGCACCTCACTCTCGCTGTGTCCTTTGCCGATGCGCTTTCATTCGCCATCTCGCTCTGAGAATAAGAGGGCTCCCGCGGCGATCAACACCGCAACTCCTTTTCTAAATTTGATACTTAGCGCACTGCTCGGGCGAGAGCTCAAACACGTGCCGCGTCTCGTCTTCGCCGCCGGCTACGCGCACAGACACAGTACGCGGCAGCGCCGACACGTCAACCCGCGTGTACGTCAGCGACGGACGGGTCCCGCACGCCGCACGAGGCGCATGCGTGCAGCGGCAGCGCGTGCGCCATGCGCTCGTCGCTCCACTCGCCCAGCAGCCGCCGCTTCGTCTCGTCGGAGACGTGCACGCAGCGCTGCAGCAGCGCCGCCGTCTCGTCCTCGGGCCGCTCCAGGTCCATGACGACGTTCGTCGAGGCGTGGAAGCGCGTCTCCAGGTCGATGGCCGCCTGCTCGGCCGCGGCGAGCTTGCCCTGGTCGACGCACATGCCGCACACCGCGTGCGCCGGGCAGCCGCACTGGCCGCGTTGTGGGCGCACGGTCTTGGCGACCGCCGGCGCTGCGCGCCGGTCGTGCTGCTCACGCTGCCGGCGGCGCTGGTCGCGCGCCTGCCGATCGCGCGTGTTCGCGGCGGCTGCATCTCCTGCTCGTTTCGCTCGCACCCGAGCGGCTGTCGCCAGACGCTTCAGGTCGGCGGTGCTGCGCGCGCGGCCGTCGGCCAGGCACAGCCACATGTCCTACACGGGCGATGGCGCTTGGGGAGTGGGGCGGGCGTTCAACTCCCTCAAGCAGACTTCTGCGAAGCTAATCTCCCTGGGTTTTCGCCCGATACAGCAGGCGGCGGTACCGCCGGCCACATGTGGTTCGCTTGCTCTGCTCCAGAGGCTCCAGAGGCTGCTTCCGGTTCATGGGGCAGCCCGGTTCATCCCACGCGGACTCCGCACCGCCTCACGCTGGCCGGCGTGGCAGCTGGTGCTAGTCCGCGCCGTGCGCACATCCGCCCTCACTGCTTTAGCGGGGCGGGGATCCGCGTCGGCCATCACGGCTGCGACTGGTTCCGCGCCGGCGCTCTTCGCACTTGCGTCCGCCCTGCCCACAGCGGCGCTCATCGCCAAAGAAGCCGTCGGACGAACTCGGAGATTCATTGAGCATGGGCAGCTCGATCAGGCAGAGGCGCTTAGCGGCATTGCAGACGAACACGACCTGAACACTCCGACCACTCTGCTCTGCTTAACTTGTGTCTTTCTTGTGGGCATGCGATTACTCCGACGGACGCCAGCAGGCCACCAGACAGGCAAAGCTGCTGCTCCAGAGCATGCGGATGGCTACCCTGACCATGCCACCTCCTCTTCGCCGCCGTCGTCGCATCCGCCGTTGACACCACCGACCGCCTCGACGGCGGGTATACCGGCACTCAGCCCGACACCGCCGCCGACACCGGCAAGGCCACCGGGAAGGCCGCTCTTACTGCCACCATCAAGGCTGCCGCAACCGCCGGCGAGGCCTTCACCACGGCCGCCGGCGAGGTCGCCACCGCTGCCATCGGCGCTGCCGCCACCGCTGCCGACGACGAGTCCGCCACCGCTGCCGCCGAAGAGCGTGCTGGACGATGTGCCACCAGTCGACTACGACTTTCTCGAGCGTTGGGTCAAGGCGGTGACCCTGGCGGAGGGGCAGTTGCAGGCGGAGCTTATGCTTCCCGGCACCTCAGCGGCCGATGCTCCCCCCTCACCCCAGGCACCGAAGCGGAGTCGGGCAGAGGTGGGTTCCTTGCCTGTGAAGCCAAAGCTCTTAGAGTCGGACGCCGCACCCTCGCGGCCAGCAGCGCGGCGCCAACCTCGCAGCACGACGGCGCAGCCGACGAGGCAGAGATCTCTGGCACAACTTTGGACGAATCATGGCGAGGAGCCCCGTTGGCGCAAGGCGCGGCCTCCGCGAAAGCGAGATGCCTGGATTTAAGTTTCGGTATTCGGCACGATTGTATTGTTAAGCAGGGAGTGGGGCAACGATAGAGTAATCGACACCCGAGCGTGACCGTCGGGGCGTGCGCGCGCCCGCGGCGCGGTGGCCGGGGTGCGCCGGGCGCCCCCCAATATTGTGTAGAAGAGCACGTCAACTCGCTTATCGCAGACTTAAGTGAGAGGTGTATAGAGACGCGATTTGGTGTTACATTTATACGGTTAACGAATAAAATGCTAAATGGGCATTCCCGATCTCGCGAGATAATATTCACCAATCCTTCTTTATGACGCACCTGCGTGCGCACCTGGCACCTCCCAGAGTCCGGGCGTCGCGAGCGCGTGGGCCTGCCTCACCCTCGCTACCGGCTGGGGACTGACTCGAGGGGACTGAGCAGCGCAGAAATGGAAGCGGCGGCCGCTGGGTGCGGACGGCGCGAGTCTGCATTTGACTGTTGAGTGCCAATCGACCCCGGCCCGGCCGCAAGCAGAGGTGGGCCCATATCGGCGGCTAGGCCCTTCCCTAGGCCCTTGCCTCCGCCTCGTCGCGACAGACCGCCAGCGGAAGGACGTACTCCAGCCACACGTCGGAGAGGGCGCGCGGCTGCCTACCCGCCCCACAACCAAGTGTGAAGAGACCTGCTGCCTACCCACCCCACATGCAGTTCACGGTGAGAGGTGAGGTGGACGGCTCCGCCATGCCGCGGCCGCCAAGCAAGGCAAGTGTTCCATTTCGCGTGGTCTGTACGGGGGCGACTCGCCTCGGCGCAACCTCCCTCGCCAGCAAGTAGCCGAGCGTGAGCAGCTCGACGGCGAGCCTAGGCGAAACTTCCGAGAAAGGTCGTGGAAAGTTCCAGCACACGGCCGCGCAACTTCGACGGTCGAACCGCTGCAGCCGCTCGGGCCACAAGCCGTGCGAGGCGGGGCTCCACGGCTCTGCGGCGGCGACCACCTGGTCACACGAGAGAATGACAACAAGCATGTGAGGCGGGGCCAGGCGCGATGTGTGCCGCTGTGTCGCGTGTAGATGCCGCGGAGTGTCAGTGTGTCGCGTGTGCGTGGGAAGCAGCGGAGTGGGAAATGGCACCAGCGCCGCCGCCGCGCTCGAGCTCTGCCGCGCCAAGGAGAGCGGCGTAGGCGCGTTCGCAACGCCCGCGGCCGCGGCGCGTGGCGAGGCGCCAGCGCGGAGGAGAAGCCTAACGGCAAACATGCTGCTCTCGCGCGACACCGAATCGGCGCCGCCCCTGTGCTCGGTCCGTTCCGCTGCCGCGTGCGGGCGAGGGAGAGGCTGTCGAGGTGGTGGAGCGGCGTGGTCCAGTGCCGGCTCTGTGCCAGCCAAGCGGCGAGCTCTCCGTGGCCCTGCCTGCGGGCCACCGACTCGGCGGTGTCGGAGAGGAGGAAGGAGCGGCTGGCGCCTAGTTGGGCGGTGGGGGTGAGGTCAGGGCGAGGCGAAGGGAGGAGAGGAGGAAGGAGCGGTTGGCGCCGTACGAGGAGAGCAGCCGCACGGTGGGCAGGTGGCCTGTCCACAACAGCTCGCCGTGAATGAGGCTTCCGCAGCAAGGGGGAGGGGGAGCACACTCCCGCGGGCGCCCTTGAAGCAGGCGCCCTGTAGCGGGGTGTGCCCCACCGCCGTCGCCGCCTCGACCGCTGCTCCTGCAGCGAGGGGGCACCTTCGGGCCTTGCTACCTCGTGCGCGGGAGAGCGGCGGTTGAGGAGAGGGGTACCTGCGGCGAGCAGCATCTCCGCGCACTCGACGTGCCCCGCCGTCGTGCCCCAGCAGGCATATCGCAGCGGCGCAAAGCCGCCCGCACGGCCGACGCACGGAGGAGCCTCTGACGCATCCGGGTCGGCGCCCGCCGCGAGCAAGAGCGCGAGACAGCGCGGCCGGCCTCGGAGGCAGCAGACCACGAGGCCCGGGCTGAGGCAGCACTCCTGTGCTAAAGCCCTGACGCCGCCTATCTCCTCCGAGCCGTCAGCCTCTGCAGCGGCGAGGATCGCCTCGAGGCGCTCTGCGTCGCCCGCACGGCAGGCGGAGTAGACGTGCTCAGTGAGTGAAGCATCCGCCGCCTGCCTGGCGTCCGCCGGCAGAGGAGAGTAGCTCTCCTCCCGATCGGATAAGCACGATCGGCGGCGGCCAGACCCGATCGAACCACTCTGCGGAGGAGGAGGAGAGAGGAGGAGACGCGGAGGTTGAGGCGAGACGGCGTCCTGAGCGCCCACACAAGACTTGTCGACCACAAACGCCCCCCGCCGGGGGGCCGCCATGAAAGCTGTCGAAGGGTTGGGGGCGATACTAAATACAGCGGCAAACACAGCGGCAATCCTGGATACGTTTTTCTTTTCTAAGTTCTTTTTCCACGAAAAGGTGGATGTTGGCTACACCTTGAGGCTCGCTTCCTAGCTCGCACGCCACGCATATAGCCCTTTTCGCCAGGCTAAAAAAGAACCCTGTCTCGCATTAAACTAAAAGCGACGACCGAGAGAAAAGTACGACGACCGAGAGAAGCCGCCTTCGCTCTGTTCACAACCAAGCTCCCATCGTTCACAGTAAACACCGAGGTCAAGGCGCTGCCGGTCTCAGCCGTCGGCAGTCATACTCGAGTACCGGTACCGGTACATGGCATCCGCCTCCAAGCGCGCCCGCACCGCCTGCGACGGAGAGGAGGAGGAGGAGGAGGAGGAGGAGGAGGAGGAGGAGGAGGAGGAGGCGGCGGCGGCGGCGGCGGCGGCGGCGTTCTGCGTCGCGGCGGGCTTTGAGACGCCCATCTTTGGCGCGCCCGTCGTCGGCCAGGTCTTCACGCTGCCCGATGACGGGCCTCTGGCATCGCTCGACGTGCACGGCGTCGCAAGCGATGGCGCAGGCGCCTGGTATCTCGCGACCGGTGGCTCGGTGCTTCACCTCTCGGCGGGTGGGGAAGAGCCGCTCGACCGGATGTACGAGCCGAGCCGCCACTCGCTCAGTGTGCGCAGCGTGGCAACCTGCCCGGAAGGCGGCAGGTTCGAAGGCATTGCTGTCAGCCCCGACGGCAGCACGCTCTTCGTGGCGGACTGTCGCGGGCAAGCGATCCGGAAGGTGGAGGCAGCCACGGGCACGCTCACCACTCTCGCGGGCAGCGGCTCCAGCGGCAGCGCTAATGGCGTGGGCGTCGCAGCGCATTTCAACGGCCCGACATACCTCGCCCTCAGCCCGGACGGCGGCACGCTCTTCGTCGCAGACACCGGCAACGCCAGGATCCGGCGGGTGGACGTGGCGAGTGGCGCGGTGACGACGCTCGCGGGGGGCGTCGGCCATGGCAGCATTGACGGCGTGGGCGATGCGGCGCGGTTCCAGTACCCGTACGGTCTCGCCCTCAGCCCGGACGGCCGCGCGCTCTTCGTGGCGGATTGCGGCAGCGACAAGGTCCGGCGAGTGGAAGTGTTGAATGGCGCAGTGACCACGCTCGCGGGATGCGGAAGGAGGGGCGGGACTGATGGGGCAGGCAACACGGCGCGGTTCCACGCCCCAATCGGCATCGCCATGAGCCCCGACGGCAGCGCGCTGTTTGTGACCGACTTTAGCGGGCACAAGATCCGCCGGGTGGAGGTGGTCGGTCGCGCAGTGACCACTCTTGCTGGCAAGGGCTGGGGCAGCGCCGATGGCGTCAGCAAGTCGGCGCAGCTGTCCTTCCCCGGCGGCGTCGCCATGAGCGCAGACGGCAGCACGCTCCTGGTCCGATCGGGCGCCCCCAGCAGCGCGCTCCTCTGCTTGGTCTGCCTGGTGCCGCCGCCGCCGCCGGACGCGTTTGCCTTTGCGCCGATCGTGGTCCCGCCCTCCACCCTGCCCGCCGACCTGAAGAAGGCGCGGGGCGACGCCACCCTCCCGCAGGGGATGGTCACCTTCGTGGTTGGCCGAGGCCGGCAGCGCCTCGAGCACGTGAGCAAGAATGTGCTCTGCGTGCGGTCCGACTACTTTCGGACCATGTTTGGCGCCGGCATGAAGGAGCGCGACGCCGCCGAGGTCACGGTGCCCCATGCCGACCTCGCCACCTTCACCGCCCTCGTCGACTACCTCTTTGCCGACGAGCTCGACCTCGGCGAGGAGGAGGGCGGCAGAGTGCAGCGCGCGCTCGCCCTGCGGCAGCTGGCGCAGATGTACCAGGTGCCGCGCCTCGAGCTGCTCTGCGCGCAGGCGCTGCAGCAGAGCGTCGTGGCGGAGACCGCCGTGCCGCTGCTCGAGGCGGCGCACACGATGGGCGACGGGCGGCTCCTCGCGCAGTGCCGCCGCTACGTGGCGGACAACGCCACCGAGGTGCGGGCGAGCGGCGGCGTGGAGCAGCTGCGGAATCTGGGCGTGGCGAAGGGCTTGCTCGGCGACGCGCTCGACCAGGTGACGGAGCTGCAGGAGGCGCTGGACGCGCTCCGCGTCGACTAAAGAGTCTGCGTCGGGCGGGGGCACGCACGCGAACACGACGGCACGCAGCTGTTGGTAGATTTCTCAACACTCGCGCCAGCCTTTGAGATGGGATGTGGGAAGGGCTCCCGATTGCTTTCTCTTTCTCCACGCCGCTGTGCCACCTGCTAGGTAGAGTCGAGACTCGAGTGTGTAGGGTGGCCGGGATGGGGGGTGCGGGTGCGGGGGGGTCTGCAAAATCTGAAATTGAATTAATCAGATTTTTTGCCGTCTCTTCCGTCGTCGCACTTGGAGCACGTACTGCAGGGTAACCCTCACCCAGGCGTGTGCAAAAGAATATCGAAGTAATGTAAAAAAGAATTTCACGCCGCGCGGCCCCCCCCGGGGCCTCTTGTACATGGCCTCGCACCGCATCGGCGCCCGCGTCGCGGGCCTCTCGCCAGCGCAGCTGTGCGCCATCATCGAGGCGCAGGCGGGCGCGAGCGACGCCGCGCTGCGCGTGGCGGAGGAGCACGCCGCTCGGCTCGTGGAGCAGCCCGAGTGGATCCTCTCCGAGGTCCTCCTCTCGCCGGACCTCGCCCCGCACATCCTCGCCCAGCTGCCGACCACGGAGCACGCCGCCAAGGGGACGTGCCGCGCGTGGTGCCGCGGCTGGAAGGAGACGCTGAAGAAGCGCGAGAGGCCGCGCCTGGTCGTGATCGGCAGCGATGACATCGATGGCGAGTTCCTCAGCTCGCTGGAGCGGTACGACCCTTCAACAAATGAGTGGGAGGAGGAGGCGATGGCGCCGATGCTGACGGCACGAAAGTTTTTCGGCACGGCGGTGCTCGACGGCAAGCTCTACGCAGCGGGCGGCGAGATTGAGGACGACGCAACTTCCAACCTGGTGGAGCGGTACGACTTGGCTGCAAACGCGTGGGAGGCGGTGGCGCCGATGGTGACACCACGCGAGAACCACGACGTGGCGGTGCTCGACGGCAAGCTGTACGCTGTGGGAGGCGATGACGACGACGGCCTCCTCGTGGAGCGGTACGACCCGGCTGCGAACGCGTGGGAGGCGGTGGCGCCGATGGCGACAGCACGCGAGAATCACGCCGTGGCGGTGCTCGATGGCAAGCTGTACGCTGTGGGCGGCTACAACGGCGTCTTCCTCAGCTCAGTCGAGCGGTACGACCCGGCCTTGGACGCGTGGGAGGAGGTGGCGCCGATGGCGGAGGCTCGGAGCAGGCTCGCCGTGGCGGTGCTCGACGGCAAGCTGTACGCTGCTGGCGGGCGTGGTCACGACGGCATCCTCAGCTCGGTGGAGCGGTACGATCCCGTGACGAACGCGTGGGAGGCGGTGGCGCCGATGGCGACGGCTCGGTGCCATCACGCCGTGGCGGTGCTCGACGGCAAGCTGTATGCTGTGGGCGGGTACAACGACGGCCTCCTCAGCTCGGTGGAGCGGTACGACCCGGCCACCAACGCGTGGCAGGCGGTGGCGCCGATGGCGACGGCGCGGATGTACCTGTGTAGTGCCATAAATAAATAAACAAGGAGTCGTAGAAGATCCAAAATCCAAATCGCAAACATAGAAACCCAAACACACACAGCCACGTGGGTCGTGCGGCATGATCGCAATGCGGCATGTACGGGGTGTCCTGGACCCTGAGAGTTCTGAGTTGCGCCAGGGGTTGTGCGCTGGGCTCTCCTGCTCGGCTCCAGCCAGTAGACAAGTCTTGTCATCAACAGAGTAGAAGGATTGACCTCGGGGCCGATGTTACCAAGCGCTGGTAGCGTGGTTTTACCTCACACCCATGGTCTCACAGTGTGCCGGCAGTCGCCGAGCAGTGTCGCTCACACAAGCCGCAGCACAAGTGACTGAGGGCCAGTGAGGGCGAGCTCATCGCTGTCACAGCTGTGGCAGCCGCACAGTAGGCTGTGTCAGCTGTGCAGAGTGTGTGAACAGCAGAGGAGCTGCTCTCCAGGCTTCTGTCGCAAAGAGCTGCATGCCACCGAAAGCGCTGTCGAGGTTCGCCGAGCGCGGCGCAGGTTGGAGGACACCGTCACCGACGAGCGCGTTGGACTTTTCACTCCGGACAAAGACAGTGGCACGCGCCGCTGCGCGGAGCGTGCCACTGTCTTAGCGGCGAGGCGCGGGACCGTCTGTGGCGAAGTGGGTCGCGTCCTCCGATTTCCTCAACTCACGGTCCGCCCCCTCTAGGAGAGCAGGAGGTGAAAGGAGGTCAGCACGAGCGGTTCCAAGGAGAAGGACGGACGTGTGAGAGTGCGTGTTGTGTGCATGTCTGGTGTTCATTATAGCTCCGAGTAGAGGGGGCGGTCTGCTGCTAGGGGAAACCCGGAGCGCGGAGCCAACCCTCGGAGACCCGTGTTTACTTTACGGCCCTTTCCCTGCGAACGCGCACCCCCGGGGCTAGGGCTCTCAAGCCCGTAACCCGATGCCAATATCATCCGGCCCGCTGGGTGCGCTTCTTAGCTCCCCGGCCCTGGATGTGCGGTTGATGACTGCACTCCAAGTGCTCCAAGTGCACGACCACGAGCGAGAAGCACAGCAGAGAGAGAGAGATTGTTCAGCAGAGCAGACAGATGACGATCACCACCCAGCGCACGACCGCCAACTCTCCGAGGCTGCCGCGAAGAACCGAGTCCGGGGAATAAATAAAAGAAAGAAGAAAGAAAGAAAACAGACAAACCCAAACGAGGGATAGGGGAGGAGGACAGGGTCAAAATCCCCACTGGAAAAGAAAGAAAGAAAGAAAACGGACAACCCAAGGGAGGGATGGGAGGACGGCACGCCGCCACCACACAGGGATTTTAACACTGAAATTTCTTTTTTCGCACGCTGCCAGCCGGCCCCGCGTTCTCAGCCATTGCCCATGGCAGAGGAGGGCGAGGCGACGCGGACGGATGTCGCTGAGCTCGTCAACATGCCCGAGACGACGCGCGTGCGCAGCGTCGCCTACTGCCCCGTCTCCACACTGCCGTTCGAGTACTGCGAGTTTGACGCCGACTACAAGGCATCGCAGGCGTGGTTCGCCGAGAATTGGAGGAGCGTGCTCCCGCCGAACGAGGTGCGCGCCTACCTCGGCACGGCGGAGGGCAGCGGGGGGGAGGAGGAGGCGGCGGCGGCGGAGGTCAGCAGCGACGAGCTCGCAGCACTCATGGCCAAGCTCGGGCTCAGTGGTGCGCGGCAACGGCGCGCGGGCCGATGTCCGCTCGCAGGCGCCGACGCGCCCGCCCGCCCCGCGCTCTCAGGCGAGCTGGACGACCACGCCAAGCGCTCGCAGAAGGCCGGCAAGAAGACTGCGGCTGACGCGCCTCCTCCGGCGGCGGCGGCGTCGCCAGGCGGAGGCGGAGGCGGCGAGGCTGGCGGCGTGGGCGGCGGCGGCGAGGCTCCGGGCGGCGAGGGAGGCGGTGGTGGCGGCAAGGCTGGCAAGAAGGCCAAGGCGGCCAGCCGGGCGGTTGTGATTGAGGCGCCCAACGCTGCCCGCCCCCGCCCCCGCCCCCGCCACCTGCCGCCCGCACCTGTGTCTGCACCTGCAGCACCTGTGCTGCAGACGCCGCCGCGGGCCGACGGTCGCCGCTCCCCCGTCGACGCCCCCTCCCCCTCCGCAGGTGAACACGCGCAACAAGCGCAAGCACATCACCGTCGTCAAGGGGCTCGAGGGGTTCGAGGTGGACCTCGCTGCTGCGGCGAAGGCTCGCATCATACCACGCCCTCTCCCCGCCCCGAACCCCCGCATTTGGACGGCTCCTCCCAACAGCCATGCCTTCCCGCATCACGCCCTCGAGACCACCGCCGCCGAGGGCGGAGAGGCAGAGGAGTCTGCGAGCGACACCACAGCCGAGCGGGCTTTGCCCTCCCGCCGCCGCCCGCAGGCCTTTGGGAAGAAGTTCGCCTGCGGCTCGGCCCTGCAGCGGGGCAAGGGCGGCCAGCAGGACCAGATCGAGATCCAGGGCGACGCCGCCGACGCGCTGCCCGCCTTCATCGCCTCCAAGCACAAGATTGCGCTCAGCGACATCTTTGTGGTGGTGGACGGCAAGAAGGTGCCCGCGAGCGAGCTGGGGGCGTGAGGGGAGCGTATACAACACACCTTCGCGTAGACTGAAATACGTGTTAAAATACTTTTTTCTGGCCTCCGTGCCCGTACAACACTGATATTCTATGAATGCGTGGGAGGGGCGCAGCCCGCAGGCCGCACCCGCGCCCACCCCATGCCTCTGCACGTTTGGAGATTTTTTAGACTACATGCAGATTTACAGAGAAGAGCGGTGCGAAATCGCCCAGCTGCGTGTCCGTGTGTGCGGTGTAGGCAACTGAAAAAACCTCAAAGCCCTGGGAGGTGGGAGCCCTCCCCCTACTGTTTCTCAGATTTATTTTGCATCTTGACCTGTATATACAAGTGAGCTGGGGCCATGTGGCATGTTTCAATAACACAAGTGCGAGGCTCGGTCGGTTGTGTACAGACGGGCTCGCAGCACCGAACACGCAGGGCAGCGCAGGGGTGACGGGCGTCACGGTGTTGTGCCGCGGTCAAGCGGACAGTTTGGCCGTCTGACTCTAAGACGCCACCTCAAAACGCCGTCCAAAGCGCAAAGAGGGTAGTTCCCAAAGTGAGTCAGACGCCGCGCGGCGTGCCCGCGCCCGAGAAGGTCCGGTTCAGCCACTCCCCGACGGCGTCTCCGAAGCCGCGCCGCGACCCGGTCCGGCCGAGGCCCTCTGCCAAACCCCCTACGAGAAGGAGAAGAGAAGGGTCAGGGAAGAGATGTGCCTGGAGCGGCCGAGGCACTCACCAGAGGAGGGAGGCACCTCCGTCCGAGTCGTCTGGCCGCGCGCCGATGAGGGTGCGCAGCCCGGAGGCGAGGCGGCGCGACTCCGAGCCGGGCGGCGCCTGCTCCTCGACGGCGGCGAGATGCAGCCGAGATTGGGATCCGAGAGGCAGCCGAGAGGCAGCCGAGAGGCAGCCGAGGGGCAGCCGAGAGGCAGCCGAGGGGCAGCCGAGAGGCAGCCGAGAGGCAGCCGAGAGGCAGCCGAGGGGCAGCCGAGAGGCAGCCGAGAGGCAGCCGAGAGGCAGCCGAGGTGCAGCCGAGAGGCAGCCGAGACTGGGATCCGAGGCCCGGTGCTTGCGCCTGCTCCTCGACGGCGGCGAGGACGGAGCAGAGACCGGCCGGCAGGGAGGAGCGGGCGGAGGCGCGGGCAGAGAGGAGTGTCTCGAGCAGCTCGAGAGCGCAGCAGAGCGGCGAGGCGGCCTGCAGGAGGGCTCCAGGAAGTGTCTGGGAATGGTCAGGGAAAGTGTCTTGGTGGAGGGCGCAGCAGAACGGCGAGGCGGCCTGCTCGGACGAGCCCTTGCGGTACTGGTCGCACAACGCAACCACACCGGCGAGCTTCTCGGAAGAGCAGAGGCCTAGTGGGCACGTGTCCTGGACGTGTCCTGGACGTGTCCTGGACAAGCGGCCGCTTCTCGGAGGTGCCACTAGCCCCGTGCGGCGGGCCCGTCGGCGTCGGCAACCTGTAGGAAAGTTCCGGCACGGTTCATGGAAAGTACCCGTGCGGCGGGGCCGTCGGCGTCAAGCGACCTCGCGCAGCACTTGCACGGCGTACAAGCGGACCTCGGGGTCTGCCGTGGTCGCGAGGCCGAAGAGCGTCTCCTGCAGCGCCTCGTCGCTGAAGACGGGCTCGCCTAACCAACGAGGAGAATCAATGGGTTGAACTAGCCCTGCAGCGCCCCGTCGGCACAGGCAAGCTCGCCCGGCGTGTAGTGGGCGATGACGAGGAGTGCCTTGAGCATGCCTCGCTGCACGCGCAGCTCGGAGCTGCAGGCGGCGGCGAGCGCGGCGTCCTCGTGCGCGTGCGCCAGACCGACCCTCGCCTACGACCATGGAGCGCTGCATGACGCGCACTGACGCCCTGCGCGTGCGCCAGAGCAGCCCTCGCCCTCGCTGCCGGGTCAACACGCGCCTCCGCCGCAACCATGCGCGCCTGAGTCGTCACATCCTCCCCCGTGCGTGAGCTTGCTCACCCCCCCCCTCGCCTCCTCCGCAGCCACGCGCGCCTCCGAGAATGGAGCGCTCGCCGCCCACCTCGCCTCCGCCGCCTCGACTCGCGCCACCGACGCCGAGTGCAGCGCCGCCATCAGCAAGTTGAGCAGCGCGCGCAGCCCTCCCGCCGCCACGTGGCCGCACGTCCGCACCAGCCAAGCCGGCATCGGCGGTGCGTCCGCCGCCGCACGAGGCACCTGCGGGCAGGGGCCCTGGAAGGGTCAGAGAAACTTCCCGGGAGGGCGGAGCCCGGCTGCCGGCCGAAGCACCGAATCGTACGCGACGGAGCCGTCCCACGGCGGCAGCCGCAGCGCGCACTGCGCGAGGACCACGCACTCCTCGACGCTCAGTCTCGCCTGACTCGTCCACTACTCGTGACTGGTCACGCACTCGCGCCAGGACTGCGCACTCGACGCTCAGTCTCGCCAGCTCCTCGCGAGACGCGACGCCGCCTCCGTCGCCACCAGAACGGCCTCGCCGCAGCGTGCCGCCGCCCTCGCCCCCGGCCGCCCCGCCCCCGCCCCCGCCTCCGCCTCCGCCGCCTCCGCCGCCTCCGCCTCCGCTTCCTCCGCCTCTGCCTCCGCCTCCGCCGCCGCCTCCGCCGCCATCGCCTCCGCCGCCTCCGGAGCCGCCGCGGCGCAGCGTGCCACCCGAGGCGCGCCCGCTGCTGCCAGCCGCCGCCTCTCCCGCACTGCGCCTGTGCGACAAGCCGAGCGTCGCCGCCAGCTCCGCCTCGAGATCGGAGCCGTCGTCGCGGTAGTAGCAGTGCGCCTCGACGTCTGGACTTGGCCACGGGGGGCTGCAGGGCGACGGGAAGTGCGACTCCCGCACCGCCTCGCCGAGCTCGAAGGGCGAGCCCGCCCTCCCGCGCGTGGAGTCGACGGGGCGCCTCGAAGGCGGCGTGACCGGACTGCCAGGCTCGGGCGTGCTCGCCGGGCTCTCCGCCTCCCCGCCCCTCCTCCTTGGTGTCCAGGACGCGTCCGCGCGCGGCGGCAGCCACGACGCGCCGGAGGGGAGGGGGGAGCTCGCCACGCCGCCTCCGCCGCCCTCGCCCCCCCCCTCTGCCGCCCCTGCTCCTCCCCCTCCCCCCCCTCTTCGCGGCAGTGTCCCGCCAGCCTCTCCCGGCAGGACGGGCGCACCCGCCCTCGCCCGCCGCAGCGCCGCCACCGCAGGGGCCGCGGCCACGCTCCCCCGGTCCACGTCCGGGCTTCTCGCCGCGTGGCCCGCCAGGCCGAGGGCGAGTCCTAGGTGCACACACCGACTACTTGAGCAAGGCTAGCCGCTGGGCGCCGCTCCTCCAGCCAAGCAGAGGGAGAGGACCGGACGGGCTCACCACGGGAACCGGGCTGACTCGCCCCCCTCCGCCCGCAGACACCGCGGCGCGGGCGGCGGCCGGGCGCGTCAAATGCGCGGAGGGCGAAGGAGCGCTTCGCCACGGCTCGTTGCCGTCGAGCCGCACAGTCGCATCCAAGCCGAGCGTCCCCCCGCTCTCTGCCTCTCCGGCCGCCGCCACCGCCGCCGGAGCAGCGCGGAAGAGGGTGCGGTCAGGCCGGCTGGCGCTGCCCGACCCGCTCTCAGAAGACGGGACAGGCAAGCCCATCTCCGCCGCAGCCAGCCTCGACGCCTCGCCGGCGCCGATCGGCTTGGGAGGCGCGGCCAGCCGCTCTGTCGCTAGAGGCAGCAGCGCGCCTGAGACAGCGCGACGCGAACCTCTCTGTTGCAAGGCGCGAGCCGCTCTGTTGCAGGGCACGAGCCGCTCTGTCGGCAGGGGCAGCAGCGCGCCTCGTCTTCTCTCAGGCGACGAGTGGGCGGTGACGAAGGGGTGGTCGAGCAGGGTGGAGGCCGAGAGGCGCCTCTCCGGCTCCTGAGGTATCGGGAGATATGGGGAGGTATGGGGAGGTATGGGGAGAGGTGGAGGCCGAGAGGCGCCTCTCCGGCTCCTGGTGGCAGTCACCGCCAGCAGTGAAGCCACTCGCCCTCGGGAAGGCCGAGAGGCGGCTTGGCGGTGAGACGGCCACGTCGACTTTGTGCATGCAGTGGTGGCTCGACTTGTGCAGACGGGCATAGGCGTGCATGTGCGTGCATGTGCGTGGAGCGTGTGCCGAGCGGCTTGCGCTCCGGTGGGACGGTCCACTGGGCGTGGCATGGACTGGCGTGCGCCTTGCAGAGGCACCACTGCAGGAAGGCCTCGAGTTGGCTAGGAAGTGTCTGGGCAGTGTCTAGGGAGGGCGCCTTGCAGAGGCACCACTGCAGGAAGGCCTCGAGTTGGCTAGGAAGTGTCTGGGCAGTGTCTAGGGAGGGCGCCTTGCAGAGGCACCACTGCAGGAAGGCCTCGAGTTGGCTAGGAAGTGTCTGGGCAGTGTCTAGGGAGGGCGCCTTGCAGAGGCACCACTGCAGGAAGGTCTCGAAGGGCCGCCCCCACAGCTCCGGCTGGGAGAGAGTGGGCGGCGGGGCGGACGGGATCTTGAAGAGAGCCTACTCTCGGCCAATCTCGGGTCATCTCGCGTCATCTCGAGGGGCCGAGGCGGCAACGGGATCTTGAAGAGAGCCCGCAGCGCCGGCCGCAGCTGCCAGTGCGGGGGGAACCCTTCCGCCAGCTCGATGGCGGTGATGCCTTTAAAGAATGGAAGGAGTTCGTTAATGAAGTACTCCCCCACTTCCGCCAGCTCGATGGCGGTGATGCCGAGCGACCAGATGTCGGCGGACGAGGCGTAAGGCGCCTGTGGGACGTCTGCGGTGTAAGTAACGTAAGGCGCCTGTGGGACGTCTGCGGTGTCAGACGGCGGCGGACGAGGGCCCGGACGGCACCCACAACGTGAACACGGCCTCGTGCCGTGCACTCAGAGCACCTCGTGGCTGCGAGGGTGTACGAATACGGTGGGCACAGCTGGGGCACGGCCGAGTGCAGCCGAGTGCGCGCGTGTGTCCTCTCGACTCCTCGTCACAGGATGTTCAGGCAGCAGCGTCTATGCACCGCGCCTCTTGGATCACCTCTGGAGCCATCCAGTGCGGCGTGCCTAGATAAACAAAGGAGTGACTCACAAATGAAGAAATACTACCTCGGCAGCCACCAGGTGCGGCGTGCCTAAATAAAGAAATAACGCTGAGAAATAAGGAAATCCCCGCGTCTGGACCCATCCGGTGCGGCGTGCCGATGGCGGTGGACCGCTTGGACAGGGTCGAGCCCAGCTGCACCGCGACGCCTAGAGGAGGCAATCCGGCCCGCCTCCGCCAGCCGTCCAGGCAGGGGTCGAGCCGAGCTGCGCAGCGGCGCCAAAGTCGGCGAGCCGCAGGTCGCCAGACGCGGTGAGAAGGAGGTTGCCCGCCTTCACGTCGCGGTGCAGCATGCGGCACTCCTCGTGCAGGTAGCGCAGCGCGTGCAGCGTCGCCGCCGCCGCCGCCGCCACCTCCTCCTCGCGCAGCGGCGCGCCGCGGCTCCGCATCACGTCGAGCAGCGAGCCAGCCTCGCAGTACTCGGTGACGAGCCAGAGCTCGCCGTCGAAGGCGTGCGAGGCGAGGTGGCGGAGCACGTGCTCGCTCTCGCACAGCCGCAGGCTCTCCGCCTCGGCCATCACCTGCGCCGCCAGCGCCGCCACCTCCTCCTCCTCCTCGGTAGGGATCACCTTGACGGCGACCTCCCGCCCGTCCGAGCGGCGCCGCGCGCGATAGACGCGGCCGTACGATCCGCGCCCAATCTCGCGCTCGAACTTGTAGAGCGTCCGGTCCGATGGCGAGGCCATGCCTCCACACCGAAAGCGCCGGGCCGCCGCCCGAATCGAGCGGCGAGAGCGGTAGCAAGGCAGCGAAGAAGAAAAAAGAATTTAACGAAGAGAAAGCTCTCTCACACCAACAGGTGCGAACTGGCGCGTGCTAGTACCGAAAAAAGAAAAAATAAAAAGCTCTCTACAACTTGCACCTCTCGCGAGGTGGCATGAAGGTTGCAGCGAGAATCGGCGAGAGACTGCGAAGAGAGATAGGAAGAGGCAGACTCCCTAGGGTGGGCGACGGCTAGCGCACCACACACCTCTCCTTAAAATCCCTGTGTGGTGGCGGCGTGCCGTCCTCCCATCCCTCAAATAAATAAATAAAACGGACACCTCTACTAGGAGATGGGTAAAAAGGAACAGGTCCCCGCCCTGCGGTCTTTGTGCAGGGTTCTTTGTGGGTGTGGTCGGCGACTAGCCGGGGTCGTCCTCCCGATGGGGGACTAGCACTAGCCGTCTTCCACATGGTAAGGTAAGGTAAGGTAAGGTAAACTTCTCCACACACACGAGGTGGTGGGGCAAGGGGGGGCAACCCTCGCGTCTCCACGTCTGACGACAGGAGCCCCACGGCATTCAAAGTGCAAGGCCCAGTGCGCGTGGGTGAGCGGTGTGTGTGTGTGTGTGTGTGTGTGTGTGTGTGTGTGTGTGTGTGTGTGTGTGTGTGTGTGTGTGTGTGTGTGTGTGTGTGTGTGTGTGTCTCACGTCACTGCATCCTCCGCCGGTTCCTCCCGTCGCCTCTTCTTTGTTCGAATGTTTTTCAATCCATCCTTCACGAAGCCCTCCCATGTAGCTAGCGTTCTTGGCGAATGTCTCGAAATGGCCAGCAGGCGCTGTCTGCTCGCGGTCTGTGCGGGCCGCTCGTCCTCCTCGCCCTTCTTTCGTCCTCCCGTCCCTCCCCTCCACCATGGCCTTCTCGGCACTTCTTTCTCCATCCGCCTCGCCCTGCCTTTTCGCATCGTGCCGTTCGCCCTCCATTCGGTGACCTCCATGGCTGTCCGCCCCTTTTTGGGTGGCGCTCTCGATACGGTTGCGTCAACCTCGACGTCACTGTCGCCCTCCCCGTCCCCGCCGGCGTCCGTGCCTCGGTTCGCGTCATCGGTAGCGTCTCCGTTGTTCCCTCGTGCCCCGCCGTCGCCCTCTCTGCTCGGGCCGTTAGCGATTTCGCTCCTCCTGCGTGTCGCCCCTCCGTCCCCTCCCCTTTCTTCGTCGTCATCGTCGCTGTCGCGAAAGCCCTCCGGTCCCTCGATTCCCTCGCCTATCCCCTCCGCTGCGTCGTCCCAGTTTATATCCTCATCCTCTGCGCACGTCGCGTTGGCTTCCTCTCTCCCCCTTTCCTCCCTGCCCCTCTCGCTGTCTGGTGTTAATGGACCCCCTTCCTCTCCCTCGCCACCGTCACCGTCTCCATCCCCGTCGCTACCGCCCTCCATGCCCGCCGCCCTTTGTTTCACACTCGTCTCTGCCATGTCCGCCGTCGCCGCCGTCCTGTCTGCTGCGCTCTGTGCTCCGTGGTACAGTCGCTTATTGTTGCTCAGGATTAGCTCACGCACCAGGACAGCCTCCTGCTCGTTATTTTGGCTTGCCGATATGCATCCAAAGTTCCACGCTAGCTCCTCCTTCGTCACGTCTATCTTTTTGCAGTATCTCGCGAATGCCGTCCGCGCTTGCTGGGGTGTTATTGCGTTCGGATCCGCCCTGGTCCCCGCCCTGTATCCCATCTCCTTGCGGTGGCTCCTGTATGAGTCCCCATATGACCATGTGATTTCTTGGCCTTCCTTGACTCCCCTCTCTGCAAACAGGACCATCACCTGCGCAGCTGCCTTGCCTAATTGTATCTCCTCGTAGCGTACGAAGTGCGTCGCCCTCGTGCCTCGTTTCGGCTCATTCGATGCTGCAGGCCAATCGAAGTTACAGCGCGCCGCGACGCTGTCAAAGTCGTCCTCGCCCTCGTCGTCACTTCCATCCAGCTGCGTCCCCCCTGCTGCCGTGTGTCGTGATAGTTCGTCTGGTACTGTCTCTGGTGGCTGCGCCGTTCCTGTCCGGAAGATCTCTCCAGTGTAGATGCTACACACCTCAAATTTCTCTAGCCTCCTCGTCGCCAGTAGGCCGAGTTCCCCTTCCGCTATGCTAGAGGGGCCTACCTTCGCCCCTTCCACCGTGCCGCCCGTCGTTAGCATGGCCGTCGTTACTTTCGCCGCCGCCTCTGCTGCTTGTCGGCGGAGCGTCTCGCGCCTTCCCTCGTCCACATGGTCCCTCGGGTCCCTGCTGCTCCTAATCTCGTCGTACATCCTCCTGCTGATCTCAGCAACATCCTGCTCCCTCCCTCGTCTCGCCCTGCGCGTCTGCTCCGCCTCCACATCGTCTGCCCTGCGTCGTCTGGTGACGGGTCCTCCGTACCTCCCATCCCTCCCTTGGGTTGTCTGTTTTCTTTCTTTCTTTCTTTTGCACCTCTCGCACCTCGACAAGGACTACATCAAGGAGACAGCGAAACCATCCATCCGCGCCGACGCCATCGGCGTCACCACCGCCTCCCAGACATTGGTTGTCGGATCATACCGCTCGACCGAGCTGAGGGACGAGGCGCCGTTGTGCCCGCCAACAGCACACAACTTGCCGTCGAGCGCCGCCGCGGCCAGGGTCATCCTCACTGTAGTCATCGGCGCCACTGCCTCCCACGCGTTCGTCACGGGATCGTACCGCTCCACCGAGCTGAGGACGCCGTCGTGACCACGCCCGCCAGCAGCGTACAGCTTGCCGTCGAGCACCGCCACGCCGAAAGCTACCCGCCGCACCGCCATCGGCGTCACCGCCTCCCACGCGTCCAAGGCCGGGTCGTACCGCTCGACCGAGCTGAGGATGCCGTTGTTGTACCCGCCCACAGCGTACAGCTTGCCATCGAGCACCGCCACGGCGTGATTCTCGCGTGCTGTCGCCATCGGCGCCACCGCCTCCCACGCGTTCGCAGCCGGGTCGTACCGCTCCACGGAGCTGAGGAGGCCGTCGTCGTCATCGCCTCCCACAGTGTACAGCTTGCCGTCGAGCACCGCCATGGCGTGAACAAACCGCTCGACCGCCATCGGCGCCACAGCCTCCCACGCTTTCGTTTCAAAGTCGTACCGCTCCACCAGGTTGGAAGTTGCGCCGTCCTCCTCGTCGTCCTCGCCATCGTCTACCGCAACTTGGCCGCCCGCCGCGTAGAGCTTGCCATCGAGCACCGCCATGCCGGCATACTTTCGTGCCGACAGCATTGGCGCCACAGCCTCCCCCTCCCACGCATTCGTTGACGGGTCGTACCGCTCCAGCGAGTTGAGAAACTCGTCGTTGCTGCCGTAGCCGCCGATCACGAGCATGCGCTGCCTCTCGCGCTTCTTCAGCGTCTCCTTCCAGCCGCGGCGCCACGCGCGGCACGTCCCCTTGGCGGCGTGCTCCTTGGTCGGCAGCTGGGCGAGGATGTGCGGGGCGAGGTCCGGCGAGAGGAGGACCTCGGAGAGGACCCACTCGGGCTGCTCCACGAGCCGAGCGGCGTGCTCCTCCGCCACGCGCAGCGCGGCGTCGCTCGCACCCGCCTGCGCCTCGATGATGGCGCACAGCTGCTCTGGCGAGAGGCCCGCGACGCGGGCGCCGATGCGGTGGGAGGCCATGGTGCAGCAGGCGAGCGCTGGCGAGTTTCGGAACCCAACAACTAAAAGAATTCTCCGCGCCACAGATACACCACTGGAGCCGCCTAAGCGACTCCCGCGAGGACGGCGAGGACGGCGAACTAAACTAAAAGATTTTTACGCTAATAAGAAACGAAAAAAGCATACCAACATTTGCCAACAATATACCTACAACAACGCAAAATTCCATCTTTCTTCCCCGGCCTGCTCTCGGGAGCCCCCCCCCCCCCCCCCTCGCCAAATCAGCCCGGCACGCCCAGGATCGACGCGAGAAAGGCCTATCCACACGCCAATGCTGTCGCAAGAGGTCTGTTGGCGCCGATGAGGGCTACATATGGAGAAGAGAAGTCTCTCTCTCTCTCTCTCTCTCATATGGCGGTGGCGCCTCGTGCCGACGCTGCCTCGCCGCGTCCGACTGGCCATTCGCGCGGCCGTCGAGGCCCATCGGCGCGACGACGTTGCTCGGGTCCCACAAGTCTTTGGTGTTGCAGATTGAGCGCGTGTCGTCCGACGGCCTGCTCTCCACGTGCACCACCCGCACCGCGTGGCTACCTGTTTGCATCATGACGTCTAAGCGACTCTGAGTCGTAGCCACAGGCCGGCCCTGTTGCGCGGGTACCCGGTCCGAGAGACACCGCGACGGTCACCTCGGGCGGCAGCTTGGTCTCTCCCTCAAGGGTGACGGAGACGGAGAGCTTTCCCGACGGCTCGATGAGCTGCATGTCGAGCGCCTGCGCACAGGTGGAGCGGGGTGAGGAGCATCTCTTGTCTGCCGCAAAGAGAGTGGCCGGGCTGAACTATCGCACGCCTGTCGCTCCATGTCGATCAGCAGCCGGAGCTGAGCGCCCTTGGTCAGAGGCTTGAGCACCATCTCCGTCTCGCGCCCCTTGTACACCACGCGGCCACTCCCGCTCTGCACCCCAATGCAGTGCTGGTCCGCCGAGCCACCGCAGAAGGGCGTATCCCAGCCGCCGGGCGAAAAGTTGCGGCCGACGACGCCGTAGAACGCGTCGCCCTCGGCCTGGTCGATTGCGAGGACCACCTCAGTCAATCGCTTGGAAACGAACCCCTCCGCCAGCTGACAGCCCCATCCGGCCGTGGCCTTGCGCGCCACCATCAGCCGCTCCCCCGGCTCCACCTCGACCCCGGCACCAGTACGGTCGGCGCGCCAGCAGGCGCACGGGACAGGACCCGAATCCACGGCGGGAATCTTTGCCGCGGGGAGCGCTTCAACCACAACCACCTTCTCCTCCCCCTTGTCCTGCTGCTGCTTTTGCGACGACAGCTCCCTCGCCGCAACCGCCGCCGCGCCCGCGGCAGCCTTGCGGGACTCCTTGTCTTCGGCAGCCTTCTTGGTGGGCGGCGACGCGCCGCCGCGCTCCCCCTCCGCCACCTTCCTTCCGGTCCCCTGGCTGGAGCGCCGAAACAGGGGCATTGGGACAGTGGTACAGACACCAATCAACGGCCACGAAACGTAGTTCCTGTGTCGATCGATCAAAGGCAGCGTCGACGCGTCGAGGCTCGGACTGGACGAGAGGGACGGGGGTGGGGCGCGGTCAACCTCTGCAGAACCTGTTTGAGCTATTACCAGACAAGCCCTTCTTTTTTGGGTGACGGGGACGAATTTTTGGCGAAGTAGATAGAGGCAACGCGAAGCAAAAGTAGAGAAAAGCAGACCCACGTCGCGTTTCTCCTCGCTGCGCGGTGTGCGCGGGGCGGAGGCGGTATAAACGTTCGAGCCGCCGGAGCGAGCGAGCTGGCGCTCTAAGGCTCTATCAGACCTAGCCTCCGGAATCGCGACTGTCACGACGGAGTAGAGGGGAGCTCATCTGGGACAGTTAAGTAGAGGCAACAGAGAAAAGAGATGCAAAAAGAGATGCAAAAACATGCAGCACTCAGCCTTCCCTCCCCCTCCCGGATGGAAGTACTACCTGAGCTCGACCGTGCTTGACTTCGCTGTTCAGATGGGAAGCGGTAACCCACGGTGATATGGCCGCATGTACCAACTTTGTTGAGGCCGGAACACCATGTACGCACTGTATCTGGGAAAATGACTTGTGGAACAAACTGGGCAAGCAGCGCGTCGAGCGGCGGCACGAGGAGCAGCTTGAGCAGCTGGTGCAGCGCACGCTGGACCTCATTTCTTCGTGCCGTGCACGCGAGCTGGCCAATGTGTCTCACGGCGTTGCAAAGTGCGGCCTGCAAGCGAGGATGGTGCACCCGTTGTTCGTAGCGGTGGCGGAGGCGGCGGTGCGCGGCGAGCTGGATGGCTTCAACCCTCAGAACCTGTTGTACACAGCCGTGGCGGAGGCGGCGGTGCGCGGCGGGCTGGCTGGCTTCAAGCCTCAGGCGCTGGCCAACACGGCGTGGGCGTACGCGACGGCGGGCGTGGCTGCGGACGCGCTGTACGAAGCGGTGGCGGAGGCGGCGGTGCGCAGCGGGCTGGCTGGTTTCAACCCTCAGAACCTAACCAACACGGTGTGGGCGAAACTGCCTCTTCACAGTTCACGGCGGACCGGTACACTAGTCATCTAGAGTTCGGCCATCTGCGAGCCCCTTAGAATGCTCCATCGTGGCACAGTGACGCAACCGCAACACAAACGCACAACAAACACGCTAGCAAACAAAACGCAAAGCCCCGGCTGACGGCAGCGGAAGGCAGCGCGGCATTGCCCCTCCTCCTTGCGCTCGCCACGAGTGCGCCTGCCCCCTTCTGCTTCGCGTGCGACAGCTCATGGTGGACCCAGATCTCGTTGAGACGCGACGGGCTTTCGTGGGGATGGTGCTCGAAACCGCGCGATCGCAGCAATGCTCGGATCGGGTCATTGACTGACTCAATGAGCAGCACCGACACGGGGATGGACCAATCCATCCCCTTTAGCACCGCCAGTTCCGCGCCCTCGACGTCCAGCGACCAAAAGTCGAGCCGTTCGACTCCAAGCGCACGCAGAACCGCGCCAATCGGAACGGAACGCACCAAATAGCTATCCGCGCCGCCCTTGAGAAGGCTGCCGCAGCAGCCGTGCCCAGAGAAGCGCAGTGTCTGGTGGGCCTCGCCAAGGGCCGCCTCCAGGCGGAAGGCAGCGGGGCGGCGCGTGAAGAGCTTTGCAAAGTTCAGGGGTGACGCCTCAACCATCAGTACGCGCCAGCCGAGATAACGCTCGTAGAAGTAAGAATTTGAGAGGCTGGCCGCACCATCGAGGCCCCCAACCTCGAGGACGAAGCCGTCGCGCTTTCCAGGAAAGAAGGTGCGGTACACGTGGAGGGAGTCATACATGAAGTAGTCTCTGCCGAACGTGGACTCGTACGCGCGTTGCTCGATCGCCCGCTCGGCCCACGACTCGCCACCGTCAACCCGGCCAGATGCAAAGGCCTTTGGCGCCAAGTCATACGCGACGATGGGACTCGCCGTTGCCGGAGGCACCGGCGTGAAGATCAGAAGCGGCTCGGGTTGTGAGGAGTTCAGCAGGCGCCGCTGACGACTCAAGCGGCGTAGGCGCCTTTCCGCGGCCAGCACGAGCTTCGGATCAGCTTGGCTAGTCATGCACGTGCCTGCAGAGCAGCGCATCTCATGTACTCCACCCGCGTAGACGGAGCTTGACGCGCGGCTCCGCAGCCGTCCCAAGCAGACGGCACGGCTATCGGACGTGCCATCGGACATCGCATGCGGTACAAACAGTGCTCCATCGCCAAAGGAAGGGGCCTGCCGGTAACCCTCGCCGCGCGCCTGACAATCGGATCGCGAGGCGGCACAGTTGACTGCGACACACTCGGGCCAGCGTCGGCACAGGTGGAGAGCGGAGAAGCGTGGAAACGAGCACTGCCCTTCGACCGGCGGCGGCTGGATACAGCCAAACTGCCTCTTCCCGCGAAGGCACGTGGCACCAGAGCACTCAGCGACGATCGCAGGACGGCACGAAACGTCGTGCTCGGCAAGAGTGAGGAGGCAGGCAAGCAGCATCGAATGAGGGGGTACTCGGTGGTCAGCCAGGGAGCGAGGTTTCATTAAAAATCCCCGTCGTGGCGGCGTGCCGTCCTCCCATCCCTCCATTGGCTTGTCTGTTTTCTTTCTTTCTTTCTTAATTATGACTTTGACAAGCTGAGATTTTGTTTGAGACTTACGTGACTGTCAGTGTGCGTCGACAATTTCTTTTTCTTCTCGGCGTAGGAAGATTTTTAGCGATGCCAGTCGTGCGTGCGATCGCATGCACATGTGCATGTGCATGCAGCGGCCGACTCGGACGGACGGAGTGGCATGTAAGACGCGAGTGCTGAGAGATCCATCTGGATCCAGTGTCGACAGTCCGTCGAGAAGTTGTCCAGAGCTCACGGTCTGTGCGGGCCGCTCGTTCTCCTGCGACCTGCGGGGTAGTGCATCCGCCGCACGCTAGCAGAGGTCTACGCGTCGAGCCCCATGCCAAAGACATTGTACGTGCAGTCGGACAATGCGTCGGACAACAAGTGCTGGACCATGCTAGCATTCTTTGCGATGATGGTGCACCACAGCTACGTTTCGGAGGTCTTCTTTTCCTTCCTTCTCGTCGGCCACACGCACGAAGACATTGATCAGTTCTTCTCTTCGCTCTCCAAATTTCTCAAGAGAGAGTTGACACGGGTCACCACGCCGTCCAAGTTTCAAGAAGGCATTCAGCAAGCCATGGGCAACCGAGCGTACGGACTGATCGAGCCAATCGACAGTGTCTTTGACTGGATAAAGTGGTTCGAGCCTTACCTGTTGGACACCGGCGATCGCGCGACGGGAATTCACGAGGCTTATGTCGACGACGAGATTCACAAGCCGCACCACTTCTGGATTCACAAAAAGCCGTCGGGCGACGTCGTATTTCACTACAAGGAGCTTGCAACGGACCCAGTGTGGCTGCCCTCCACCAACCCAGACGAGGTGAAGGTCTCGGACCCAAACGGCATCCCGATCTTCAAGAGACCACCGCCGGATCCCATGATGGAAGGCGCCTCGCCAAGGGAGGCGCCGTTTGCGAGCGATTAGATAGCCAAGTGGTGTGTTTTGCTCTTTTTACTCTAACACTTCCCTTTAAACCTCGTCACATGTCGAACTGCTGGCTTCGCCGATCGTCACGCGCTCTCGCTTCCCAGGCGAGGCGCTCGGCGTAGAACCTACTGTAGGTAAGTGGACGTGGTTTCACGCGCTCGCGGTCCTCGGCAAGGAGTGACCCTGTGGCGTGGTGACTGGCACTCGGCCCCCTCACCGCCGCCGATGCCACCCCACCGACGCCGCCGCCCTCTCTGCCGGCGCTGCCATCGGCTCTCACCGCCACCACCGTCGCCGCCACTCCCGTCGCCGAACCTCGGTGTGGTGCTGTGCCGCCAGTGTGATGTCTCCCTCCGCCGCACGGTTGTTCAGCTCAGAGCTGTGCTTGCAGCAGTGCTGTGCGCCTACAGTGGCTTCAGGAGCCAACAACCCACGTCCTCAGGGATCGGCACAAATGAGTACGCGAAAGGGAGTCGACTATCGCCGTAAAGGCTCGACGTCTCGTAAGCACCTGGCCCCACGCGCCTAGCGCGGCGTGACAGAGTTGGTTTCTAGAGCTGGCTCGCGATCTCAGGGTCGTGAGGGGCCGGCCTAAGCAGGGGTAATCGTACAACGCCGGCTGTTGTGACTGGATTCATCTTCTCTCAGATCTCACGGCCGAGCCGAGGTGAGCTGGCGCGCCGCAGCGGGAGAGAACAAGCCATGGCACCGCTGAGCACAATCGGCGCTTGTCTGCGCAACCAGTGTTTGAAACGCCATCGTTTTTGCTATCCATGGACCTTATTCGCATGCCGACCCAATTTCACGGCTTTTTGTATGGACCCAGACTTCGCCATTATGGACGGACATCTCTGGCCGAGAGACGCCATCCATGGCGAAGCAAAAGAATTTTACGACGGAACTGCCTCGCACAACAATTTTACAACTCAAGGCGTTCTGAGGAAGCCGTCGCCCGCGCCTCGCCTGTCGCGTGAATCGTGTCGTGCGAAGCAAAAGAATTTTACAACAAAACTCCCTCGCACAACACTGGGCACAGGCATTTTACAACAAAAGCTCCCTCGCACAACACTGGGCAAAAGAAACGCACCTCCACACTCAGTTTGCCTCCGACGCCGATCTCCCCTCTCTCTTTCTTTTGGCCCTGCCGAATTATACTTGTTGTAATCGCAAGGCTTCACCAATGCACACCAAAGAGGAAGATTATCGTCACGACACCACGCATGGGGAAAAATATTTTCGTGGCCACGATAATCTCGTACGGGCGCGAGGTAGACGCTAGACGAAGAGTGCGTGTCGTGTGTCTTACTACTCAAAAGTTGATGAAAGTGTCCCGCGGCGCAATTGTTATGACCCTGACCCGCAACAGCATCCACTCTCTCAGGCACGCTGCAGTACACGGTGGCCGATCCCTGGTGAGCCCCCGGACACGGCCCCCGCCCCTTCCTCCCCACCTCGGCACACCCACACTGTGGAGACCCTTTCCCCAAACCCCCCCCCCCCCCCCCCTCGCACTCTAGCGCGGCGGCCCGTACCCGGGAGGCGGCGGGTTATTCCACGCGTTGAAGTGGGGGTGCTGCTGGCCGGCGTGTCGCGCCTCGTATGCCGTTCGCGCCTCGAGTCGTGCTATCTTGTTCGTCCGCCCACGCCGCCGCCGTTCATCGGAATCCTGCTGCTCGGCACGGAGCGCTGCCAGCTCCTCAACGCAATCGCGCGGGCCCGGCACGGCAGCCATCCAAGGCGCGCTCGAGCTCGGCGGGCAAGCGGGAAGGTAGTGCGGTGTGTAGGGTGGTTGGTAGGGCGATGGGGCCCACTGCAACGACTGAGGGCGGGGCGGCTGCCACACTCCGCCAGCGAAAGGCTGCATGGCGGCGTGAGGCGCAGCCTGCGCAGCCGAGTACATGCCGCCCTGCGCAGCCGAGTACATGCCGCCCTGCGCGGCGCCTTGCGCGGCGCCCTGCGCCGGGCCCTGCATGCCCACCTGAGGCCACCCGCCATCGTGGCCTGGCGGCCACGAGATCGGCTGCTGACACGGCGGCTGTTGCTGCCAAAACTCCGGAGGCCTCTGCGAGAACGGCTGCTGCGCCACAGCCGCAGCGGCTGCCGGCGCTTCCCCCCCGACGCCGCCACCACATCCGCCACAGGCACCGCTGCCGAGGCCGGCGGGAGCGGCTCCACAGCTGAAGGCATCCCGTCGGTGTCAGTCACCATCCAAGATATCAACGCAATGTCGCTCCGAGAGCTCAAAGGTTTGGCACGAGGGATGCATGGCTCCCAGGCCAGCAGCGACCCAGGCATGAGCCTGCTGGCACCAAGTCGGCTGCGAGCAAGGCTCCGGACACAGATGACCAGTGCCTCAATTTTCAGGACGTCCCGGGTCGAACTGGCGAATGTGTGGTGTTCGATTTCCTCAGTCGCCGAACCTCGGCGGCTGTAGCTGCCTTTTGCCGCAAAGTTGGGCTCAAAACGAAGACACACTTCCGCATTGACCAAGTCCAGAATGCGTGCGGTGACATTGCCGCAGTGTCAATGGTCGCCATGCGCATGGCCGGCGACGACTTCTACGAGGTTGAAATGGACCAGCTCGTCGGGTTCAACAACGAGGCTGCAGTTCGGAACGTTCGGGATACGATCAATGCGCCTCACCACCATGTCGGCAATTGGGAACAAGCGCAGTTGGAGGGCGACCAGATCATTCAGATCGTCAAGGCGTTCAACCCGGACCGGCAGCTCCGCTGGCTCCGAGGGCCGCTCCCGATGGATGTGTTCACCACGTACATGTCGGGCAAACTCATGGCCGCCGATGGAGAGATCAATCTCGTTGCCCGAGGAAGGGCGTGCTGAGCTCGAGGCACGCACTGGTTTGCCGTGGCATTCCGGGCGCTCCCTGCAGAGCCGGAGCGGTGCGTGCCCCAGCGGCGTCCCACCGCCCTGACCGTGTCGCCGGCGCCTTGGTGTGTTTCCCGTGAATTCTTTTCCCCATTCGGTGCCTGAGTCGTGCCGGTGCGCAAGTCGAGTGCTGTGCAAATCGGTGCCGGTGCGCAAGTCACGTGCCAGTGGTGCCCAGTTACGTGCCCAGTGAGCAGTGTGCGAACGCGCACCCCCGGGGCTAGGGCTCTCTTGCCCGCAACCCGACACCGATCATCCGGCCCGCTGGGTGCGCTTCTTAGCTCCCCGGCCCTGGATGTGAGGTTACCGACTGCACTCCAAGTGCTCCAAGTGCAAACAAAACTCCCTCGCACGACACTGGGCACGGGACAGTGCGCGCCAGTCCCGTGCCCAGTGTCGTGCGCGAAAAAGAATTTTACAACAACTCCCTCGCACAACACTAGGCACGGGACTGCACTGGCGCGCACTGGCACTACTGACGTGAACACAAACACAGTGTGTGTTGTGCGCGAAAAAGAAGACGCGCATTCCTCGAACGTCGAAGTTTCTCTCACACCGCCGGTGGAGAGGCCGGAGCGAACAATTTGGTCTCGGCCCCAGTGTCGTGCAAAAAAGACAACAAACAAGCAGGAATCAAACGAATGCAATGGAAAAAGAAATCGCGCTGCGCAAAATCCACACGACAGAACGTACCCAGCTACCCTTTACTGCATCTCGCGCGTGATCGCGAAGCGCAGCACGCACGCGCTAAAGTCGCGCGCCGCGATGCCGTTCGTGTTTCCTGCCGAGTCGAGATGGTGCCGCTCGTGGATCTCGTAGAGCGAGACGACGAGGAGCGCCGCCCGCGCGCGCGCCGCCGCGGGGAAGAGCGAGTGGCTTGCCGGCGACCACGGCGCCGCCGCCCGCCGGATCAGCGCCGCCGCCTCGCCCGCGCCGCCCGCGGCGCGCTGCAGCGGCGTCGGCTCGCCCTCGTGCAGGCTTGCGCCGCTGCGCAGCAGGGAGAGAGCGCGGGCGGCGGTGAGGCTCTCAAGGTGCGCGAGCGGCGTCCAGCCGCGGCTGGCGACCAGCCAGGCGGCGAGGTCGGCGTGGCCTGCGCTGGTTGCCATTTCCTCGGGCGTGCCGAAGGGCGGCACCGCGGCGCGGGAGGCGCCGTAGGAGGAGAGGAGCTTGGCGACCTCGAGGTGGCCCTTGTAACACGCCATGAGCAGCGGCGTGGTGCCGTCGCTGCTGGCTTGGTTGATCGCGGCGCCAGCCTCGAGGAGCAACAGGGCGACGTCGAGGTGGCCCTTCTGGCATGCCACGAACAGCGGCGTGACGCCGTTCTGCGCGGCTTGTTCGACCGCCGCGCCGGACTCGAGGAGCAGCCGGACAATGTCGAGGTGGCCGTCCTGGCACGCCCTGCACAGCGGCGTGAAGCCGTCCTCCATGGCGTTGGCCTGGTCGACCGAAGCGCCGGCGTCGCGTAGCAGCCGGGCGATCTCGACGTGGCCCTCCTGGCACGCAGCGTACAGCGGCGTGAAGCCCTCAGAATCTGCTTGGTTCACCGCGGCGCCGGCGGCGATCATCAGCCGGACGCAGTCGATCTCGCCCTCCTGGCTCGCAGCGCTCAGCGGTGTGACGCCTTCAGCGTCAGCTTGGTCGATCGCCGCGCCAGCCTCGAGAAGCAGCTGGGCGCACTCGACGTGGCCCTCCGCGCACGCCATGAACAGCGGCGTGGCGCCATTCCCCGTGGCTTGGTTGACCGAAGCGCCGGCCTCGAGAAGCAGCCGGACCATCTCGACCTTGCCCTGGTAGCACGCGATGAGCAGCGGCGTGAAGCCGTCCTCATTGGCTTGGTCGACCGCTGCGCTAGCCTCGAGGAGCAGCCGGGCGACCTCGGGGTGGCCGTTCTGGCACGCGATGAGCAGTGCCGACGCGCCGCCGCTGCTACCACCTTCGCCGCCCGTCGTCGCCCCGACGCTCGCGCCGGCCTCAAGCAGCAGCCGCACCGCCTCGGCCTGCCCGTGGCGAGCGGCCCAGGTCAGCAGCGTGTCTTGCTTCTCGGTGTCGAGCCGCGCGTCGAGACTGCCGTGCGTCCGCCGGCCGGAGAGGTGGGCGCGCAGCGCGGCGATGTCGGCGGCGGCGATGTCGGCGAGCAGCGTGGCGGGCGGGCTCGCGGCGGGCGCCATATACCTCACCGAGTCGAGACGCGGCGGCTACGTCAGAGAGGGCGGTGTCTCGCACGGCGCCCGCCAGCGGACGGCGCTCTCGCGGTGGCGCCGAGGCGACTCGCGCTTGGGCGGCGTCCTTGGTCGGCCCGCGCGCCGACTACGACCCGGCGCAGCCGCTGAGTCTGGGCGAGATCGCCGTCGGATCGCCGCTGAGTCTGAAGAATTTACGCCACTTATCTGACAGGAGAAAAGACGAGCACGTGTGTTTTTGTGTGACCGTAGCCTGAGTGAGTGTGTGGCGGGCGCGCCGCGGCCGCGCGCAACCTTCGTCACAATGCCAACCGCGCGCGGCCGTCGACCGGCAAGCACACGCCTCGACTCGGACACACTGTTCCGAGGGCAAGGGAGAGGGGCTGGCCCCTATAGCCCGAGAGGGGAGCTTCCGAGACCCACTACATGACCACGCACACCTCATCCCGCGGCCTGGCGGTCGGCGGGATTGCAACCAGTCTTCGCGTGCCGCCTGTCGTTCACTCGGGCGCCTTGGGCGTCGGGGTGGCGAGCAGGGGACGCAGCTCTGTGAGCGCCCAGCGACGCGTGCCGGATGGAGTCCGGCCGCGGGTGACTAGGGAAGTTCGCTCAGGATGTGTGGCAGCCGCCCCGTTGGCTGAGTGTCTTGTCTTGTGGTTCTGTGTGTCGCTCCTGTGTGACCGTCATCGCCCGTCCTGCGTCCACCCATATCGCGTTGGTGTCCCAGTCGTTGGTCGGACTGTGTTTCGCCTTCCCATCAATCAATGTGTGTGAAACCGCCAATGGCAGTTATCAGTTGTGCGGCCGTCGCCGTGGCTCTCCTCTGCCGCGGCGGCTGCTGCGCGCACGCGGCGGCGCCGCTCTCTCGCGAGACGGCTGGCGACGTGGCTCGCGGCCGACGTACGCTGCGCTCGTCCGACCGCCCGCGGCGTGGCGTGCGCGGCGCTGCGCGCCGCTCTGCGAGCGCTTCTGCGCTGCTGTCACACTGCACTGTCTCTCTCTGGTGCTGCTGCTGGTGGTGATGTTGCTGCTGCTGGTGCATATGCTGCTGCTGGCGCGGCGCGGCTCTGCGACTCGGCTCGAGACGCGCGTCGGGAGCATCTGACACGGCGGCGTCGGGCAGGTTGCGCCTCTCTCTGGTGCTGGTGGTGCTGGTGGTGCTGGTGCTGCTGGTGGTGATGCTGCTGCTGGTGCGGCGCGGCTCTCCGACTCGACTCGAGGCGCGCGTCGTGGCAATCTGACGCGGCGGGCGGCGTCGCGGGCGGCAGCGATCGAGGCTCGACGGTGGAGGTGGAGGCTGGAGGCTGGAGGCTGTGTGGTGGACCTTTGACTAACTCTCACCCGCCGCCGCTCCGACGGTGAAGCGGCGGGGATCGTCAGCGGATCGACGACTAGTTCGTGCTCGCGAGCGGGAGGCCGAGGCGGCGCTGAACTGTAATGCGCATCGCCCACGTCTCCATCTTCATCTCATCCCGCAAAGAAAGAAACACACAAGAGCACCACTCTTGGAGCGCCGCCACTACCACCCAGAGCGCTGCAAGCAACGCCGGGCAATGACGGCTTACCGCCCACCCAGCCCCCCCTCGGCACACCCCGGCAGCCAATCAATGTGTGACGGCTCGAACCCGCTAAGCCATCCCGCAAGCGGGATGGCCCGCCACTCGAACCCGCAAGCGGGCGTACGAACCGCGAGCGGCTCGCACTCGTGACACGCAGGCGTCTTCAGACGGCGCCGGGGCTAGGCGACCGAAGAGGAACTACGGCAAGAACCGCACACCACCCGCTGTGCGCTGACGAGCGCTCGCGGAACTGGTCCGCGGCGCCCGCCAGGGGCGTGCGCGAGAAAGGGCTCGGAGCCCTTTTCTGTGAGCAGGGATTCCCTCCCGGCGGGGGTTGTGGCGGAGAGCCAAAGAAAGAAAGAAAACAGACAACCCAAGGGAGGGATGGGAGGACCGCGGCCAACACCTTTTTATTCTCGAGACTCCGGAAGCACCGACGCCCTGACGATCCCTGACAGGAGCGCCCGCTGCTTTCCACTGCCGAGGAACGCGCTCGCCGCCTTGCCATCGCCGCTGCAGCCGGTGCAGCTCCTCGCCCTGCCAACGGATCTGCTACCGTGGGAGCCAATGCCGAGGAACGCGCTCACCGCCTTGCCATCGCCGCAGCAGCCGGCGCAGCTCCTCGCCCTGCCAACCGACCTGCTATCGCGCATCGTATCGCAGTGCGACCCAGTCGACATCGCTCGCATTGCAGCCGTCTCGCTCCTCTTGCACGAATCGGTTGTTGAGGAGGGCCTGCACTTGCGGGCGCAAGAGCTAGGCTACGAGCTGCCTCCGCGACTGGCCGTGCGCTCGCTCTGCCTAGTGGCTTTGCAGCGCGAGGCCAACCTTCCAGCGAGGGTGGCGGCAGGATCAGAGCACAGCGTCTTCATCAACGGCGAGGGGCGGCTGTTCACGTGCGGTAAGCCTGAATCTTACCTGCGAGGAATTCTCGGGCATGGCGGGGGTGTGGAGCAACTGCACGTACCGACCCAGATCCCGTCGATGCTCGACGGCGAGCGCGCAGTCAGCGTGGACGCAAGTGGAGGCGAGCACAACTTGTGTATTACCACCAACGGTTCTCTCTGGAGCTGGGGATATGGAAGTTTGGGCTGCCTGGGTCACGGCAGCAGGCAATGCGAGCCCCAGCCAAGAAGGATCGATGCCTTGGCTGGCCATTGCGTCGTCGCACTCTCGACGGCTTTCATGCACAGCGTGGCCGTCACCGCCGACGGAGCTGTCTGGAGCTGGGGAGGAGGTTCCGGATACAAGCTCGGCCACGGCGATCGGCAGTGTCAGTTGCAGCCAAAGAAGGTCGAGACCTTGGCTCAGAAAGGCCTGTTTGTCACCGCCGTTGCGGCTCGAGGCGACAAATACACCCTCGCCGTCACTGCCGACGGCGCCGTCTGGAGCTGGGGGATAGGGCAGTTGGGCTACGAGCAGCCCCCTGGCGACGTGAGCTGCGACTTGACGCAGCCGAAGAGGATCGAAGCCTTGGATGGCCAACATGTGGTGGCCGTGACGGCGGGAGCTAATCACAGCCTTGCCCTCACCGCGGCCGGCGGTGTCTGGTCCTGGGGCGAAGGATCGGGTGGCAAGCTCGGCCACGGCGACGAGCGGAGCCAACCGCAGCCGAAGAGGATCGAGGCCTTGGCTGGTCATCGCGTCGTCGCGGTGTCTGCTGGATCCCACCATTGCCTTGCCGTCACCGCGGGCGGCGCTGTCTGGAGCTGGGGCGGCAACCGCCGCAACTGCGAGTTGGGAGCCGCAGGCTGCCTTGGCCACGGTACCTCTCAGAATCAGCTGCTACCCAAGAAAATCGAGGCTTTGGCTGGGCGGCGCGTCGTTGCCGTGTCCGCAGGAGGCAGCCATAGCTTGGCCATATCCGACGACGGCGCCGTCTGGAGCTGGGGTGACCGTTACGCGATGGGCCACGGTGTTGGAGAGGAGAGGGTGCTGCAGCCCAAGAAGATCGAACAGTGGACGTCGTGAGTGACGCCGAGCGCTCGCGGCCACGCCGCTCTTGGAAGAGATGACTTTGATCTCTTTGTAGTTGTTGCTTGACGGATGACTCCCTTGGAGCTTGAGCGTTGAGGTCATGGTTGAGGTCTGGTCGACTAGGGACAAAGTGTCGCCATGGTGCAAGCATTTATGGTCAAAGATTATTTCCGTACGGAGCGTGTACTTAGAGTTACACGTCTCCCCTCTGAGAGAGTAAACCATAAAACGCATCGACCGCTGATCATAATCATCGCGGCGCCCCCTCTTTCGTATCGTTGTGCACGTGTGTCTCAGAACTCAGAACACCGCAGAGTGCTCGAACAGTGCGCGCGCGCGAAAGAAGGTGAGGTCGTGGCAGAGGCGGGCGAGGTTGCGCCGGAAGGAGGGCAGGTCCGACGAGTCGGCGGCGGCGAAGGCGTCGTAGAGGATCTGCTTCTCCCCCGCCCCCAGCGCCGGCTCGTCGAGCAGCCTCCGCTGCAGCAGCTGCAGCAGCAACGGCGGCGGTGCGGCCTCCGAGCTTGCGGGCGGCGAGGGCGGGCGGGCGGCGTCGGCGAGCGCCGCGGCGTGGAGGCATTCGGTGGTCTCGTCGTGGAGGGAGGCGTGGAGCGGGTCGAGCCGCGCCGCGAGGGCGAGGAGGAGCAGCTCGAGATGGAGCGCCTAATGCAACAAGTTGGTGTGGCCGAAGCGATCCACTCTGCGTTAAGTAGGGGCTAGAGATGGAGGCGCCTCCGGCGTCGCGTCGGCCGCCGCGCCGGCGGGGGAGGGCTGCGCGGCGAGGCGGGGCTGAACCTCTGCGAGGGCGGCGAGGCAGGTGCGGAACGAGGGCGGGTCGGCGGGCGAGGAGAGCCCGTGGTGGAGCAGCCGCAGCAGCACGAGCAGCTCCTGCGGCCGCGTCGAGACGACCCTCCACTGCCGCCGCAGGAGGGTGGCGGCGAGGAGGAGGAGCTGGCGGCGGCGAGGAGGGGCGAGGAGAGGCGAGCCGACGAGGGACCCGATCTGCGCGGGCCCGACCGCCGCGACGAGGCCTGAAGCACGAAGATGTGCCACCTCACGCAGGAGCTCCCTTCGGCGTACACACGCAAAGAGAAGCGACGCGGCCGAGCGGCAGCGTGGGCGGCGCGCGGCTTGGGGAGGGCGGGTCCGCCAGCAGGAGGAGCAGCCGCAGCGAGACGCACATCACGCCGTCTGCGCCCGCCGCCGCTGCGGCACCGGCGGAGGCGCCGCCGTCGCCGCCGGAGGAGGAGGGAGTAGTACCAGCGGCGGCGGCGGCGGCGGCGGGCGGCGCGGCGGCGGCGATGGCGGCGACGGCATTCGTGAGGGCGAGGCTGAGGAGCTCCGCGTAGCTGGACGGCGAACTGTTCACACCCATCTCGCTGTGAAGAGACGCCGCCCCCGGGCAGGGCGAGTCTCCGCGTGGCGAGATGGCAACTTGGCGGCGGAGGAGGAGGAGAGGTGGGGGAGGAGGGCGAGGAGGAGGGCGAGGAGCTCTCGCACGGCGAGGAGAGGCACCTGCGGCGGGGACGTGTGCGGGACTCGTGCGTGCACCGACAACGGAGCTCTCGCACGGCGGACAGCGGGGCAACGATGTTGCGAATGCACTGCCAGTGTTGATACTGCAGAATGCAGCCAAATGCGCGCCCGTCTCGAGTGCTCGGTGGAATACGCGTCGATGTTTCGCTGGTCTAGAGAGCGGCGCCGGCGCCGGGGGCTGCCCTCCGCCCGCCGGGCTGCCGAGCAGGCTTGGGAGGAGGGCGTGTAGGGCCGGGAGGAGGAGGGGCGCCGCCGGCTGCAGCGCCGCCGCCATCACCGCCCGGTGCTCGCTCGACAGCGCGGCGACGATGGAGCGGACGCAGCGCACGCGGTGTCGGCCGTCCGCTGCGGCGAGGCGAGCGGCGAGCAGCTCGGGGCGCTCCTAGTTCGCAGCGCTCCGGCGGTTAGCACCCAGCACTTCCCAGTCGGCGGGTGGCGCAGCTCGGCAGAGTCTGCCTGCTCGGCAGCCATACCTCGGCTAAATCTCGGCTAAATCTCGGCTGTCTCTCGGGCTGTATCTCGGCTGTATCTCGGCTGTATCTCCGCCCAATCTGCCGGGTCGGCCGCCATCGCCGCGCAGAGCGAGCGGATGAGCGCGTCGTACCTGCTCACGGCCCGCAATCGTGAAGAGGCGCCGCTGCCCGCAGGAGCACGGCGGGGGACGCGACTCTGTGTACCGCTCCCTCCTCCACGCAGGCAGGAGAGGCTCGGGGTACGACCGCATGTCGGCGTTGCGCGGCGGCAGCAGCAGCGCGCCGCACGCCGCCGCGAGGAGGAGGGGCTGGCGGGGCGGCGGGAGGGAGGCTGCGGCGGCGGGCTCGAGGCCTAGTGACTCGTTCACTCGCGGCTCGCCTCGCGCTCGTCCTCAAGAGCTGACGGGGTGGCGGAGGCGGAGTCGACGCCTCGCAGAGACTGCAGCCCCGCCGCGTCGTGCACCGAGGCCGGCCAGCGGCGGCACGCCGTGGCGGCGAGCAGCGCGCCGACCTGCCGAGACACTTCCTAGACGCTTCCTAGACACTTCCTAGACACTTCGAGGAGCAGCGCGCCGACCTGCCGAACGGCGAGGGGCGTGGCGGCGGAGGCGGCGAGCAGAGGCGGCGACTGCTGCAGCACGGCGGTGAGGCAGTCGGAGAGGAGCCGCTCTGCGGTGGCGCGGTCTGCGGGCGGCCAGCTCTGCGCCTAGGGAAGAGGCGACGACCAGCTCCTCGTCTGGCGACTTGGTGGTGCGGTCGGGCGGCCGCACTACTCGGCGCCTCGAGCAGCGAAGCGAGCCAGCTACAGAGGGCGCCGACGAGCCGAAGCAGCGACACCGCGGCGGCGAGGAGGGGGCGGGAGGAGGCGACTCGCTGCCCGAGACGGCCCAAGGCGGCCGCCACGTGCCGAGAGAGCTCGGCGACCGGGGCGATGCTGGCCGCCTGGTTGCGGGACCTCGTGGGATGAGACTGTGGAGTTGAACTCGTCCGCGACGGGAGCGGTGCTGGCCGCCGCCGCACTCGGGAGGACGGCGACGAGGCAGTCGGCGAGAAGCACCTGCCGCAAAACAAAACGGGTCTCGCAGCTGTCTCGGAAGGGTCTCGGGAGGGAGGACCGCGGCGAGGAGGTCGGCGATGTCACCACGTCCGCAGCCCCGTCGGCGTCGAGCGACGCGGCGTCGGCGCCCGAGAAGCGTGGCAGCAGCGGCGCGAGCTCGCCGCAGAGCAGCAGCAGCACCGCCTGATGAGATCGCCCGAGATTGGCCGAGAGGAGCCGACGGCGCCACAGAGCAGCAGCAGCTCCGCCTCCCCTCGCAGCGACGCGAGGGCGCACAGCAGCGACATTGCGTCGCTGCACAACGCCTCGAAGGAGTCCTCCTCGCCGCCGCCGCCGCCGAGCAGCTCCACCCCTCCGCCCTCGCCCTCGCCCTCGCCATCACCGTCCGCGTCGCTGTCGCCGTCAGCGCCGCCGCCGCCCTCGCCCCCCCCGCCGCCGGCCGCACCTCCGGGCTCCACCAGCTCGTACTCCTCCCGCAGCGCCGGCGAGAGATGCCGCTGCAGCCGCCGCACGAGCGACCTGTTCACAGCTGCAGGTGTGAGGAGACGCTGTTCACAGCTGACACAGCTGCAGCCGCCGAACGAGCGACCCGCACGAGCCAAGCAGCGCGTCGGCGATGCCGCCGGCGGTGGCGTGGTCGGCGGACGAGGACAGCCCCTCCGCCTCGCCGCCTGTGCCGAGCAGCGCGCACGAGGTCCAGCCGAAGTGCAGCCGAGCTGCAGCCGAGGTGCAGCCGAGGCGCAGCCGAGGCGCAGCCGAGCTGCAGCCCAGAGGCAGCCGAGGTGCAGCCGAGGCGCGGCCGAGGTCCAGCCGAAGTGCAGCCGAGCTGCAGCCGAGGCGCAGCCGAGGTGCAGCCGAGGCGCAGCCGAGCTGCAGCCGAGGTGCAGCCGAAGTGCAGCCGAAGTGCAGCCGAGGTGCAGCCGAGCTGCAGCCGAGCTGCAGCCGAGCTGCAGCCGAGGTGCAGCCGAGCTGCAGCCGAGCTGCAGCCGAGCTGCAGCCGAGGTGCAGCCGAGCTGCAGCCGAGCTGCAGCCGAGGTGCAGCCGAGGTGCAGCCGAGCTGCAGCCTGTCTGCCTGCGGCGTCGAGCAGCGCGCTTGAGGCGCGCACGCAGCGCTGGAGCTGCCTGCCGCCCCGCCCCTCGGAGTAGCGCCACAGCTGCTCCAGCGCCCACGGGGCGGCGGGCGGAGAGAGTCGGAGCAGCCAGCGTCCTGGTCGATGGCAACTCGCTCAGTGGGCAGGAGCAACTAGTCTGCGGAGAGGAGAGAGCGGCGGGCCGGCGAGCGAGTCGAGGAGGAGGAAGAGCTGCTCCTCGTATTCCTCGAGCTGCGCCTGTGTGTGTCGGAATGGGAAGGAGTAGAGCGGACTGGAAGGGGGGGGAGTAGAGCTCCTCGAGTTGTGCCTCCGGAGGGGCGGCAGCGAGGGCGGAGAGGGCCTGCCAGCAGGGGACAACAGTGTAGTAACAATGTAGCACATCGCGTAGACGTGCTGTGTGCTGTTGCGGGCGGAGAGCGCCTGCAGCGCCGGCTCGATCAGCGGGGAGAGCAGCGCCGCAACTGCGCCCTCCTGCAGCTCGGACAGCTCTCGTGCCGCCTCGAGGGCGGTGCAAGCGAGCCTGGCACCCCCCGCCCTCGGAGAAAAGAAGGCCGCCACCGCGCCGAGCAGAAGCGGAAGCTGCTGCCGCGCAGCCTATGCTACATCGTATTCTGCTCATTTCTCGACCGCCTCTCGGCTGCCTCTCGGCCGCCTCTCGGCTGCCTCTCGGCTGCCTCTCGGCTGCCTCTCAGGTCTACCCTCGGCGATGTCTCGGCTATGCGCAGCCCCATCCGCGGGAGGTCGGAGGGTCCACCCCAGCCTCACCAGACCGACCACCGCCCCTAGGCACTGCCTCGCCCCCTCCCCCTCCTCGCCTCCGCCTCCGCCTCCGCCTCCGCCTCCGCCTCCGCCTCCGCCGCCGCCCCCGCCGCCGCCGCCGCCCGCCGCCGCCTCCGCCCTCAGAGCGGCGGCGAGGGTGCCAAAGACCGAGGGCAGAGTGGCTGCGAACGCCTGCTGCAGCGCGGCCTGGTGTGCCGCGAGCCCGCGCTGGCGGCCTGCAGGAAAGTTCCGAGAAGGGTCCGAGGAGGTGAGGAGGACGCTGGGGTGAGCTGGTTTGGCGACGGGCGACGTGCGTGAGTGGTAGAGGCCTCGGAGGTGTCTAGAAGCGGTAGACTGAGAGGGGACGATCAGTCGGCGAGATCGACACCTCTCTGGAGGCGAAGGACGTGCTTCGGAAAGGTCCAGGAACGGTCTGGGCAGGGTCTGGGAAGGGTCGAGGAAAGGTCTAGGAAAGGTCTAGGAAAGGTCTTGCAAAGGTCTGGGAACGGTCAGGGGCGGCCTGGGGCAAGCTCGTCGGCGAGGGCGGCGAGGACGGCAGCGGCACGCGGCCGTGCGGCTCCCGGCGCGGCAAGCAGCTCGAGGAGGGAGGGGAGGAGAGTCGGGTCCTGACGGGACAGGAAGAGTCCGGGTCCGGGAAGAGTCGCGGAGCAGGCATTGGAGCGGAGGAGGCGTCTCTGGCGAGGAAGGCGTCTCGGAAAGGCGCAGAGCCCGCTCTGGCGAAGAGGAGGAGGCGTGGGCCGCGCCTCGGCCGGCCACGTGGCGACCACCAGCCGCGCGAGCAGCGAGACCGCCTTGCCGCGCGCACTCGGCGGCAGCGTCTCATACCGCGGCCCAAACAGCATGCCGAGCAGCACAGCCCGAAGCTGCTGCCGCTCGGCCGTGCCGCCAGAGGTGTCGGCCGCGCGGAGGAGTGCGGCCTCGTGGACCGCGAGGGCGAACCACAGCAGCGCCTCGTCCGACGACTCGGCGAGCACGGCCAGGTAGCACGCGCCAGCGCCCGCGCGCGACCGCTCCTGCTGCAGCGCCTGCTGCAGCGCCTGCCGCCGCTCCGGAGGCGTGGTCGGTGCGAGAACCTCGTGCAGCGCGGAGGAGACCTCGGCGACGAGATTGGCGTCGGCCATATACACACCTGATGGCGGACGTGAGTCAGTGATATGCACCTCCTGGCACGGAGTACGGGCAAACACGCACAGACGCTGCGCGCGTTCGGCGCGAAGCCGGCGAGATTTTTTTTCCACGATGGCATGGGTGACGGCGCAACGACGCGGTCCGCCGAGTACCCACACCCTTGCGAGCGAAATCCAAGCTTGCAGCGGCGGGGACCGCCCGCGCAGATGGCCTCCCACCGCATCGGCGCGCGCGTCGCGGGCCTCTCGCCAGAGCAGCTGTGCGCCATCATCGAGGCGCAGGCGGGCGCGAGCGACGCCGCGCTGCGCGTGGCGGAGGAGCACGCCGCTCGGCTCGTGGAGCAGCCCGAGTGGGTGCTCTCCGAGGTCCTCCTCTCGCCGGACCTCGCCCCGCGCATCCTCGCCCAGCTGCCGACCACGGAGCACGCCGCCAAGGGGACGTGCCGCGCGTGGCGCCGCGGCTGGAAGGAGACGCTGAAGAAGCGCGAGAGGCCGCGCCTGGTCGTGATCGGCGGCCGCGACGGCGAGGGTGGGACTGTCAACTCGCTTGAGCGGTACGACCCGTCAACGAATGAGTGGGATGGGGAGGCTGTGGCGCCGATGCCGTCGGCACGAAAGTATTTCAGCACGGCGGTGCTCGATGGCAAGCTCTACGCTGTGGGCGGCGAGAGTGAGGCTGATGGCGAGGATGAGGATGGCGAGGCTGACCTCGCACCTTCCAACCTGGTGGAGCGGTACGACTTGGCTACGAATGTGTGGGAGGCTGTGGCGCCGATGGCGACGCCACGCATTAGTCACGCCGTGGCGGTGCTCAACAGCAAGGCCTATGCTGTTGGAGGCTTCAACGGCGACGACGAGGACGGCGACAACGACCAATTCCTCAGCTCGGTGGAGCGGTACGACCCGGCAGTTGGCGCGTGGGAGGCGGTGGCCCCGATGGCGACGGAGCGGAGTAACCATCGCGTGGCGGTGCTCGACGACAGGCTGTACGCTGTGGGCGGTCGCAACGACGACGGCTGGCTCACCTCGGAGGAGCGGTACGACGCGGCGACGAACGCGTGGGAGGCGGTGGCGCCGATGGCAACGGCGCGGTGCGTTCACGCCGTGGCGGTGCTCGACGGCAAGCTGTACGCTATGGGCGGGTACAACGACGGCTTCCTCAGCTCAGTCGAGCGGTACGACCCGGCGTTGGACGCGTGGGAGGCGGTGGCGCCGATGACGACGGTGCGAGGATCTCACGCCGTGGCAGTGCTCGACGGCAAGCTCTATGTCGCAGGCGGAATGGGTGCCGGCTACACCCACCTCAGCTCGGTGGAGCGGTACGACCCTGCGTTGGATGCGTGGGAGGCGGTGGCTCCGATGGCGGCGGCGCGTGTGAAGGCTTTCGCTGTCTTGATGTAGTCGCCGTTGTGTGCGTGCTAGCCCCACGGCGTGGAGTGTGCTGAAGTCCCTCGCCTGAGTGACTGTGCTGAGCGTGCGTGCCCCCGTCGCTTGTTCCTTGGGGCACTTGGAGTGCGATGAGTCACAAACTTATGTATGTATGTAGGAAGGTGAAGAACAGCCAGGGTCGGACTGGACACCAATGCGCAATGGGGGGCTCACCTGCGGGGGGGGAACGCGGTGAAATACGGCTCTCGACCTGCCCCGTGGCCGTGCCCGCGGCCTCGGTGGGAAGTGGGATGCCAGTGGGAAGGGGTGGTTTGGCACCGAGACGCAATAATGAAAGAGAACCGAGCGAGCACGTGAGCCCCGTGGCTCCAACCAGGCCCTTCCTTTTTTGAGCAGGTGTGCCGCCGCGCGAGCGACGCTCCGAGATCGCCCGAGATAGCGCGGCGCGGCCCCGAGATCGCCCGAGATTGCGCGAGATCGCCCGAGATTGCGCGGCGCGGCCCGGGGCGAGGTGGATGGGTTGGGAGCGAGGGGGCGGAAGTGTTCAGTGCGGTAGATGGTAAGCTCGGGGCGCAAGAGGTGGCCTGTGAGCCATCCGGCTTACATTTACCCTGCGTTCTCGCACATGGAGTGCGAGATTACTCGGCTGTCCTTCCCAAACTGTCACTCCCCTTTCTCCCGGCCGGGGTGGGGCGCGCGCGGGGGCGGCGGGTGTGCGGGATGTCTGTGGGCCCGAGAGCGATGTGCCATGTCCGCCATCGACGGCTAAGCTCATAAAAAAAACTGTTCAGTTTTCAAAGGCAAAAACGCCGGCGTACGCCCTCCCCTCACACTGACACTTCTCCCCTATTCCCAACTTTAGGTTGCGCACGTCTCCCAGCGAGCTAGGATCTCCGCTTTTTCTCCCCTAGTCATCCGCCCGCGCCGCGCGCCTCTATGGGCGTCTAGCAGGTCGACGTCTCGCCTGAAGTCGGGTGGGCTCGCGCACTGCTTAGCCCTAGGGGAGGGGTGTGTGTGAGGTGGTGGAATGGTAAGGTTTCAGGCCAGAGGGGTGGGGGATTTGGGGGATGAGTCAGGAGCCAGCAGCCTTCCTACTGGACCTGAGTTCTCAGCTCTTCCGCCCGACGGGGTGGTCCCTTGGATTCGGGCCCCGCCCCCTTTTCCTGCGCCTGGTCTGTCCCTGTCATGAGTGTGTTGCGAGATGCAGAGCTGGTTAGCTGGGGCACAGATCTGGTTACTGGTTAGGCTGGAGAGCTTGTTAGGCTGGGGCACAGAGCTGGTTGGGCTGGAGCACAGAGCTGGTTAGGCTGCTGGTTAGGCTGGGGCACAGGGCTGGTTGGGCTGGAGCAGTGGAGCACAGAGCTGGTTAGGCTGGAGCAGAAAGCTGGTTAGGCTGGAGCGCGGGCGGTGCGGCGGCCGGCGAGGGCAGCGCGGTAGGCGAGAGGCGGCCGCTGGGCGTCGAGTCGCGCGATAGGAGGGTAGGCTGGCTGTGGGGGGCGCCGCGTGGCCTCGGCAAATGAGTAGTCTGTGGTTTATGAGCGGCCAGTTTCATGCGCATTGCAAATCGAGCCTGGGGCGTGGCCTAGTTGGTGCAGCGTTCGGGTCGGGGACGTTTTGGTCGTTGGTTCGAGCCCAGCTGGTGCAGTTCGTAGTCGCGCAGCGACGCGGGCGCGCGGGTGCGCGGCAGCCTCGGCAACCGAGGCGACAGTGGCGAGGGGCGAGCAGGGGCGAGCAGGGGCGAGCAGGGGTCAGAGCAGTGCGGCGCGCCGGATTTTTTCGATGGGCTCGGTCAGTGGGCGTGTCAGGAGGCGGCCGGCCGGGAGAAACTGGTTAAACTCCCGCACCGGCCCAGGAGGTGGGAGTGTCACGGAGGCGGCCATTGGCGCGCGCTCCTTGTCTACGTGGGTCCGAGTTTTTTTAATAATGAATAAAACCACCCCTGGGGTGTGTCTTGTGAGCTTGTTTGTGTCTGTGTGTCGCTCGTGCGTGTCGTCATCATGACCGGAGGCCATGGGCGAACCGGGAGGTGTGTCGACTGCTCTGGGCGTCAGGCGTGCACGGAGCAGTGAGGAGGGACGTGCTCTAGTCGACGTAGACGACCCACTTCCAGCACGAGCGAGCCTCGTCCCAGACGTACCGGCCGCCCAGGCTTTCGATGTACACCGAGTGCTCGTTAGTGCTCGTCCGCGACCTCGGCGACATTCGATCAAGTTACCAACAACATGCCTGTTACATGCCGACCTGTTAAGGCAGAATATGTTAACAGAAGTGCCCGCCGCAGCAGCCGTTTCATCTCGCCAACCAGCTCTAACCCGGCCCTAACCCACCCCTAACCCGGCGCAAACCCCTGCTGACGTATGCCCCCCAGCCGCACGGGTTAGTGCCGGTTAGCGTCGGGTTAGCGTCGGGTTATGATAACCCGTTCTGACCCGTGCTAACCCGTGCCGGGTTAGCACTAACCCGCGCTAACCCGCGCTTACCGAAGGACTCACCCCGGGGCCCCCAGCTCTTCACAACGAACCTGCTCGATTCGCCGCGCTCGCAAGTCCCTCGATTCGCGAAGTCCCTCGACCCCCGCCTGCAACACTCGCGCGGCAGCACACCACGCTTGACGATGGAGTTCTCAATCGAATCAACATCGACCTTGTTTGACTCGAGCGGGAAGCCCTACACCTCGTACTCCATCACCACGCACTACCAGGGCCAACGCTTCCAGGCATCGCCGCATTCTCCACAGACTCAGCGGCTGCCCTGGCTGCCGCATATTCCACTCCAGCCGCCGCACCCATCCGCCGCCAATGAGATCAGCCTACGTGTGCGCATTTCATGCGAGTGCGCGCGTGTGTTCCCGCGCCTGCTGCGTGTATTGTGCCGCGTTCCCGACAGCTCTGCCGCGCGTGCCTCATGCAGCCCGTAACGCGTGCGCGGCGTGCAGGCGCAGCGGCGGTACCGCGAGTTCGTGGCGCTGCACGACGGCCTGCGCGGCGAGGTCTCCGGCCTCCCCCACCACTTCCCCGTCTGGCCCTTTCACCTCAACCGCCTCGCGCCAGAGGTCGTGGACGGCCGCCGCGTCGCCCTCTGCTCGTACCTCTCCGCCGCCCTCGCCGCCCTTCACGGCGGGGTGATGCCGGCGCGGCTCCGCTCCTTCCTGCAGCTCCCGCAGGCGCAGGCGAACCGGATGACCGCGCCTGCTGGGCCGTCCGGGGCGGCGCCGCTGCTGCCGCTCGAGAAAAGCGACACGGTGCTCATGCTCGAGGCGATCCCGCTGCCGCTCTCGCTGTCTCTTCACACCTCCAGCTGTCAACAGGTCATCCTCGTGGCGTACCAGCTGCCGCTCACTGTGTCGAGAGCCGAGGGCGGAGGGTGGGAGGTGGAGTGGCAGAGGACGAGTCGGTCCTCGGCTGTGAACAGCGTCTCTTCACACCTGCAGCCGTGAACAGGTGGAGTGGGACGACGAGTCGGTCCTCAATCAGCACGCCTTGTCGCTGGGCTGCCGGGTGATGTGGGTCGGAGGCGTCGGCTGCCCTAGCGACCCCGACGATCCCTTAATTAGTATGTAATTAATTTAACGGTAATTAACTAATAGGCGTCGGCTGCGCTGTCGACCCCGACGAGGAGGAGGGCCTCGCACAGCTGCTGCTCGAGGGCTACTCTTGCCTGCCCGTCTTCCTGCCCGCCGCGCTGACCGACCGCTTCTACCACGGCTTCTGCCGCTCGTGCCTGCGGCCCTAAGTAAGGAAGGAAGGTGAGGAGAGGTGATCACTTAGTGAATGATAGGCTTCTGCCGCTCCTACCTGCGGCCCGTCTTCCACAACCGGATGCGGCTCCCCGACAGCGAGAACCCGTTCTGCGAGGAGGGCTGGCGGTCGGTACTCCGGACTCGCCGAGACTCCCCGAGATCCCCCGAGGCTGATGAGTAGGAGGACTGGCGGGCGTACTCCGCCGCCAACCGAAAGTTCGCCGACACCGTGATGGAGGTGTACGAGCCGGGGCACATGGTCTGTAGTAGTAGTAGTAGTAGTAGTAGTAGCAGTGGTAGCAGTGGTGGCAGTGTAGCCGACACCGTGATGGAGGTGTACGAACCTGGCACATGGTCTGTTGTGGGCGCACGGCTACCACCTGGCTGCTGTTGCTGCTGGTTTGTCAGTGATTGATCGTTGATGACCGCCTAGGTCTGGGCGCACGACTACCACCTGCTCCTCCTCCCCTCCTTCCTGCTCCGCCGCCACCGCACCGCCCACATCGGACTCTTCCTGCACTCGCCCTTCCCGGCGAGCGACGTCTTCCGCTCCGTCGCCGTCCGCGAGGAGCTGCTCCGAGCGATGCTGCACGCGGACATGGTCGGCTTCCTGCTCTTCGAGTACACTCGCGGCTTCCTCACCTCGTGCAAGCTAATGAATTAACGAACCAATCACGCGCTAATTAATTAAGGTACACGCGCAACTTCCTCACCTCGTGCAAGCGGCTGCTCGGCCTCGAGCACGACCGCAGCCCTCCCGTCGAGGCACGCGGTCTGGCGCAAGGACGACCAGCCACTCAATAGGCGTCGCGAGTTCAAGTCTGGCGGCTTCCTGAATGGATCTTTAGTTAGGTTGATATCAATTAGTTGATAGGCCTCGAGCACGAGTTCAAGTCTGATAATAATTAATATAATTATTAATATATAATAATTAGTTGATAGGCCTCGAGCACGAGTTCAAGTCTGGCGGCTTAATTAATTAATTAATTATTAATTAATTAATTGATAGGCCTCGAGCACGAGTTCAAGTCTGGCGGCTTCTTGGGCGTCGACTTCGGAGGCCGACACGTCATCGTGCAGGTCTCCTCCACCTTTGGGCTCTCCCCCTGGCTATTGGGTTTCGTTGATGAAGGGCCCACTGATTCGCAGGTCTCCACCTTTGGCGTCTCCCCCTCGCTGCTCGAGAACCACTTGCCGGACAGGCTGGCGCCCCCCGCCGCCGCCTCCACCCGCGACGAGCTCAAGGACTTGCGAGCGGAGCTCGACGCGCCGGCCGCCTCGCCGCGGCGGCTGCTCGCCGGCGTCGACTATCTCGACCGCTTCAAGGGCGTGCAGCTCAAGCTGCTCGCGTGGGAGGCGATGCTGGCCGCGTACCCGCGGTACCGCGCGGGCCACACGCTGGTGCAGGTGATGGTCGCCTCGCGCAACTAATTATTAATCATTAATCATTAATCATTAATTAATACTAACACGCTGGTGCAGGTGATGGTCGCCTCGCGCAACCAGGTCACTTCCTAGACACTTCCTAGACACTTCCTGGACACTTGCAGGTGATGGTCGCCTCGCGCAACCAGGTCACGCTCTCGTCGCGGGCGCGCGCGGCGTCTCCAAGCTAGCAGCGAGTGAGCGGGTGATCGATGACAGGTCAAGCTCGTCGCGGACGCGCGCGACGTGCGGGCCGACATTGAGACTATCGTCCGCCGGATCCGCGCCTCCTACCCGGGCGCCCTCCACTACGCCGAGGTGTGGAGCTCACCAGCCCCTCATCCACTAACGCTCGATTGCTAATCATTTGAGTGATGATGGACTGCGAGGTGGGGAGCTCACCAGCCCCTCATCCACTAAAGCTCGATTGCTAATCATTTGAGTGATGATGGACTGCGAGGTGGGGAGCTCACCAGCCCCTCATCCACTAAAGCTCGATTGCTAGTCATTTGAGTGATGATGGACTGCGAGGTGTGGAGCTCACCAGCCCCTCATCCACTAACGCTCGATTGCTAATCATTTGAGTGATGATGGACTGCGAGGTGGGGAGCTCACCAGCCCCTCATCCACTAACGCTCGATTGCTAATCATTTGAGTGATGATGGACTGCGAGGTGGGGAGCTCACCAGCCCCTCATCCACTAAAGCTCGATTGCTAATCATTTGAGTGATGATGGACTGCGAGGTGTGGAGCTCACCAGCCCCTCATCCACTAAAGCTCGATTGCTAATCATTTGAGTGATGATGGACTGCGAGGTGGGGAGCTCACCAGCCCCTCATCCACTAAAGCTCGATTGCTAATCATTTGAGTGATGATGGACTGCGAGGTGGGGAGCTCACCAGCCCCTCATCCACTAAAGCTCAATTGCTAATCATTTGAGTGATGATGGACTGCTCACACGGGCCGAGGTGGAGCGGCTCACCAGTCGCCTCTCGATGGAGTCTCAATGAACGTCTAAGTACTAGTCAATTAATGAATGATTGATTACTGGTTCATTGCCACTACGCCGAAAGGTGGAGCGGCTCTCTCTCGCCAATGAATGACGAATCGCTGATGAATCAACCAATGATTCATTACAGGTGGAGCGGCTCTCTCTCGCCGCCCGGATGCAGCTGTGGCAGATGTCCGACGTCATCGTCTACTCGACGGTGCGCGAGGCGGTCAACGCCCACCCGCTCGAGTACGTCGTCGCGCGGGCCGCAGGCAAGCTGCCGGCGGGCGCGGGGCCGGGGGCGGTGCTGAGTGAGTCACGTCCACGACACGTCCGTGACGCCACCAGGCAAGCTTCCGGCGGGCGTGGCGGTGCTGTCCGAGTTCTCGGGCTTTTCGCGCGTGCTCAACGGACCGCTCGCCACGGAGCCCGCGAGGGATTGGTTGAGGAAGCGCCTGACCGCTCGGCGATGCAATTTTCAGGCTCGCTCGTCATGAACCCCTTCTCGACGGAGGCTGTGATGGGCGCGCTCGAGACGGCGCTCGAGATGCCGCCGGCGGAGAAGGAGGCGCGCGCACGCAAGGATTTGGCGCACATCCGCGCAAACACGGCGGAGGACTGGGCACGCCAACTCCTCCTCCCGCAGAGGTCGCCTTCAATGAGTGCCCCATCTCATGGCGTGGTTGATGATGAGGCGCGCCGCTTCCTGACCGACCTCAAGTCGATGCAGCGCAAGAAGGAGGACCACTGGATGGCGGTCGGCTTTGGGCTCGCCTCCTTCCGGATGGCTGGCATGGACTCACTCACCATGCACTGTGCCTCACCATCAGCCACGCATGCGTAGGCTCGCCTCCTTCCGGATGGTGGGCATGGGGGCAGACTTCAAGCCGCTCGACACGCAGCAGGCTGCTCCTCTAGGAAGTGTCTAGGAAGTGTCTAGGAAGTGTCGAGGAGGTGTCGAGGAAGTGTCGAGGAAGTGTCGACACGCAGCAGGCTGCTCCTCTCGCCCCGCTCCGCCGTCAGTGAGTAATCTGCTCCTCCCCCCCCCCTCTTCCCCCTGACTCGGGGGCGCAGGTGCTCCTCTCGTATCGCGTCTGGCTGGGACTGTGCACAGCGCCTCTTCACACCTGCAGCTGTGAACAGGTGCTCCTCTCGTATCGCGCCGCCGCACAGCGCGTCGTCTTGCTCGATTGGGGCGGCACCCTCACCCCCGCCGACACGGGCTTCTACGACGTGCGCGAGGAGGGCAAGTACGAGGTGCCCTCCTCGGTGCTCACGACGCTGCGGCAGCTCTGCGCCGACCCCCACAACCACGTGATGGTCCTCTCTGGACTCGGGCGCGACACGGCGGACACCGCCCTCTTGACCGGTGCCTGTGCCGCAGCGGCCATCGGCGTCTCTTCACACCTCCTGCTGTGAGCAGGTGAGGCATCGTCCCTCTCGGCCGCAGCTGCGAACGGCGTCTCTTCACACCTCCTGCTGTGAGCAGGTGGACGCCGCCTTCGGGTCGGTGCCGGGGCTCTCTCTTGCTGTCGAGCACGGCTTCCACTACCGCATCAAGAGCGGCCCGTGGCAGCAGCTCCTGCCTGGCGCCAACACCTCCTTGGCGAGAGGTCGCCTGTGAGATGCATGTACGACTAGGATTCTGTGTTTAATTCTAGGCGTCAACACCTCGTGGCGAGAGGCTGCCGAGGCGGTGATGGCGGTCTACACCACCCGCACGCTCGGCGCGTACATGCAGAAGAAGGGCTCCTCCATGTCGTGGAACTTCTCCTCGGCGGACCCGGAGTTCGGCGCGCTGCAGGCGCGCGAGCTGCAGTACCAGCCCACGCTACTGATTGATATGTGACTCATTGATTACTATGTGGCTGCAGGCGCGCGAGCTGCAGTACCAGCTGCAGGCAGCGCTCGAGGGGGCCCCGGTGGTGGTGCGGGTGGGGAAGGGGTATGTCGAGGCGTGCCCCAAGGGGATCGACAAGGGGGTGATGGCGGAGCGGTTCGTCGGGCTCGTGGCGGACGCGGCGCGGCGCGGCAGGCCGGCAGAGCCGCTCCAGTTCGTCCTCTGCGTCGGCGACGACTCGAGCGACGAGCTCATGTTCGCCGCGCTGCAGAAGAGGAAGGACGCGGCGGCCGGCCGAGGCGGCGCCGCACCCGGGCACGACCTCTTCACCGCCACCGTCGGCCGCAAGCCGAGCGACGCCTCCGCCTACCTCGCCGACCACGCTGACGTGGTCGAGCTGCTCGGGATGCTCTCTGGAGTCGGCTCGTCGCGCAGCAAGCGCTTCGCCTCCGCCGGAGACCTGCAGTCACTCGCGGCGGCGGCCGGCGGGGCGGCGCGGCCGCAGCAGGACGAAAACAGCCGCCCGCCGCCGCTGCGCGAGCAGCCCGTGCGGCGCAGCTCGCAGTCGTACAACCCGGGGGCGTAGCCGCTCCGCCGGGCTGCGGACGGGGAGGGAGCAGCACAGCCGCCGCCGCAGGGCGCGCCATGCATGCTACGGGCGCTTGCAGACAAAGCCGGTGACGCCAGGGCCAGCCGCTCCCTGCCATGATACATGAGGCTCGCGCAACGGCGTGCGCGCGCCACCACTTGCGAGAGAAGCGAGGACGCACTGGGAGAGGCATGTCACACGCTCGTCAGCGTCCGTGTGTGTGTTGTGCTGTGTGTTGTTGGGCGTCCGCTTTTCTTTTTTCTAAAGGTAAGGTAAGGTAAGGTAAATTTCTCCACACACACAAAGTGGTGGGGCAAGGGGGGGCGACCCTCGCACGTCAGGGGCGGGGAACCCGCAATTTGAAATGCTCCGGCATCTCAAATTGCCCGATACGATCTCCATTTTAATTGAGATTGCCTCGAGCATCCCAAGATGCATGAAGCAATTCAGGATGCGCGCGCATCTTGAATTGCTTCGCGCATCCTGAATTGCTTCATGCATCTTGGGATGCCTGAGGCAACCAACGATGTCCACTACATCCCTGAATGAGCCATACATCCTGAGATGCTGGCCGGAGGGCGCTGCATCTCAGGATGGCTGAATTGGCGTCGCCATCCCTGAGATGTGGCAAGCATTTTCAAATGGATATTTCAACCTCAGATGAATAACACAAATGTAACAATAATAATAATAATTGACCATTAAGAATGAATTTGTGGTATATTGAGATGAGACCTAGAATAACCATCGCTGATTACAAGAATGAATTAGTAATAGACTATTGGCGGGATGTGCGACGAGGCTAATAGTCCGCAGCGCCCCCAATGGAGCGCCGCTTCTTCGGCCACATGAGCTCTCCCTCTCCCTCTCCCTCTCCCTGTCCCTCTCCCTCTCCTCTCCCTCTCCCTCTCCCTCTCCCTCTCCCTCTCCCTCTCCCTCTCCCTCTCCCTCTCAATCTTACTCTCTCTATTCTCCCTCTGCCTCTCCCTCTCCCTCTCCCTCTTACTCTCTCTCCTCTCCCTCTCCCTCTCCCTCTCCCTCTCCCTCTTACTCTCTCTCCTCTCCCTCTCCCTCTCCCCCTATCACTCTCCCTATCCTCCCCCTCTCTCCTCTCCCTCGTACTCTCTCTCCTCTCTCTCTCTCTCTCACTCTCACTCTCCCTCTCCCTCTCCCTCTCCCTCTTACTCCCTCTCCTCTCACTCTCCCTCTTACTCTCCCTCTCCCTCTCCCTCTCCCTCTCTCCTCTCCCTCTTCCTCTTACCCCCGGTTAGATAAGTAAGAGCTACATAACACTGAAAATGTCCATCTGTCTGTCTGTCTGTGGCGAGGGCCGAGGGTATCGACTACCTTCCTTGCCCTCTGCGCTCTGCCTCCGGGATGGGAAAAGGAGTGAGCGCTGAGGTCATGCACCTTTCCTGCGGTTATGGGCCGCCACCGCAAAACATGCAAAAACGACAGGCCACGCCACGTGCGCCACCATATCCAGCTGCGCAGCGGCGACGACTGAGGCGCAGGCCGAGCCGCAGCCTACCGGTGCCCCGCCGACATGAGAGAGAGATTTTTAGCAATACCAAACAACTCTAACAACTCTCACACACACACTCACACACACACACACACACACGTTTGTGTCCGACATGAGGCATTGGCCAAAATGCTGGGCATCTCAGGTTAAGGAAGGCAACTTGGAATAGCAAGGAGCATCCTAGAATGCACAGGGGTAACTCCAGATGCCAGCGCATTCACGAATGCTGTTCGCATTCCAGGATGGTCGACGCATCCTGGATTGCGTGGACCATCTTTGGAATGCGGTGTGCATCTTGAAATGCGAAAAGTCAACTCGGCATTCTGAGTTGAAAAATGCAATCTAAATTGATTTTTTGCAACTCAAAATGCCCTCAGCATCTCAAATTGCGGGTTCCCCGCCCCTGACGGCATCTCCAGTGTCCAGACTCCAGTCTCCGCACACCCGGACACGGGCAGGAGCCCCACGGCATTCAAAGTGCTTTTTTCAAAATTCTTGGTAGATAGCCGTCCCGTGCCAAAGTGTCCGTCGTTTACTTTCTACACGAGTGAGTTCCTACTCCCACTCGCCTGCCGGCACATCATTGCCTCCACACCGCCCCCCTCCCCTCTGCGCCTCTCGGCCGGTGCCGGGGAGAGAACGCGCCGCAGCAAGCGGCAGACGCGCGCGACGCGGCCGCGGCCATCCACGCTGCCGTCCGTGGCGGCGCCCGCACGCCTCTCGCTGCGCGAGCTGCCCGACCCGTCGGCTCTCGAGGCGCGGCACTGCGCCGACGGACCAAAGACGCGGCTGCAGAGGAGCGCACGGAACGGCGACTCGAAGGAAGCGTGGTCGCCGAACGCCGCCTCGATCACGCCGAGGAGCCGGTGCTCGTCGTTCTTGATCGCGCACGACGCGGCCGAGAGCGAGAAGCCCGCGAGGGTCCTGACGCTCGGAATTGCGTCAGCGCCACCCACGCCACCATCGCGGCTGCCCGCGCCCGTGAGCGCGCGGGTGCGCCGTGGACGCGTCGCGGGCGTGTGCCGGCTGTGGTCGCCAAAAGGAAGGACGACGATGCGCTCGGCGGAGCCGCGCGTCATCAGCGAGAAGACAAACACCTGTTCAGGCGGAACCACCCGAGATCGCCGGAGTGACCAAAGCTGCGGTAGCCACACGCGAGAAGTCTCGCCTCGACGACGCACCAGAGCCGCCGCAAGTAGGACGGCCCCGCAAGCACGAGCAGGAAGCGGCAGCCCGAGAGGTACGCGGGAAGCCCGGCGAGCGAAGCCTCGATGTGCTCCTGGTTGATGCACGCCTGCGCACACGGCAAAGCCATGGGAGGACACGCTCCGGCACGCTCGGCTGCTCTCGGCTGCTCTCGGCTGCTCTCAGCTGCTCTCGAGCATCGGATATCTATCTGGGGATCTGGGGTGTGCTGGGGTGACGTCTCGCCTTGTCAAGCCACACGCACGCCGGCCGGCCGTGCTCGCTCTCAAAGCTCTCCGCCCACGCCGCAAGCGCCTCGAACTTGGCTTCGCCGTCGTCAAGCCAGCTGTGCGACACGAAGGCGTCGACCTCGCCCAGCTTCGCTGGCCGCGTGAGCGCGTGCAGCCCGCTGTCGGCCGAGCTCGCCAAATCGCCGGGCCGGATCTGGCGGAAGGAGAGGGAGCGAAAGGAAGCGGCGGCGGCGGCAAACGCGGCGGCGGACGTCTTGCCGCCCATCAGTGCGCCGACGGCGGCGAGACCCCTCCGATCCTCCGGCAGCAGCGCGCGGGCGATGGAGGCCTGTATGCGGCGCCTCCTCCGAGCGGTGAGCACAACGGCGCCGGCGATGGCGTTGACGCACCAAACGACTCTGTGCGCGAAGAATAGACTGTGCTTGAAGGAGGGGTCCAGCTGCAGCGCCATGCCCAGCTGAAGGAGAGTCAGCACGCTCTGCGTTGCGTAGAGGCAGCGGAGGGTGTGCCACAGCCGCGTCAGCGCCCTGCGAGGCACCCGCAGCGGCGACGAAAAGAGGGCGGCGGCGGCGAGCAGCTGCGCCAGCGCCTGCAGCAGCGAGACGCCGCCCAACGCGGCGACGAGGGGCGAACGGCGCGGCGCGGAGCGGACGAGGAAGGGGGGGGCTGGGGAGCCGTTCGCGTACGCCCAATACGAGCCGGCGGCCACTTGCATGAAGATGGTCGCGAGGGAGAGCGTGAAGAGCATCATCAGCCAAGAGGCGGCTCGCACGTTGGCCGCGTCGGTGGGGCGGAGGGAGAGGGCGAGCAGCAGGGGGCCGAGCGCCGCGGCCGACCCCTCGAGCACCATGTTTCTGCCGAAGACGCCGCCGAGCATCACGCCGGCCGGCTCGAGCCGAACTAGCGGCAGTGGGCCCCACCCCGCCACAAAGAGGAACCAGCCGACACCGAGCATGATGTAGCACACCCGCGCGCGCATCTCGACCTCCGCCGCGTAGGCGGTCGAGAGGCGCGCGCGCAGGCCCAGCGATCCTAGATGCGGCGCCGGAGCGCTGTCCTCCTCCGCCGCAAGGAAGCCGACGCCGCGCTTTGCGCCGCTGACACAAGCGCCGGCGGGAGAGCGAGCGGCGTTGGCGGAGACTCCACCGTCGCCACCGTCGCCACTATCGCCGTCACCACCATCGCCGTCACCGCCGTCACCGTCGCCGTCGCCGCCGCCGCCGCCGCCGCCGCCGCCGCCGCTGCCACCGCGGCTGCCACCGCCGCCGCTCTCGGGCCCAGCTGTCGTGCGACGCGCCTGCAGCCGAGGTGCAGCCGAGGTGCAGCCGAGATCTAGCCGACGTAGCGGCTGACCGGCCGCGCCGTTGTGCGCAGCGACGGAAGCTCTGTCCAAGAGCGGCCGCAAGCGGTGCGGCGGAGGAGGTAGTGGACGAGGAGCAGGCCTGCAGTTCCGAGGCAGCAGCCGAGATGCAGCCGAGATACAGCCGAGATACAGCCGAGGCGTGAGGAGGGTGGTGGGCGAGGAGGCCGGAGCGAACCCGGTGGGAGCGTCGCGGCCAATATGATGGCCACGAGCCCCGGCAGCCACGCCCTCCATCGCGCCTCCATCTCGACGTGCATGATTGTCGCCATCCGCTCCGAGTAGCTCGCGGCCTGGCCACCGCCCCGGCGCTCACACGCGCACTGGTGGCGCGATGCGCAGCTTGCGTCGGTCAACAAGCCGTCCGCGCCGACCGCGGCGCAGTGACCGACGTGACCGTCATTGCGGTCGGTCCCGTCCGGCTCGCCGGCTCTCCAGTGCTGCGGCACGGGTGTGAATCCGTCCACACTCGCACAGTACCACCGGCGCGAGGCTGTTCCGCCACCGTCGAGTGCGGTCGCGTCCGGCCATATCACGGGCCAGCGGTAAAGGCCGAGCCAGGCGGAGCATCGGCGGTATGAGCTACCGCAGGCTGCCGAGTGTGCAGGTCCAGCCCCGTCCACAGCCAGTTCTTCGAAGACGGTGGCAGACCAGGCGCAGGAAATGGAGGCGTTCATTTCGGCGCACCGTTGCACGCATCTTGGCTGACTGAGGAACTCCTGTAGCACAAATGCTTGCATCAGCAAATGCTTGCATCAGAGTCTCGTTGCATGGCGTCCCCCGCCTTGGCAAAAAGAATTCTTAAGAAACAAGCCTCTCTCACAGCACACTGGCACGACAAGGGCGCAGACTGGCGCGGACTGGCACACACACTTCAACGAACAGAACTCTCTCTCACAGCACACAGGTTCGACACAGGTACGCCACAATACCAAAAGAGGCACAGTCGCGGGGGCGCCTACACGAAGGCGTCGAGGTGGGCGAAGGGGGGAGGGCGGCAATCGCCCTCACCCTTACGACGCCCACCCCGGCACTCCCCGTCAACCCACCCCTCCCTCTCAAGCGCAATCGCCCTGCGCTCCGCCTCCGCGGCACGCTTGCCCGCCTTCTTCGCCCCGAGGGGCGTGGCCGCGGCAGGCGTCCTGCGGAGCAGGCTCGCCCCCTCCCTCAGCCGCATCAACCGCATCTCCTCGGCCTCCAACGCCTGGCCGCTAAGTCCGCTCCGCGCCAGGAAAGCCTCCTTCGCCTTGAACTCGAGCGCCCCCAAGCGAGCCCCCTCGACCCGCAAAAAGAATTTGAACACAACTCCCTCGCACAACACTGCACGGGACTGGCGCGCACTGGCACTAACACAGGTACACCACGGGAGCCGAGAATCTAAACAAGAAGAAAAGAATTCGCTCACCCTTGTCTTTGCTCAGATCCATGCGGCCTCGCTGGCCTCTCCGCAGGCCCCCCCGACCGCGTCGAACTCATGCATCGGCGCGGGCTCTCTCGGCTACGGGACCGGCCCCAGCTTCGGCTGAGGGCTGACAAGCTGCCGAGCCCAAATCACTGTGAGAGTCGTGATTTCTTGTTGGTTTTCTAAAATCTCTCTCGGCATTACGCCCACTGGCAACACAAAACAAACAAATGTCCCACCATGCAGAGCGCATCTGACTCTCTCTCTGTTGTGCGAGGCGTGAACCGCGCCACATTCGCTCTCACCTGGCAACCCTGTCTGCACGTCTCTCGCGCGCGTGAACAGGGCGCATGCTCCAAGTGCTCCAAGAGATTTTTAGTTAAGTACTCCTACTCGCTTTCTTTTAATTATGTCCCACCATGCAGAGCGCATCTCTCTCTCTGTTGTGCGAGGCGTGAACCGCGCCATTCGCTCTCACCTGGCAACCCTGTCTGCACGTCTCGCGCGCGCGTGAACAGGGCTCCAGGCCCCAAAGGACGTGTGAGTGTTAGAGTTGTTTGGTATGGCTAAAAATCTCTCTCAACACTGATGAGCGAGGCTTTTGCTCAGATCCATGCGGACGGCATTACGCCGGAAGGACGCGCACCACCATCATATCCTTACTCGAGTACTTTACAAAGAAGAATTCTTAATGCAAGCCTCTCTCACAGCACACTGGCACGACAAGGGCGCGGTCTCACAAAGAAAAAACAACTCAAAAAAAAAGAAAAAAGCTTCGACAAATCGGCGTCTCAACGCAGGATGTGCATCGGTTCATGTTCATGTGTGTATGTGTGTGTGTGTGTGTATATGCCGCACCACGCCGCGGAGGCCGTGGTGGCCGCCCAGGCGTGGATGCAGGGCGCGCGGCCCTCTCCGTCGAATGAGGCGCGGCAGCTTATGCCCAATCGCGCTGCCATGCTCGCGAACCTAGTGGGCGGCCCCGGCATCTTTGTCGATCCGCTCAAGAAACCGCCGCCGCGCCCGGTTGGCTGCGAGGGTCGGCTGCTGCGCTCGCCCGTCCTGAGTTCGGCGCCCGTGGACAATCTCGCCTACTTCCATCGCACCAAGCTCTTCAAGATGGCCAACCTGACCCAGGTCACCCACTTGGCGCGCCGCGCCCATGTGCCGCTTGCATACCAGCGCGCGCGCACGTGCGCCGTCGTCGGCTCGTCGTCGAAGCTGCTCGACGCGGCGGAGGGGTCGCTGATCGACGCGAGCGAGCTCGTCTTTCGCATGAATCACGCGCCGGTCCTGCCCGAGCTGCGCGCCTACATCGGCTCGCGCACGGACGTACATGTCGACCCGATTCAGCTCCATGGCGCGTTCGGCTCCATCAACGCAAGCGACGCCACCTCGTCGCAGATCTACACGTGCACGTCCAACCACGACTACCCCGGCTGCCTCACCTTCTCGCCCAAGCTGAGCTCCGTCAGCGGGCCCCACGACCGGCGCACGTGCAAGCACTGCGGCGCGCGCGTGCTAGCCGGCGTGTCGGAGCGGTGGGACCGTACCTTCCCTGGTGCGCCTCCGCCTCGATGCGTGCTCCCGCGCGCCCGTCGCCGGCGATGCTGCCGGGGTTCTCTCGGGGCGAACGGGATTGTCTGCCTGACGGCCTCCCGCCCCTGCCCGTGGCGCTTGCCTCGCGCTTGCGATCGATCTTTCGGAGCGCGCTGCCGACCCCCGCGCGGTTTGTGACACGTCACGCGCCTCCTTCGGCAGGGCTAGACCAGTATGCGCGCGCGCTGATGGACTCGACCAAGATGCCCAAGGGCCGCTTCATCCGGCCGACGACCGGCTTCGTCGCGCTGCTGCTCGCGCTACACGTGTGCGACGAGGCGCGCCTCTTCGGCTTCGGCATGAGTGCGCGCACGCACTGCTCGCAGTACAAGTTTGCGCAGCTCGACGAGGCGGGGCGGCCTTTTTTCGACAATGTCGCGGTGCAAGCGCTCCGAGGAAGACTACGTCAAGAACAGGGTGCACAACTACAACGCGGAGCAGCAGTGGATCGCCACCGCCACGCGCAACTACACGCGCACGACGCTCACGTGCCGCGACCTGCCGCTCGTGTACGAGCCGGGCGACGCGGCGGCAGTGGTGGCCGCTCCCGCGCTGAGCGCCGGCCCAGCCGACGGCCCAAGTGCAGTGACGGCGGTGGCAGCGGCGCCGCCGCCGCTCGGTCCCAGTTAGCTTCACGACGCCGAGCGAGGGCCTCGCCCGAGAGACGGACGAACGAAGAAGAATGGCTGTTGGGCGGGCGGGGGCGCTGCGGGGGGCGAGGAGGGAGGCTCGTACGGTACGTACGGAGAGGCGTCCGCGTCAAGCATGTGCCCGGCGAGCCACGCGCAACAGCGAGCCAGCGAGATTCGGGCCACTGGTCGGGTAAGCGCGCGAAGCGAACGAACTTGGGAGAAGAGAAGAAAAAAATCGTTCAAGGGGCTAAAGGAGAGGCATAGCGGCGAGGCGCGGGACCGTCTGTGGCGAAGTGGGTCGGGTCCCCGATTTCCCGAACTTATGCGGCCCTTTACGTCGGACTTTTTTCTCTTCAAAAACACAACCCCGGACCCAACACGCACGAAGAAATAGAACTCGAGATCGGAAGAAGAAAACATGACAACGAAGGCGCAAAAAAGAAGAAAACCTCCGGTGAGATGATGGCACGCCGCCGACCACAGTACCCGGGTACAGAGGCCTTGGCCCGGCCAAGACGCCTTCACGACTCATGCTTCGGAGACTGGCGACGAATCGTGCGTCTCGCCACCGAACAGATTACCTGTTCCTCGCCCTTCTGCCTGCAACCGCCTTTTGCGCCTCCGTCTTCCGCAAATACCCGGCCGCCGACAACGAAGCTGCGCTGAGAGCCGCCCTGGCGTCGACCTCGTATGATCCGGGAGGCCGTCCAAGCTGGACTCCATGGCATGCGATGACCGCCTGGTCCTCCCGCGCCCCAGACAGAGATGGGGTGGTGATGTGTGCCATACCCAAGGCGGGATCCTCATCGATCAAGAGTATGGGAGCCCATGCTCTCACTATTGCGGAGGTATCAAAAGCGTTGGCGCAGCCGAGCACGTACAGAGTGGTACTGGTGCGCGACCCGCTGGCCCGATTTGTGTCATGGTACGAGGACAAAGTCAAAGGGCGCATCCCTGGGCCAGGCTTTTACAACAGTGCTCTCCACATCTCCAACGACAGCGTACGGCATTCGATGCATGCCTACGCAGCAGCGCTGGCACGCGAGGGCGTGGGTACCATGGAGCCGCACCTTCGCTCGCAAGCACAACACTGCGCGCTCCATCTACTGAAGTTCGACCTCGTGCACCCTCTCGAGGACGTTGGCAGCCTCCCTGCGCGCGTCGCGCTCGCGCTCAACGTGACGGACCTGCAGTCGCTGCCGACGAAGAACGCGCATGATCAACGCAGCGCGCTGACGAGACACAGTTTGTCCCCGCAAGCCACCCCTTGCTACGACGACTCGCTGCGGCAGCTCGTGCGGACAGCCTATGCTGAGGACTACATCTGGATCGGGCGGCACGGCGTCGAGTATACCGGGCCGACCGCCCAAGCATGCGACTTTGCGACCCGCCTCGGGCGCACGGGCGGGTCCGGGCGGGGGTAGAGGGTGTGGAGGTGAGCTGAGAACGAGTGTTGGGTGCAGCGCGTTCTCTCCTTTTGTGGAGATACTCGATCTAAAAAAACGAATCGGATAGCGTCAGGCCACCTCCACGGGCGCGACCTTTTGCGCCGCGGGGTCCTTGGCGTGAGCCGCACAAAAGTACGGTCTCGGCGACGCGGCCCCCCGCGCCTTGTCTGTCGTGTGAATCGCGTGCTGGTGTGGCGAAAAGAAATTGTTTTGCGGACGCAAGCGAATTCGGCTCCGACAATCTTACCTTATATTTTCCCGTGTCCGGTTTTCCGTTTCGGGCGACGGCACACTCACCGAGCTATCCGGGCGGGGAATCATGTCGGCGAAGGCGGGCTCTGGCATCTCGGTGATGCGCTCCGATCTCGACGCGTCGACCTCGACGGAGGTGGACGCGCACGAGGCGCAGTGGCGGGCCGGCGTCAACCGCCAAGCGCGTCCAGACGCCGCTTCGCAAAGACGGGCGGCGTCATTGGCTGCTGCAGCCAAGCGGCGGCGGATAAGGACATGAACAACATACCTGCGCAAGCCGTCGCCCGGGCGGCCGCAGGCGGTGCCATCTCAACCCACTCTCGGCACCGCTGCACGTGCGTGCTCCCTCTCCCACCCAACTCGGCTCCACTCTCGTCCACCCGCGCCCACCCCATCATCTGCTCTCAGGCTGATTGCGGCGTGTGTTGCGCAATGCCGAGCCACCAGACGCTGGCCAGAGCATGATTGTGATGCCTCTGTCTGGGCCGGGGGGGCGTTCGACAGCGCGCGAGGCTGCCTCCCTGCCCTTTGCGACGCTTGCGACCACTGCTGAGTTGCATGCAGTACAGAGTAGCAGTGGTGGGGAGGGCTTGCACCCCCCCCCCCCCCCCCGGGCAGAATGGTAAACTCGTGTCTACTCACCTCGTCGGCTCCATCGGCTGCCTCTCCTCGTGCGCCGGCTGCCTCTCCATCCAACCGCTTCTGCGTCCCCTTCTCTGCCCGGTGCTCGCGTGTCGCGATGTCGCTCTGCCGAGAGGGTCATCGCCGGCGTAGGCGGAGCGGCGGGCCCTTCGTTACAGAGACAACAAAGACATTTCACCCCTCGGGCTGTTGTTGCAGACAGAAAAACAAATTTGGCGCGCGTGCGCGCAAGGTATGCTAGTACCGTATACGTGCACGAGAACCAAACACATGCACGACAGTACCTGCCCCAATACTCTCTTCTCAACAGAACGACGTCGGAGAGCGTGAGCGCGCCGGCGAGAGAGTTAACGCACCCATGCAGAGAGTGCAAGAGCCCACGCGAGGCGCGCCGGCGAGTGCCAACCTCGGGGAGGGAGAGGCCGCGCGTCTCCGCCTCCCCCCCGAGGGCGGCGCCTCACCTCGGCGCAGACCCCCTCGCGCTGCTCCAGCTGCAGGCCGTGCGCTGCCACTTGGCCTAACTCATCATCGATGGGGGTAACTGTTGAGTGGAGGTTAGTTACCACACGCGGAGCGCTGCCACTGGGCCTCGTCGCCGCCGCACGCCCCGTCCGCCCCACGGCTGCCCCACCCCTCGGCGCCTCCTCCCCCTCCCCCTCCCCCTCCCCCTCCTCCGCCGCCGCCGCCTCCTCCGCCGCCACCTCCACCTCCGCCTCCGCCGCCGCGGCTGATTGGCTCGCCGCTCTCGCCGACCGCCTCGCTCGGCCTGCGCGGCGACGGGTCTCCGACGAGCCTCGCCTGGCGTGTCGAAGAGTTGAGCAGTGAAGCGCGCTGCTTCGAGAGTTGACGAAATCTCCGACGAGCCTCGCCTCTCCCGACCGGCGCTGGATCGGCCGCATCGACGGCGAGTACTGCAGCTCGGCGAGGTTCGAGAGCGAGGAGGAGCCCGCGAGCCCGTCTAGTCCGTCATCACTCGCCGGTAATAATGACACAGAGTGCGCCCGGCCGAGCCCGTGTCGCGCCTTCGCCTCTGGAGGTGCGCATGGCCGACAGCACCTAATGAGCAGTGAGTAGCCACTAGTCACTGCTATTAGTTGGCTCTCAACCACTGCGCACGGCCGGCAGCACCTCAGCGCCGCCCGGCCCGGACGCGGTGGTGGCGAGGCCGGCGGCGATGTCGAAGTGCGTGTACTTGAAGCCGGAGTGGGAGCGGGTCATCTCGAGCACGCCCGGCGCCACGTCGATGAAGGGCAGGTCGTGGCTCTCCACCTCCTGGAAGTAGGCGATGAGCACACGCGCCACGGCGCGGTCCACCACCTGTCCATCGGTGATGCGCCGGTCAGCAGCAGGTAACCACGACTCACGACACGGGCGCGGTCGGCCACCAGCAGCACGTTGGAGCGCTGCTGCTCGAGGGAGAGGATCGCCTAATTCGTCATACCGTAATCAGTCATTGATGAAGAAGAACTCTGAATTCGGTGCTGCTCGAGGGAGAGAGGCTCGCCTCTTGCAGCCGCATGATCAGGTCGAGGTACGACTCCCCCCCCACACCTAGGACATGTCCAGGAAAGGTCCAGGAGCGGGACAGGAAAGGCCGGGGTGCGGCCTCCGCGCGCCCGGGTAGCGGTAGTGCAGCTTGTCCGACGCACGCGCCTGGTACTCTCCCGGGAAGGAGCGGCGCATCTCCCCCGCAGAGAGCGAGTCGAGCTGGCCTGCTCTCACTCACTAGCCGCTCATTCACTCTTTCAGACATCGGGAAGAGCGAGGCGAGCTGGCCTGCGCAGAGCTCGTTGAGCCGCTGCAGCCGCAGCACCGTCCGGTCCTTTGGCTCGTACCTGTTCACAGCCGCGCGCGTGAAAAGACGCCGTCAACGCCGCGCCACGCTCCGGCGTTCGGCTCGCGCTTGCTCAGCAAGATCTGCGTCAGCTGGTCGTACCGGCGCAGCGTGCCCGTCATCACAATCGCGTGGCCTTAATTAATAATTAATCATTAATCATTAATTAATTGTTAATTCGCGTGCCCGTCATCACAATCGCGTGGCCCGCGCAGCCCCTCTCACGCAGCTCGCTGGAGCGCTCGCGCGCGGCGACGAAGGCGCAGACCGCCTCCGAGTAGACCAGCCCTGTTCACAGCCGCAGCTGTGAAGAGACGCCGCCCGCACGGCCGACGCGGCTTCTGCGCAGACGGCGCCGGCGCGGGAGAGGGGGGTGTCACCCCCGAGCACGCCTGCTCACAGCCCCGAGGTGTGAAGAGACGCCGCCCTTGCGCGGCGGGAGAGCTAAGCCCCCCCCCCTCCCCTCCCCCCCCCCCACCCACCCACCACCACCACCCCCGCGCGCCTCGCTCGTCGTTGAGCGTCTGGCCGGCGAGGGCGATCCAGATGGTGCGAGGGCCGAGGTGGATCGAGTGCAGCAGCGCCATCACCTTTGATTAATAATTAATAATTAATTAATACTAATTAGCCGAGGTGGATCGAGTGCAGCAGCGCCACCACCTTGGAGAGGACGTACCCGTCCGCGCGGCACGCGACAAGCTTCTTGCCCGCGTCGATGATCTGGATGTACCGCAGCACCTCCTCCTGCTGATTAATCATTGAGAATTAATCACTGTCGATTAGACGATCTGGATGTACGGCAGCGCCTCCTCCTGCTGATCATTCATCAATACTAACTAATGATTAATGAAGGGAGGGCAGATGCACCGCGGCGCCTCCGCCTGCTCGCGAGGGGCCGAGGGGCGCAGGCCCAGGCCAGAGGAGCCCTGCCGCACGAGCGGGCGGCCCGAGGAGCGCAGGCTGCTGCTGCCGTGGCGAGGAGGGAGCGGCTCGGCCGCCTCGCCTGCGAGAGGCGAGGGAGAGATGGGGGAGAGATGATCTCGGAGGGCGCGGCTCGCCTAGCCTGAAGAGCAGCTCACACCGAGGACAGTGCTGGAGAGGGCCGTTAGCTAGTCGTGGGCGCGCCTCGTAACTATGGCCGGCACATCTCGGCTGCACCTCGGCTGCACCTCGGCTGCATCTCGGCTGCACCTCGGCTGCACCTCGGCTGCACCTCGGCTGTCTCTCGGCTGCCTCTCGGCTGTCTCTCGGCTGCCCCTCGGCTGCCCCTCGCCCGCATCTCTGCCGCCTCTCGGCTGCCTCTCGCCATCTCCGCGCGGCGAGAGGTCGTCGACGGTGGACGAGATGCGCCGGTCGCCCTCGAGGCGGTGGAAGGTCTCGTCCTCCTCTTCCTGGACACTTCCCGGACACTTCATGGACACTTCCTAGCAGAGGTGGGCAGGTCTCGTCGTCCTCTTCCTCCGGCCCCTCGGCGTCGGTGATTGTCTGGTACACCGCCTGCTGACGGTGCGCGGCGTCGGTGTCTCCCCATTCGTACTTAGCGTCTGCGTGTGGTGGTGGTGGTGCTGGCGCGGCTCCGGAAGAGAAGTGCCTAGGAAATGTCTAGGAGATGTCTAGGAAGTGTCTGGTGCTGGTGCGGCTCCTCGTAGTTTCGCACTCGCGCGAGGAAGTCCTGCAGAGCAGCCTCCGGATTAGATTATTGTATTGTATTAACGGGGGGCTCCTCTACATTCTATGACAGTCCTGCAGAGCAGCCTCTGGCGCGGAGCCCTTGTAGTCGTCGTTGGACGCCTTGAGCATGTAGTTTCGCAGCAGCAGCTTCGTGTCGGTGCAGATCGACTCCACAAAGATCAGCCGCACCTGCCGAGGACGAACAGTGATTCACTAATTAGAGGCGCAGATCGACTCGACAAAGATCAGCCGCACCGGAGGCCACTCGCGCGCGCACCGCTCGCGAACCTTTTGCCGGCGCAGCACGGTGGTGTTTGTGGCGTCAAACACGCCGCAGACGCAGCCGCGCCGGCACTGCTCTCCGGCCTGCTCTTGGTTCTGCTCGAGAGCGGAGAGGGCGGTGAGCGAGTTGGAGGGCAGGAACTTGAGCCAGCGCAGCAGCTCCTACCATCCACTCACCGGACGTCGGTCCCTCAGTCCCTCACATGTCGCCGACTCGCAGGCAGCGCAGCAGCTCCTCCAGAGTGTCCATTGCGATCTCCTCTCGCTGCGCCGCGGCGTCTTCGTTTGCAGCGTCGAAGAAGGCGGCACCGGAGCCTGCCAGGCCGGCGTCACGGCGACGCGAGCCGGCGTTGAAGAGCCGGGCCGGGCAGCCGACGAAGTTGAGGTAGCGGACGATCGACTTTGAGAGGTACGACTTGCCGCGCGCCGGCAGGCCGACCATCGCAATCACGACACGCTCCTCGATGACGGAGGTCGGGTTGACAGCGTACTGCGTCACGGCGGAGCGGGCGAGGCAGACGGCGCCCGCCAGCAGCGCGCGGCCCTCGCGCGGCAGGTGGCGCAAGCTCTCAAAGCTCGGCCTCCGCGAGCGCTGCCGCGGCCGCATCGCCTGGCGGGTGGTGAGCCGCCAGCGCCAGCGGTTCCATGCCGAAGAGAGGACGAGACAGATCACCGCAACGGCAGTGGGCAGCAGCTGCCTGGAGTGGGCTCTAAGCCAGCGAAGCGGACCACCACACCGCGGCCACATCGAAGGTAGAGCTCTAGGTTCATCGACAATGGCCGGTGCGGGAGCCCCCCACCGCGACGGCGGGCGCGCTGAGGTCGCACGCCAAGCCAGTTATATGCCAAGGGCGTGCGATCGAGAATCGGCTCTCGCACCTCTGCTCGCGTACCCTCACCCATAGAATTGTCACCGCCAGTGAGTGAAATTCGCGCTAAAGTGCACTAAAGATGCAGTACATAAACACTTCACACCGCACTAAATTTAGACCCAGGCGCCCTCAGCACTGGCACTATTCAAAAAAGGGGAACACCACAGCGAGCCGGTTCTTTAACCAGGTTGCAACACCTGTTCCGCACTGTGCTGTGAATCGAGCGGCAACCAACAGCTCTCGGGACCCCCATCGAAGGTAGGTTCATCGACAATGCCGGTGCGGGAGGCCGGCCTGCGCGCGGGCTCCACCACCCCATCGTCTGCCCTGCGTCGTCTGGCGCCGGGTCCTTCACAGTCGGTTGAAGTCGCCGCCCTACGATGGCGGGCACGCGGACCCAGCTGCGCTGCCGCACAAAGGCGTAGATGGCGACGGCGTAGAAGGGCGCCTGCACCAGCACCTCGACCCAAATGGCAGCTCGGAACCAGACCGGCCGCGCGTGCATCAGCGGGTCGGCGGCGGCACTCCACCACCGGACGGCGCGGACGCACGGCTCTGGCGGCCACAGTGGCGTGTGCGCTGCGTCGAGGCCGTACAGGTCGGGCCGCTGCACGAGGACAGCCTCGATGTCGACCAAGAAGGTGACCGCGAGGCCGACGCAGAACCAGCCGATGAGGACCGCGTCGACGGGACGCATCGGCGCGCGCTCGCCGGCAGGCAGCGGCGGCAGTGGAAAGAAGCGCGAGACGGTCGCTTGGTACTCTGCGTACTGCGGGTACTTTCGCGAGGAGAGGACCTCGGTGACGTCGAGCGAGGCGTGCGGCAGCACGAAGAGGCAAGTGAGGAATGCCGCGCCCGAGATGGTCCAGTTGACGAGCGGCAGCCTACAGGACGCGTCCACAGGACATGTCCGGGACGTGTCCTGCCGGCGGCGGGGTACCGTCGCCCGAGTCGGCCACCCGGCGGCGAGCGAGAAGAGGTAAAAGGCCCACCAGATCGCAACCTCGCAAAAGTAGTTTGGGTGGCGCGAGTAGCGCCACAGGCCCGAGCAGAGGAAGCCGCGGCCAAACTCGGCGCCGAGCGGCTCCTTGGCGCGCAGGCGGCGGTACTTTTCCGTCTGGAAGCGCATCATGGACGAGGAGGACTGGGAGGATATTCCTGGCCTTCTCGGCCACGGCGAGGGCGTGCTGCAGCTGAAGACGCCGACCCGTCTCCCTTCGCTCCTTGGAGGCGAGCGCGCCATTGGTGTGGCGGCATCATTTTACTTCAGCCTCGCTACTCTCTCCACGAACGGCGCCCTTTGGTCCTGGGGCTGTGGCTACTCTGGCCAGCTGGGCCACGGCGACACGCAGCACCAGCTACTGCCCAAGAAGATCGAGGCCTTTGCTGACCAGCGTGTCGTCGCTGTGTCGGCTGGAGGCGGCCACAGCCTCGCCATTACCGCCGACGGCGCCATCTACCAGCTGCTGCCCAAGAAAGTCGAGGCCTTGGCTGGCCAGCGCGTCGTCGCTCTGTCGGCTGCAGGCGTGCATAGCCTCGCCATCACCGCCGACGGCGCCGTGTGGAGCTGGGGCGCTGGCGGACTCGGCCGCTTAGGCCATGGAGAGGACCTGTCGAACCAGCTGCTGCCCAAGAAGATCGAGGTGTGGTCGCAGGAGTGAGAGGGGGGCGAGGGGCGCACGTGGCTGATATAGGAGTGCGACCGACTCGGGAGAGGCCGAGATCCGGATAGGGTGGGAGGCTGGCCAAGCGGCATCAATCAAACGAGAGAGAGAGAGAGAGAGAGAGAGAAAAACCTGCAGTTTTCTACTACCGTGGGGACAACTGCCCTTGCGTGGGGACGTTGCGTGGGGACATTGCGTGGGGACATTGCCGAACGCGCGCCAAACGCGCGCCAAGGGGCGGCGGCGCATGACGAAAGGCTGGAGCTGCGCCGCAGGAGTCCCGGCGGCCCCGCGAAACTTGGTGGCGCAACGCAAGTCCCTCGGGAGGTGCGTACGCCGCCGCCCGCCGCCAATGCCCGCTCAGGCAGCCGGCCATCCTGGCTGAATAGGCAGCACGGCGCTCACAGTTGCGTGCAAGTGCGCATACCACTCACCCGTCCTTCACGCCCTCGCGGGGCGTCTCGCCTCGCCGCCACCGCCCTCTCCACCGCCACCCTCGCCGCCGCCGCCCTCGCCCCACGCCGCCCTCTTCACCGCCGCCCTCGCCGCCGCCGCCCTCGCCGCCCTCGCCGTCGCCGCCGCCGCCCTCGCCGCCGCCCTCACCTCCGCCGCCCTCGCCACCGCCACCCTCGCCGCCGCCACCCGCGCCGCCACCACCTTTGCCTCAATCCGCGCCGCCTCTACCAGCCCCGCCTCCCTCGCCGCCGCCGCCCTCTCCACCGCCACCCTCGCCACCTCCGCCATCGCCGCCACCGCCGTCGCCGCCTCCACCGAGCCCTCCGCCACCCTCTCCTCCGCCGCCTTCCCCGCCGCCGCCGTCGCCGCCACCGTCGTTGCCTCTTCCACCGTCGCCGCCGCCATCGCCGCCGCCGCCATCACCGCCGCCTCCTTCGCCTCCGCCGCCGAGCCCACCGCCTCCGAGCCCGCTGCCTCCAAGTCCACCGTCGCCGAGCCCCCCGCCTCCCTCTCCGCCGCCGCCGTCACCGCCGCCGCCGTCGCCTCCACCTTCGCCGCCGCCGCCGCCGCCGCCGCCGCCGAGCCCTCCACCGCCGTCACCGCCGTCGCCGTCGCCGCCACCCTCTCCGCCGCCACCCACCGCCACCCTCGCCGCCGCTACCTTCGCCGCCTCCGCCGAGCCCGCCACCCTCACCGCCACCACCCAGTCCACCACCCCCGTCGCCACCACCGCCATCGCCGCCGCCACCGAGCCCTCCTCCGTCGCCTCCACCGCCATCGCCCCCGCCGCCCTCGCCGCCGCCACCTCTTCACCGCCACCCTCGCCGCCGCCACCGTCGCCGCCTCCGCCGAGCCCGCCTCCCTCACCGCCACCACCCAGTCCACCACCCCCGTCGCCACCACCGCCCTCGCCGCCGCCGCCGAGCCCTCCTCTGTCGCCTCCACCGCCATTGCCCCCGCCGCCCTCGCCGCCGCCACCCTCTCCACCGCCACCCTCGCCGCCGCCACCGTCGCCGAGCCCGCCGCCTCTCTCGCCGCCACCGTCGCCTCCGCCGCCAAGTCCGCCGCCTCCCTCGCCACCCCCTCCCTCGCCGCCCCCGCCGTCGCCACCGCCACCCTCACCGCCACCTCCCTCTCCTCCGCCACCTTCGCCACCACCGCCCTTGCCGAAGCCACCGAGCCCGCCGTCGCCGCCACCGTCGTCGCCGCCGCCGTCGCCGCCGCCCTCGCCTCCGCCAACCTCGCCACCTCCGCCGAGCCCGCCTCCGCCGAGTCCACCGCCATCGCCGCCTCCGCCGAGCCCGCCACCGCCGTCGCCTCCCCCACCATCGCCCCCACCACCTTCACCCCCGCCGCCGAGCCCTCCTCCGCCGTCGCCGCCACCACCCAGTCCACCACCGCCGTCCCCGCCCCCTCCCTCGCCGCCGCCTCCTTCGCCGCCACCGCCCTCGCCTCCGCCGCCTACGCCGCCCCCACCGTCGCCGCCGCCCCCAGCCCACCGCCGCCCTCGCCACCGCCGCCGTCACCACCACCACCTTCGCCGCCACCGCCATCGCCGCCGCCACCCTCGCCGCCCCCACCGTCGCCGCCGCCTCCGTCGCCGCCGCCGCCGTCACCGCCGCCGCCCAGCCCGCCGCCGTCCCCGCCGCCA